ATTTTTGCATGAATACATTTGTTTTGGGCTTCTTTTGACACTCACCTTGTTCCTACGTAGCTCGTCTTACGATGCGATGGGGGCCGGTTGGCAGGTTGCAGGAACAGCTACTGTTCATCGAGGGAGAGAAAGAAAGGCCTCCTTTCACATTCATATGGTATTATAGAAATTGAGTTCCAAGTGGATTCAAGCGTTATATAATTCTAGTACGATAAGGGAGTATATGTAGTTGGGTTTATTTTAGGTTATTGATGTCTGGAGTGATTTTTAAGGATGTGCTGGTAAAAAAAAAAAAGAATCACTTGACAAAACAGAGGGCAAGTCTTGCAGACAGAACTGTCACACATATTCCCCATCTTTAAACGCTACTTTATACGTGCGTGGCTCCTTTGTTTCCATATTATATGTTAATGTTTCGGGGGAGCATTGCTGCTGCCCCAGGATTCAGTTATTTTGTGGCTGACCCGAGCAACTCAGAGACTCTCTGCGCCGTCCCTGAGAATGTTACTACTTTGCGGTTGCAATCAATTGTAAAGTGCTTTTGGTGCCAAATTGCCCCACAAATGGACACTCCACCACGGCAGGTTTGAGCTGTTATTCCTCCGATGTGGAGCCCGATTCCCGTCGTGACCGCTCACTTAATCGCTCCCCGGTCTGTCTTAACAACCTGAAAGCGTTGCCCTTCGTTCCTCCCGTTGGTAGTTTTCCTGAAGGGATTCGCTATAGTGCAGATCTACTGTCCTCACATGTACACATATGTGACTATATGCAATATACATTCTACAGTACAGTTGTTAATAATGTTAATTAATCAAGCCTTTTCCAAATATACAGTTGCCCATGCTGACCCTAAGAACAACATTAAATATCACTAATGCAAATGAAATATTAAAGGCCCAGTAGCTTGGTAGCTTGTGTGTTTTATGAGACCGTGATGTTGCTCTAAAAACTGTATGCAGTTGAATGTCCACGGCTTGTAAAGTGCTTAAATCTCACAAAAAATCTCACAAAAAATCTCACCGTGCAATTCAGTCAAACAACGTTGGAGGAATGGGAAAAACAGGTAAACAGATTATACATTTTCCCGAGATGCTGCTGGCATTGTGGTCACACGGCAGTATTTACTCTGAAAACTTTGAGTCAGCTTGAAGTCATGTGACAGCTTTAAAAAAAAAAAAATGTATTAGCTCATTGTTATTTCTGTGCGCGCCCCCTTTGGCACGCCCTCAGCCCTGGGCCGTATCGCAGGAAGGCCCGTAAATATTGAATGAGAGTGAGTGAGCAGCCCACACGCCGCTGTTTACACTGTTTGCTTACTGCTCGCGTGTCCCCGAGGAGAAATCCAGCCTGTTGACTTTGAGCACCTCCATGCAGCTCGGCCCGTCCTGCAGAGAGTGGCCCGGACAAAATCGATCCGAAACCACAAAGGCTTTGTTTACACACTATGTGATGTTGCCTGAATAATTAATAGCGAGTATCTTGTGCCAAAGGAGTGTATGCAAGGAAATCATATTCAAAGAGAAAACATTGAAACTAATATAAAACCAAAAGCTGTATTCCTGTATTATTATTGCACGGTTATTTATGGTATATGTGACTGTATTGAGTCTCCTGTTATCGCCTGTGGTAGTTTACATTGATAATAGTTAAAGTTTTCGGAAATTGAAGTAGAATTTTTTTTGCTTGCTTGTTTTCAGCCGAGTTAGCGGAATGGCTTCACGGTTGCCAATAACGATCTGTTGGACGGTCCTCTACTGTGGGAATAACCGAATAACTCGGAAAAGAATTATGACTGAGACACAACTTGTAAGTGCTCTCATGTGGAGAAACTTTGAAACATGCTGCGGATGTATTTGCATTAAGCTTGCAATGACCCAAACAACCTCTCTGCCTCTAATGCTTGTGTGCCAACGTAAAGCTTTGGTTTAGTGCCTGTTGTGATCCCTGCGCGGTATAATGAACAAATCCTTAAAGAGGATATGAAAGTCGTATGATCCGTGATAATGCAGTTACCTATTTCCAATTGTTCTTACGTCTACGTGTGTGTGATGATTTGTTTATCATCCATTATCATCCACGTGTGCTCGTGTAGATCCCTGGGGATGTACTGTGTGTAGGTATCGTCTCTCAGAGGCTGCTGTGTTAATACGAAATGCCAGACGGGCGTACGGACAAAACATTCTGCAGACAAGTCGACAAATATTACCTTTTGATGTGTGCAGCCAGGGTATCGTTATTTATGCATTTAGACAGATTTTGATCAATAACTGTCAATTGTTTTAACATTAGTATTAAAATAGTAATGTTTGCAGTATACATTTAATTAAATAAACACATCTGTGGCCGTCTCGCAAAGAACTTGTATCCGCCGGTGACCCTTTGTGACCTGCTGTCGGGGAGGATGACGGCGATGCGGAGTGTGTGCCTGTTTATTCGCCCTCCTCCTCCCGTCCTCGGAGGGGCGGGGTCCGCATGGCCCATCAACACTGACACGGCGGTCTCCCGCTTGGTCCGCGCTCACTCCCACCGCTCGCCTCGCCGCTCACACACCACTCCAGACGTGTTTTCCACCTGGTACATCAAGTACGTTCTCACGTTTACTGTCTTTCAATAGTTCGTTTCACGGAATCCAACGCGAGAATCCGCCGCGAGAGCGCGCTCTCTCTCGCGCGCGCGCCCCGGTCGGCGGAACACGGTGGTATGAACACCGGGAGCTGGAGGACGACCGGAGAGCTGCGTGTCATATGCTATGTACGTAACGTTGTGTTTTTATTTGCACGTCATCGCACTCGTTTAAAGTCAGCTCGCGGGAGTCGCGCGCCCGCCGGGACTTGTAGTTTTCTAGTGACCGCTGCTTTGAAGTCCTGCGGTGGAGTCGGTGCGATAATCTTCCTCGTGTGCTTGTTCTGCAGCGAGATTATGATGGGTTAAACTTCAATGCTATTCAGTTGTTTTAAGTGTCAATATCCTTGTTTATTTTTGAACATCTGATACCTTACAATGCGACTTGTCTCCACAGGGATAAAAAGTATTTTATTTCCCCGGGAGCGTTAAACTCACGACAGAAAGTGGTACGGGATGTGCGTGCTGGGGATGCTGGGGCATTCCCAGTGGCTCTGTTCTTCCTCAGTGGGGCTTACTAATGTGTCTGTCGGCCACGTTATACTATTTAACTTAAGCATTCTGCTCTCTCCTGCTCTAAAGGGGATCCTTCTCCCGGCGTTTGCAACCAAAGGCGCACCCAGAAAACACTGAATAAATATTTCAGCGCAACTTGCAAAATTAAAATAAAAAATAAAATCCAGTGGCTCCCTGATTTACATTATGCATCGCTGCATTCCGGGTCGTGATTGGCTGCGGCTCCTCCATCTGTTTGTGTGTGTGTGTGTGTGTGGCAGCCTTTTCCCCATCCACCCAGCAACTACCTATTCCTCATGCCATGATGATTCTCTGCCTCTGCGGGGCCTTCCCCCCATTGCAGCATCCAGCATGGTAACCGTGGCAACGGCAGCCTGACCCTGGCTGCGCTGCTGCAGCTACTACAAGCTTGACCTGGATTCGTCATCAGAGGCGGGCGTCCACGCGACCTGGGGCAACTGACCGGCTTCCTTTTCTCCTCCTCTCCTTCTGCACATTGTTTAAGGTCTAGTGGCTCTGAGGGCCAATGCGTCAGTAAGCGGCTGGTCCTGGACCAGCAGTGATTGGTCTTAAATTGCATCAGACTATTGGTCGTTTCTATTGCGTTGGCAAATGCAGTGAGGCGGATGATTGGTGAAAAAGAGCTGCAGCTTCTAGTTTCATGGTTTCCGTGAACAGCAGAGTTCAAGAATAAGTTCCGCCCGAAAGATGTGTTCTTACTCCAGTGGGAGGATCTTCTGCTTTTCTTTGTGTTCAATTCAATTTGATTCCTTTGTGTTTTAGATTGACATTGACAAAAAAAAGCTTCACTTTAGGCTTCAGGATTTTACTGCGGTTATTTTTATTGGTTGACCATTTGAAAAAAATACATGGCAGGTTGAATAATATATAGAAAATATCTGTTAGTTGCGGCCGCAGCCCCTCCCCCGCCCTGGACCTTTCTTGACGTGAGCCCACCGATGACCTGTTTGACTGGCGTGTGTCCGCGAGGACGTCGCACCTACTCCACACAAACGAAGCCCCCCCCCGGCCGCTCCCTGCAGCACGCTGCAGAACCGTTTTCCCCTTATTCTTAGTATTCACTTTCCTCATTTTCCTCGGCGTTTGGCCTGCCCCCCACAAACGGGAATCCCACCGCCTGATCACATCCCTCACCTGCGGAGCGGCTCGCTGCGTACCTGAGGGTTTGCGGGGATTAGCGCGTGTGTGTGATTTGTTTCCAGGAGGGATGTCAATGAGCAGATGTTGTGGATTTAGACGCAGGAGAGTGTTTGCGGCCCGCGGCTCGGCTGTAAGCTCCCTGAGGTGTCAGAGCCAGACTCTGTGTTTCTGTCTGTCCCGGGAGTATCCATCTTTTACGGCTCAGACGGGAGACTTGAGATGGCTTGGGAGGAGTCCCAGTAGGCCCTAAGGAGGATAACCCATTTGGTGGCCTTGTCCCATTCTTTGGGGAGGCCTACAAAAGGCCTCTGGGGAAACGCCCCCTTCACCCCACATTTGAAAACACTGAATTATTTTTTGCCCCCTCCGTCAAAAAGGAAAAGCGCGCGTAACCAGCGGGGGGCGGGGGGAGGCAGCGGAGCGCCACCCACAATGCCGTGCGTTGGCCTTTAGAATAAGCGGGAGCTTGTTGTTTTTGTCCCCGCCAGTTCTCTCTTTTTTTATTTTTTTAAAAACCCACTTTTTTTCTGAGTTTTTCCGGGGGGGGGGGGGGGGGGGGTGTTTGGGGGTGTTTGGCTGCCCTGAAACCACGTGAGTCGCTCACAAACAATGCGATCCTCTGTCTCCTCCCCGCTGCCGGTTAGACATTAGGCCGCGGCTCCAGAGTGACTCACGGCCGTCCTTCCTTTTCTGCGTGGTAGATGTGATGGACCAGCAGAGGGCGCTGCACTCGGGCTGCCTGGTGTCGGGAGTCCGGACGCCTCCCGTCCGCCGCAACAGCAAGCTGGCCAGCCTGGGACGCATCTTCAAGCCTTGGAAGTGGAGGAAAAAGAAAAACGAGAAGCTGAAGCCCCCCAGCGGTGAGCGGCGGAGGCGCACGTGGGATACTTGTTATTTTGTTTGTGCGTGCGTTGTGTCCGTTCCGTTAATTAGCGCTTCTGTTGTTTAGCCGGCGAGAAGAAGGCAGCTGCGCGGCAGAAGAGAGGTGACCTCGTCAGGAGGAGCCCTGGGGAGACGGAGACAGGTGCAGAAGGAGACGCACACACACACACACACACACACACACATATGTGACTCCGGGCGGCCACATGATGCCACGCTGTGCCGGCTCACTCCCGCCCTCTTCCTCTGTGCACAGACTCGGATGTGGCTTGCGGGGGCAACGGCGAGGACGCAGACACGCCGACTCAGTCCGACGCCGAGGACCGAGACGAGGAGCCCGTGGCCCCGCTGGCCAGCACCAGCGAAGACCTGGGCAGCGATCTGGAGGCCTCGACAGGTAGAGAACAGGAGACGTGACACTCGATGGGTTTTTATGTCTAAAGGCCTTTAGACAGCAGGGGAGCTTTCCTGTGTCTTTGTGCTTTTACACTGAAGGCAAATATTGCCTTGCGAAATAAACATAATTTTTGTCTTTTATCTTGGACATATTGTTCTTGTCAGGGTTTGCCCCATTTTCAGGAAACCCAAGAGTAAACCCTTGGAGGTTTTAAATGTCTTAAGTTTTGACTGTTGTGCATCAAAAGAAGACTCTTCTTTCTTTAGCCTCCTGCTAGTGATTTAAGATGAATTGCCGAGCGCTAAACTGGTGCCGCCGCGTCACATGTCCCTCCCCGTCCACCAGGGGGAGGCAGAGACCGAACAAGCCCAGCATCACCGTTGCTGCTGTGTCTCCTTTCAGTGCAAGATGTGACGGAGGACTCAAAGACGGCAGGAGATCCGAACCAGAGTGAGGACGGAGAGGACGAGAGCACCTCGCTGAGCGACCGCAGCGACGAGCGGCCCGCCGCGAAGGCGGAGCCTGCTGAAGGGAAGCGGGAGGCGGCGGCGCCGGCGGCGGCGGTGCCGGCCCCCCCGCCCAGTCGGGTCGTCACTTCCCCTCCGCCCAAAGTGGCGGTCAAACCGCTCACCAGACTGGGAAGCCTTGACTGTGAGTCAAACCCGGGCCGACCCCCCCCCCCATCACCCGACCCCCCCCTCCACTCCCCTCGATGCAAAGCCCCTCCCCCCTGTTTTTTGCAGCAGTGTTTTTCTTTCCTCTCCCAGGTACGCCTTCGGTTCCAGTCAAGAAGTCCCCGGCCACCTTACCACGGAACTTCACTCTTCCCAAAGACCCCCACGGCTCCCTGTTGAGGGGCCGGATCCTCACACCCACCGGGTCCCCGCACCTCGGGGCGCTGCACTCACAGCTGCCCCCGAGCTGCATCATCGAGGAGCTGCACCGCGCCCTGGCCACCAAACACCGGCAGGAAAGGTCAGACTTCCCCGCGCGCCGTTCGCTTCTCTTCCCCGAAGGCGTCATCGCAGGAGACGATACTATGCATCTGCCGTAGATATTTTCTATTTACGCGAATAAAACGAGACCACCCTGATCCTGCAGTGGAAGTTGTAATCGACTCGGCCTGCCTTTGCCGTGTGTGCGCTCAGTTTCCAGGCGAAGGAGGCGCGCTCCTCCCTGAAGCGGCGCATGGACGGCCGTCTGTCCCGCACGTCCAGCACGGAGAGGGAGCCGGGAGTCGGAGGGCAGGAAGCAGTCGGACGAGAACAAAGAGAACTGGCGCCTGGACGAGTACCTGAACGACCAGGACAGCTGGAACGACTCGGTCATCTCCGGTGGGTCAGCTGACCGTAGACGGCCCCCTTTTATTGTTACTATGCGCCGTGGTCGACTTACTATCCGCTGGCCTCATTCCGCTTGGTGGGGGTCGGCGGAGCACAGCGGCCTGCGCTTTAAAAAGATTATTTAACTAAATTACTGAATTATCAGTTAATTAGAATTTTCTACTCACCTGGAACAAATTTGTGAAAAGTGAATTTTGAATATCCATTCGCGGTTGGCGGCGCTGTCCCTAATCCCGCGCTGCTCCGCCCCACAGGGTCCCTCCCGCGCAGGATGAGGAAGGAGCTGCTGGCCGTGAAGCTCCGGAACCGACCCAGCAAGCAAGAGCTGGAGGACCGCAACATCTTCCCCGTGCGCAGCGACCAGGAGCGGCAGGAGATCCGCCAGCAGATCGAGACCAAGCTGGCCAAGTGAGTGCAGACCCCCCCCCCCCCCCCCCCCCCAAGGGGGCCCCCCTTCAAAAACAAAAAAACTTGTGTGAAGCGTATTGGTGGGGTGCACAGCATTCATCGTAAGCATTGGCTAAAGTAGTGGGCGTTTCGGAGACGCGAGCTCTCTTTTGGGAGAACATCTCCAAATGTGTTTCCTTACAGCAGTATAATAAATGAATAAAATGGCATTTCATAACTTCTCACCTTTGCTCACGACGCTACAAATGTCATCGCTCGGGGGCATAATGGAAATCCTACGTGTTGGACACGACTGTGGTTTTTTCAGTTGGTGCTGGTGAGGATGACAAATCTAAAAACAGCAACGGCCCGTTTTTTCTTTCACGAGCTCCAGAATGTGACCTTGCAGATGGTTTCCTCACTGGAATGTTGTATACTCACACGTTTTTATTTCAAAATTCTCCAGCTGAATGAATGTTGTCCGTAGAGCTGTTTCAGTAGAAGTAATAACAGCAGTAATGTATAAAGTAGGTGAGAACAGAAAGTATTAATATTGAGTACAAGTACCTCCGAACTGTACTGAAGCACAGTAATTCAGTTAATGTCGTTGGTTGCTCTGCACCTCTGTGCAAGTCGAGATATGAGGCTCGGGATGATGATTCAGTTTAATGATTCAAATCATTTAATGAATGAAAAGTTTCTGAACGACTAGCTGATAAATATTCATTCCCTCGGCACAACAACAACCGTTTCATCGATGTTGGGAATAATGATTACATAACGTGTGCGGCATGAAGGTCGGCAGCGGCGTCGATGAACCCACGTGTCCCGGGCGCGGTGTCAACCACACCCGGCGCCACGGCGGGTTAATTAGAGGGACGAGCACTTTGAACCGACCCCGATCCATTTAAAAAAATGTGCTCGGACGGGCTGAATAAAGCTGCCGGGCCCGGCGTCGCTCTGCTCCACGTGGGCGCCGTTGTTCTCCTCCGTCCTCACCCGGGCATCTCGCAGCTGCTCGTCAATCTGGGGATTGCGTGTTTGTGCACGTGCACACGGGCAGGAGCGGTCTCCAGGCACGCCTCGGTCCACGTGAGCCGCTCCGCCCGCACGTTGGGACGACTTCCGGCGGGCGGACGTGGAATAGCAGCAGCAGCAAGCGGCGGTGGTGCGGCGTGAACTCAATTACTGAACTCCTGTACCTACCAGAGGGACGCTGCAGGCACTGTGGTCTGCAGCGAGCACCAAGGGGGTGCTTATGTAAACCTACCCTTACATAATGAAAACACAAGGCCGATCAATTGTGTGTCCCACGGTGGGGCGGGAGCAGGGTTGGCCGAGGTTTGGGGACAGTATAAAACCAGTGCTGGTTGAGGACGGGTCAGCGCGGTCACGTGGTCGGCTCAGTTCTGCGGTGACTGCTGACCGGAACAGTAAAGAGACACCAATTAGGCTCATATTCCGTATTCTTGTCCCTCGGACATGAGAATGAATGAGAGTATCATTGCGCTGCTGGAAATAGTCCCCATCCAGTACGCTAATGGCTGCAGTGCCCAGTTTGAAAGCACTGCTGATTGACAGTTTAAAATGTTTAAAAATCTGTTTTATTTTTACTTCCGTTGTAAACAAAAGTAAGATTCAGAGATGAACAATCTGTTAAGAAAATGGCTAAAACAACTGCATTTGAAACTTATCGACACCAATAAAACAACATAGAAAGCCGTGAAATATCTTCCTCCTTGAGTGGCTTCGTATCAGCAGCAGTCGTTGAGTTGTCACAGTAAAAGAAAGGAGCTCACCAGAAATATAACATATATAAGAGATTCAGAAGCACCGCGGGGGACACGTTTACACCTCGGCCACACAAAACCCTTAAAACACTAAACAAAGGAGTTTATCTTGGTATCTCATATGGGAGTGAAAGCAAAGCCGGGAGTGACGGTGGTGAAACCAACATGTTGCCGGTGGAAACGAAGCAGACGTTCTTAATGCTCTCGCGTCAAAGAGAGCTGCAGCATCCTGCTGTGTAGGTTAAAGCGTACAAGTTCTATTCTCACCCTATTCATCGGAGTATAACAGAGCGTGTTCAGTACTGTGAGATGTGGAAATGTCTCGCTGACTCTCTTCAATCGCAAGGCATCACAACGGTAGCCGCACATAACTGTGCTACTTGTGAGGGCAAAGCAAACATTTCATTTCTGTCTCTTCTCTGGGACAATCCATGACGCACAGCGAGGGCTGGAATCAGAGGCTTGGGCTATTTACAGAAGGATTCTGTGCCCCTTTTTGCACCCCGAGGGGTGTGGGGGGTGGGGTCCCAGTGGGGTCCCGGTCCCAGACGCTCCCGGGTGCAGCGCGGCTCCGCTCTGTCAGGTGCTGCCCGTGAGCGACAGGAGCCTCGCAGCTGTGGGCGGCCGAGGTCATCCCATTGTTCTCCGGGTGGAGACGGCACCGCATGCTCGCGGGCCGGCGTCTCTCTCCGTCCCGCCGGGCACCGGCACCGCCGGGGGCACATGACGCGCCCCGCCTCCCCCTCGCACAGCAACAAGAGGAAAGCTGTCATATTGGGCATTCATGGTCCAAATAAGTGGAAGCTTTGCTCTGGTTCTGCTGGTTGTGTCGCCAGGTTTTCCTGATAATAAAACGGCTTGTTACACTGCACATAGTCCCCCCCCAAAAAAACAACAACAAGCAGACTCCCTCCTTCCCCAGCCCGCTCTCTTAACATCCGTCCATCCAGCCCGATGAATCATGTGTTGTTGGCTGAGTCGTGCTCAATGGGACCGAGTCGTGTGCGTGGAGGTTGCTGGCCCGAGAAAGGTGACCAGCAGGGGGCAGCTTGCTTTGGTTTATTCCCTCAGTGGACATTATGAACGTTTATGGTCTCAACCTCTAGTTTCTTCTGCTAGTCTTCTGTTCATTTAGAGTCAAATAGACCCCAAAGCAGGGGGGGGGATTGTCCGTGTCCCGCGCACATGTCGCTGGAGTTCGTTCAACTCAATTGTAACCCCGTTTTTTTTGAAAATGTCTTGCAGCGTTCGGTTGTAATGAGCTCCACCCCTCTTGTGTGTCTACGTGCAGAGAGCCGGCGGGGCCCTCGCGGCTCCCCTTTGTCTCTTGCTCTAAAACATTTGCAGATTCTGCAGAGCCGTCCTGCACTGCCACACTGCTGTGACGCTCCTTCTGTTCTGGAATACGCACCTCCTAAAGTACGTTTGACGGTAGGAAAAGAGAGCGTGACAATCATCACATCTAAGTCATACAGAACCCGCTTTCCTTTAAGGTACTTCAATAAGCTCAGATGTTAGAAAGACAGGTCAGCAAAATCCTCCTCTACTAAGAACAAAGGTCTGCTACGTTTGATTGGCAGACAAGAATATTAAAACCATTGTGTTCACGCTCTTTCCGGCGGTGCCGTCACGCGTCGACGGACGCGCATGCCGCGTTGCACTGATGTGCGTTAGCTGAGCGCGGCGCTCTGCAGCAGCAGAATGCGGAGCAGCGGGCCGGCCCGGCCCGGCCCGGGGGGGTGGGGGGAGGCAGCAGAAGGGAACCCTCTGTTCCTAAATTTAGCTTTCAGTTGGCCGAACGCTGCAGCAGCAGCAGCCGCCAGGATCAATGGCCTGTGTACGTCACGGCTCCACATTGCCTTTTCCTCCGCCTCCGCACCCTCGGATGGAAAGATCGCATCACCCCCCTCTGCCCCCCCCCTGCTCCCCTCTGATTGGACCCGCTCCTCTCCCCCGCGGCGCTCTCCTGGAGAGCCCGACGCAGCGATGATGTTCATCTCCATCGTTGCTTGCTTTTATTCAGGCTCCGTCAGTTTGTACCCGCCAAGTGAGGACATTGTTGGAATAATGCGAGGCCCTTCCTTTATAACACTGCAGGGATTTTAGCGAGATTTTAGCGAGCAATTTCCGGCACAATGTGTGGATGCTATTTTCAGAAGACAACTACATTTCTTATTACTTTTTACATGACAAGTGTGTTCAAAGCATTCTTTAAAGCGTTGGTCGGTAACATAGGAGGAGTGAACCGTTCGGGAATCCTTTGGTGTGCAGTTTAATAGTCAGTTAAAGTCAGTTTAATAGTTTTTGCTTTTTTTTTTTTTGTCAGTATGCAACTTATTGTTTGGTGGAATGTAGATCGATCAGAAAGCGGTTATGCTTAAAAGTGCTTTAACGAACTACAATAGCTAGTAAACATAAAAATAGGATTAGCATCAGCCACTGCACCCACTGGCAGTTACAATAGGCCAAAAAAAGAAGTTTGAACTCTCCCTTGTGAGGCAGATCCAAGGGTAAAGAAAGCGAGAGGCTACTTAAAGTAAATCAATGTCATGGTCCTCAGATAAACTCATTGCTACATTGGCTTTAGGAACGGAATTTGAAGCCGCACGCCGGCAGTACGTGCAGATGTAGCGTGTAAACACAAGTGGTCTGCGTTCCTTAAAACAGGACAAAAAGTTTTCTACAATTTCCATCCGCAAAAAGAATTCCGGAGAATCTCTTGCGGGGAAAATGCAACCGAGGCTGTCCTATGCTACTCGGTCCACCCGAAGGGAAAATTTCTCCGCTCCATAATCCTTTCACCTGCCATGCAATATTAATGCACGCTCAGCATGTGTTCCTCCCCCCCCCCCTCCTCCCCAGGGAACGATCGCTTTGATAAAGTCCATACATGTCTGAGTGCTGTGCTTTAGGCCGGAGTGAAGAGCGATCATGTCCGGTTACAACAAAGACGCGGCACCATCTTAGACCGTAACAGTGAACTGAGTAAAGCGAGATTGATGCACAAACCGGGCCGCGCGGCGCCAGCGGTTCCAGACGACCAGCTCAAACTGTGCCACTGATTGGGCGAGAAAGGTAACTTCTAAAGGAAATCCATAGCCGCTGCTGTTTTGACCTCCCCCTGTTGTTTTTCTTTGATGTAATGCTTTATATAATACACGTTTTGTCCACTAAAGCCACCGTTTCTGCTGCCACGTGGTAACTCTGCCAAAGGAAGAAGGGCGCTTTTAATTACAGAATGACAACAAAAGAGAATCAGTGCTCAGAATCTGTTTCTCATTTATAATCTCTTTTTCAGTTCACAATCAACGAAAATCACAGAATGTTGTTAAGAGAAAAAAGCTTTCGCATTAGAAAAAAGATCCAGTGGGAGCTTAGAGGACACAGATGAGCTCATGATATAACAAGATTAAGGGATGTGTTTTATAACAGGAATATAAGTAAGAAGATATGACTGACTGCACTCAGTCAAGAAATGATTTCCAACATTCTTTTATTGGTTATGTATTGAACATTGAGAAATTTAACAGTTCTTCTCAACTGATAGAAATCCCTGTTTGTGATATTACAATTGTTTCATTAAAAGAATGGTACATTGTGGAGCCATAATGTACATTTTATTATAACCAAATTAAGCTTGTGACGTGCTCAGTGTTGTTAATAGAGAAAAAAGCACTGCAAAATAACAGTGGGACCCTAAAATAATAGCATAGTGTAAGTAGAGGTCGGGTCATGTAGAGAGTCAACATCTGTCTCACGTTTGCTAACGTCAAACTGATCATACTAGACGTGTCCGTAAGGTCTTATCTGCTGCAACCAGTCGCCTTCCTGTCTCGTGTACTTCAGTGTGATACAGCTGCGGTTGATGGTGGTGGAACCGGTCCAAACTGCTCCCCCGCCTATAGAATACGAATCAGTCTGTTTAGCGGTGAGACACAAGTGTTTGTGTGTGCGCGCAAAGATTACGTCTTCCGGCGTTGTGTGCTGTTCTTGGTTACACTTTGCCTTCTGCGTTCTCATTCTTAAACACGGAGCGGCGTTGATCATTGCTGAATGCGTTTTTTTTCTTTCTTCTCCCTCCTCCACCCACGCGCGGCCACGTCACGTCTGCAGTCCGCCGAGGGTTCACGCGAAGAAGGCTGTGGCGCGTCGTTTTTCGCCTGCGTGGTTTCACGTGAGGAAACAGGAAGTGCCCCTCCGGTCTGTGCCTTTTTTTTTTTTATAGCGAGCGGCATCACGGGCGGGCATCAATCCAGTTGGCAGGCCGCATAAAGCAGTTTGGAGAGACGTAAGCGCCGCATGACACCGCCTGCATAATAGCCGCGGGTGGCACGACGTGAAGCGCTCAAATTACATGCTGTCACCGCTTTAGACCATCCCTGTCCCACGTGCAGTGATTAACTTCATACAAAGGCCTTTTTTTTGGGTGGGATCGAGCTGCAAGAACCCTGTAATTGAAAACATCAAAAGTCTCAAAGCCTCAGCAACCCACTCCTTTGCTAACAAGCCCCCCCCCGAGTTAGGGTTCCACCATCGCTGCTCAGGAGGCGTGACCCGTCCCCCACTGCTACGCTTCTGAGGCTACAAACCCCAGTTCTCCCAGTCCAGCACCCCCCCCGCTGACCGAGAGAGCGCTCATTATGCAAACAGGATCGGCGTGATTTTTTTTAAAAACAAGGTTACATCTGCCGCGTTGACCAATTGATTTTCCGTCCGCCTTGGCCGGGACATTTGGCCCGGGACATTCATGGTCCCCAGTCGATAAACCCCGGTGACCTTTTGGTCACTTTTCCACTCTGTCCATCACGTCATCCAGTTTTGTATTCCGCCATCAACCTCAGCTTCTCTTTGTGAAACCCATCACAAATAGCGATACGTCCAATAGCGAAGCTCGGCCCACGCCGCTGAGCCAAGAACTACGACGCTCCGGTTTCCTCCTCCAGCGGCCGTAGTTTCCAAACCGGTACGTCGCCAGGGTAACCAGGTGTACACTGCGGTGGAAATTTGTGGATTTAGCCCTTGTGAGAAATCAAAAGTATCTCAAACTTGCTTTGTGATTAAGTATTTATTACTAACTAGAATATAAAAAAACGCTAAAGAATACAGAAATCATCAGCACAAGTCGTAAGCACAGACAGTCAAATGACCACAATTCAGCTGGAAAGGGACAGAATGTTCCTTCCCCTGAAAGGAGCAGGAAGATCTGAAGTTTCTAGGAGCGACCAGGAGCTTTTAAACATCTCTGAAGGTTCGAGGAAGAGGGAAAAGGAAGAAGACCCTCACCCCCCCCCCCACAAAGGGAGATTAGTGGTAAACAGATGTCGTTTGGGAACATCCGCGACCCTCTCTTAATGGGACCTAGTCAATCGTATTGGACGGACAGAAATGGACGGGAGGAGATAAGAACAGGATACGGTCTGTCCAGGCCCCATCCGGAAGGCAGGATGCCACCGTGGACTTGGTCAGGTCACGAGTTTCTCAAGAAAGGTCACATACGAGTTCTTGAGACACGCACAATATGCACCTCAACAAATTGTCCCCCGACACACACCAGGTAACCAGGTAATCCTGCAAACGTTTCCGTGTTCTGTGCCCTAAATCTCGGAGCAAAACGTTTGCTTTTACATGTCGGCAGACTTGAAATGGAACCAGTGGACATGATGGGGCTTTAGCTTACACGGTGGAAGTCAGGTGGCCTCCTCCACGCCGTGCTGCCAGCGGGACGCAGACACCATCCAGCGAGACGCAGGGCGACGCCTCGGAGACAAACGGCTACATACAGACTTGATTATTGGGTCTGAGGCTTTGAATGTGTCCCCATTCATCTCCCATCAATAGCACCGCCAGCCTTTGAACAGAGAGTTTTAAAGGGCAGTCTGAAGGCTCTTTAGTGGTTTACTGAGCTTTTCCATGACTAAATGTGTGTGTGTTGGCGTGAAATCTAAAAAAAATCCAAGCTGCGTTTCATATTCATGTTGCGCCAGTAACAGTGGGAGACATCCAGGTCAACGCTTGCACACAAGCGAGTCCTGGACCAAGTTACATAAACGGCGAGCTCCTGGTAGGCTGCGGCTGAACGGGGTTCCTCTAACAATGCCCCCCCCCCCCCCCCATCCGAAATGGACATCCGAGCGCGGCTCTTCTGCCCCCCGGGGCAAAGAGGCTGGCGAATAGGCCGCGCCTCAGTGGCTCCCAATCTCCTCCACGAACTGACATTTCCATCAGCACCTCCTCTCGCAGGGAGCTCATCGCTCCGACGCGCCGGGGAGTTCTCCGCAAAGCTAGACGAGAAACTTCGACCTCTGACCGAGCGGAGTGGGCGAGTTCATCGGCGCGGGGAGGCAGTGACCTTAAAGGCCCGTTGGGATGGTTCGGCCGAATAGAAACGGGCCTCACTGACTGGATTTCATTTTTATTAAGCCACAGAAGTGTCTGACTTTAATAGATTTTATCCCCACTTGGACTGGAAGCAAATTCGGGCGGAAAGGTTTTGGTCAGGCAGACCACGCATCCCACAACGGTTCTGCTCCACTAAGCACGCCCCCCACCCCCCTTCTCAGTTGCCACGTGGTTGTTTTGTGAGCTGAAGCTGTCACGGACCATGGGGGGGGGGGGGTTGCTATAGATGCGCCCACGCTAGGTGTCCTTATTCACAGGGCCGCTTATAAAAGGTTCTATTAATATTAGTTAGTGACCGTGGTGGTTGTGTTCTGGCGGAACGTTTGAACTTCCTACAAAGAACATAAATCCATTCAACACGTTGAAGGATCCGCTGAATCCACAGGAGAGAGAAAACGTGATATTAGTAAAAGGCAGTGATTTAGTTTCATCTTTCTAAAGCTGGCTGATATAAGGTGAGCTGTTGTTTGAGCACTGCAGTCTGAGATTTTGGGCTTTTAAGTTGCTGCAAACTATCTACAAAAAAAAAGTTTCATTTTGACCACTCAGGAACCACATCACTCACACACCCAGGAGGAAAGTTCTGGAACCTCTGGGACAGATGAAACATGGAGCTCAAAGGGTTTTCCTTTCTGAAATGAGTCCTGTCAGTGAGTGTGTTGGGGGGGGGGGGGGCCCGAGAAGCCAAGTGAGGTGGACGGCTGAGCACCAGGCCGCCGTGTCGCGTTCAACACGGAGCCTCGTGACCACACGGCTGCATCACCGTGACGCGTCGCACTACTCGTTCGGATTACCGCTGTTCGTAAACGTGAAGATGTTTTGGCTTTTCTCTGCTAAATATTTAAATATGAAACATATTTGCACTGGTTTGAACCCAGAAAGAAACTTGAAGATATCAACTGGTGTTGGAAATTGTGACATTTATGCTGTAGTAAGATTAAAAAGATAAACCCAGCAGAAATGATCTATTGCAGAGCACATCTCAGCCATTACATATTTGGCTTATCCTGCTCTTTGTCTTCTTATGCTTTATCTGTTTTTCCAGGAAGGATATTGCATTCACTTTATATTATCTGTTATATTTTAACTCCCGAAACGTTGTCACTTCAATAACCTTCAAAAGTGTTACAACCCACATGACCAAGATTGGTAACAATCCTTCGTAACAACCGTCTAAGTACTTTCCTGAGACCACGCTGGTGCCCTTTGCTGCGCTTTGTTAGTGCCCTCCCCCCTCCCCCTCCCTCCCTCCCTCCCTCCCTCACATGAGTGCTGTGCATGAGGAGGCGGGGAGGCGAGCAGGAGGCTCACAGCGCTCCTCTCCTCCGCCGGACTACGAGCGAACCGAGCGGCTCTCGCAGGGAAAGTCATGTTGTGGATGCGCGGGTGTCGCCGCTCGGCGCACCGGCTCCAGCGTCCAGAGCAGCAGCAGCAGCAGCAGCAGCAGCAGCAGAAGTAGAAGTAGAAGAAGAAGTAGTGGTGGAGGCACCGAAAGAGACGAAGCAGCGGCGCCAGGGGACGGAGATGGTCCAGAACGTAATCCTGGTGTTTTTCCGCAGGAGGCTGAGCCAGCGGCCGGCGGTGGAGGAGCTGGAGAGTCGGAACATCTTGAAGCGTAAGTTCAACCGAAGCATTATTATGAGGATCATGTCTGCGATGATGGAGCTCACGTCTACTGTGTTTATCCAGTTGATGTTGTGAAAAGTAAATGTCATTACTAATTGTTGTAATTCAAAATAAGATTGGATGTTCTTTTTTCTTAAAATTCTGACTATTGTGGTGTTGTTTTCATCAAATATTGAGTCTACTATGTTAGTTTAGTTCGAGCGTGGGACTGTTGTCCGTCCATGCTGAAGACTCAACAGTTGTTTGGGATGTTTTTGAACCTTTTTTTGTTTATTTTATAATTCCTCATTTATACCATTCCCATGAACAAATATTGAAGCTGACCCGATGTCCCTCGACTCAGAGACGAGATGTTCGAGTGGCGAGTCGGTGTTTAAAATCCTTAAAACAACTTGGGCTCCTTGGCGAAGTAGCAGCTCCGTTTCCTGCACAAGAACAGCTTTCGGAGGAATGAAGCCCCCACGCTGCCTCCCCCATTCAAGGCGGACCACCTGTGATCCCCCGAGCAGCTGTCGCTCTCATTACTCACCCCCCCCCTTCCCCCCCGGGGAACGCGTGTTCAAGCTACACGCCGCCCCGCTTAACGCATTCACTGACCCCCGTCTCAAACTAACAGCCTTTAATTGAAAATGCACGGTCGGCATTCCCGTTGCGCCCCCAGAGAGTGGAATGTACTCAGAGCCTCAAGCTGCCAAACGAGTTCAACGGCTCAAATTCGGCAAAATAAAAGACGTCCCAAAATAAGTGACGATCTATTGATCTTTCTGCTGCGTCTGGCCGTGTTAAGAGGTTCTCATCCGCAAGTCGTCTCGCCCTCGAACTCGCCGGTCCAGCGATGGAGTGAGTCAGACGGGCTCACTGAGGAGGATCCACACGTTAGCTGCGTCGGGCAGACTTCATCAGCTCTCCGGTGCTGTGAAATAAAGCCTGGCGTTTACTTACCGTTTGCTGCCAGTGACCGAGCGACCGAGTTTAGTGAATTAAGGATTTTGACCGGCTCCTTTCTTTTTTTTTTTTTTTCCTCCTGTCAACAGAAAGAAATGACCAGCTGGAACAGGAGGAGAGGAGGGAAATCAAGCAGCGACTGAACAGAAAGGTAGGCGGCTGCATTGATCCCACCAGTTTGCCCCATCAAATCCCACATTCAGGCGACACCGACGGAGACGGTCAACCGGTAAAAAAAAAACCTTGATCCTCTTTCTCCAGCTGAACCAGCGGCCCACGGTGGACGAGCTGCGAGACCGAAAGATCCTCATTCGCTTCAGCGACTACGTGGAAGTGGCCAAAGCCCAGGACTACGACCGGCGGGCCGACAAGCCCTGGACCCGACTGTCGGCGGCTGACAAGGTGACCGAATGAAACTCGGACTCAAAATACCGTCATTTTCCGGACAGCAGAGCGCACCTGAATATGAGCCGCACCACCTACATTTTGCGCTGAGGGGAACCTCTGGGCTCACGCTTGGTCTCCCTGTCTTTTCCCCACTCAGGCAGCGATACGGAAGGAGCTGAACGAGTTCAAAAGCAACGAGATGGAAGTTCATACTTCGAGCAAGCATCTGACGAGGTCAGTCTGAGTCTGGCCTGGGGGAGGGGACGGGGGACGGGGGTCCGTCTGGACAGTCCATTTTTATCGTGGGTACCTTGACAGAATATCAGTAAAAATGCAGTGATCGGATTGATGAGAGAAGTCGAGTTCACTGTGACCTCACAGAGCGACGTCCTATGGAATAAAATGGCAAAGCGCTTTTGGAGGTAAGCTCCTCGGCGGCGTCCCACCGCCCTGCTCTTGCTTTTTTCGTCGGTACGACGTCCGAGAGGGTTCACTGTGACATTGTGTAAAGAGCTGAAAGCGCATTACTCGCCACTCTCACGCCAATGAGAGCGCCGCCACGCACTGCGGGGCTTAAATTTAGCTGAAGCCAGCCCCCCCGAGAGGAGAGAGTCGCACACTTTTGCACCACCTCTCCACTATAATGGATGTCTGTGTATATTTAGCTCACGTTTTGCTTGTTCCGAGGTTCTCTGGAGCTAAAACGCACTGACCGCCGGGCTATAAATAGACCGTATGATTGATGAAACCTTGATGGGTGAATAATTTCGGCCCCACGCTCATAAACTCTCTCCTCTCCCCCCCCATCTCCCCCTTCGCAGGTTCCACCGGCCATAGCGAGGTTTCTTCTGTGAAGAGTTGCCGATGGTCCTTTTTCGCACGGAGTCTTCCGGCGCCGTGGCCCACAGTCAGTGGGCGCTCTGGCACCGGTGTCCAGCCGGGCCTTTGGAGGCTATGTCTCTAGAAGAAGGGGAGTCGGGCGGCGCGGACGCACGCGGCGAGCTCCGCCTCTGCTCGGGGGGGGGGGGGATCGGCTCCTCGAACCCTCCCTTCAGAGTTCGAGGTCATGTGGACGAGCCAAGACTTTTATTTTATAAACCGTCTCTTTTGAAAGACGTCCTTTTTTCCATGCTACGGGAGGGAGAGCGGCGCGATTGGGGGAGGGAGGGAGGGAGGGGGGGTGATGATGTGCATGCGACCGAGTCGACCCGTCCCACTCCAGTATTAGTAGGCACCCCCCCCCCCCCCCCTCTCCGATCTGTGTGTGAGTCTCACCGATGCAGTTGATGCGTTTCATATCGACAGTGTAAACAGAAAACCTTTGTCTGCGTAAGGACAGAATTCCCTTTGTAAGCACTATTTATTGTCTGCACAATACAGGTTTTCAATTTGTAACAACCCTGGTCCGTGTTTTATGTTCCTCTGTGTTTTGCGCGGCGCTCCGAGAGGTCCGATTAGGCTGCTGACCGCTGACTCAGCATCATAAACGGGTTGTAATCCTCTGGGTTTATCTCGGCGTCCCGGTAAGCGGATAATAACGTGGAAGCGGAGTTGAACCTGAGATCACGCGGCCGCTCGTTCACGAGAGAGAAAGCTCGGTGACCTGCTTCAAATCCCCTCGAGAAAACAAGGCCACCCGACAGACTTCGGCTCCGGTTTTGGAGCGAGATGTTGATCCAGCCGCTGTTTGCTCTCCGCTGCGTGTTACTGACGGGGGAACCAGAATCAAAGGATTAGTTCTGACCCACTGCAAATCCTTTGGGACAATCGGCGGCGGCGTGGGTCCAAAACCACATACTCATATTAACAAATAGAACCCAGGCGTGGTCGCATTGGCAGTGCAGTTTTTTTGCTGCTGAGCTTCTTCCCCGACAGCGACGCGCACGTGAGGTGAGTCACCGCCGCCGTCCTCGGCGCTGGCGGAGGAACAGATGGCGACGGCGCTTCTGGACCGGACCATCTCACGGTCCAGAGAGCTGCACGGCGGGGCGGGTTGGGTGGCCGGATCATCCCAGATCGCCCCGTGGAGCAGCGTGGGAGGGCCGGGGGGGGACGACGCTCGCTCTCCGCCCGGGAAGGGGATGTCCTCACCTGCGGGTGTCCCTCAGATGGACGAGGACGCTGAACGCTTGGTCCGCTGTGGTCAGCCCGGCCCGTAAGCGGGATCACCTTCTGGTTCAAAATCAGGCTTAGGATTATAAATAGTTTTCATCTTTTCCCATTTATATTCCCTCTGCCAGTAAATGATCCTGCGTTGCATAAGAACAATCCGCAGCGTCCGATCCTCGGGGACACGGAGCACACACAGATTTTTAGATTTATTTTACTGTCAGTCATTTTGAAGCAGACGGACAGAGATGTGTTTCTGGTCATGTGCACAAAGCTCACGCCGACTCAAAGCAAAAACATCCCCACACAATGTCTTCATTGTCCTCGTCCCGACATCATGCCGCTAAGTGCTCTCGTGTGTGCGGCCTAATCGACCGACGGGAGCAGAACATCTTCTGATGAGCTGCCAGGACGTCTGCATGTGATCCACTGCTCGGCAGTCTGCTTCTCCCACAGCGATCAGTCGTCCCGCGCCAGGCCGGCGCGTCACGCCGCTCAGCCCGTCGCCTGCTTTCTGCCAGCTACGCCTTCAGCCGCCTGATTGATTCATGACAATTAGGCTTTTTTTTTCTTTTTAGACATAAATAAAACGCTCATTCAACTAAAACAACAAATAATTTAGAGAGAAAAAACGCGCTATGCAGACATTTGTTATACAAATTAATATTCATGAGATGAAATCAGTTATTGAGACTTCAATAATATTCCCAAAATGACACACAGGTCATTGGGTGGGTTTAAAGATGTCACTAAATCATAGTAATGATGCATCCGTTTGTATGCTTCTTACATGTCAATCACTGGCCAGTTCCCCGGAGCATCACGGGGCCTCCTGATTTGGCGTCTTCCCCCAACACAGCTCGCCTCCGCACGGCGGGCCCCCCAAAAAACACGCCCGCTGGCAATGACTGGACCACAAATGAGGAACATGGATACCAACGAGCACCCGGGCCGGGGGAAACAACCCAGGAGATGTTTAGTTTGGGTTTGGGAGCATCAGGAGCCTCGTCTGCACTGAGACTCTTCTCTGGTTGCGGCCGCGCTGCACTTTGCCAATGGCTGGCGTGCACGTGCCTCCACCCGGCGAGCCTCGCGGTCACTGCCACGCGGTGGATCCAGCAACTACAAGCAACCTACAGAGGAAGGGACTTGAAGGGATTTATAGATATAAGCGTCCACGCCGCTTTTAGTATTGAATTGGAGAAACCCGGCAAAGGGACTGATATTTACACTGTGGAGCTGATTGATTTGAGTAGTGACTCCACTCCAGAAGTAAATGATCTGGAATGGTCTTTCCACTCAAGTCCTTTATCCTGGTCTTTACAGCTCGGGTTGAAACATATTAAAGCAAGGAGGCCATCTAGTGTCCATAAGTGTGGCTGCAGAGGAACACTTCAATCATCAGTGTCACAGGAAATTATGGTCAGTCATTCTTCTTGTGTGTGGGACTTCAAAATGGAAATTCACCTTTTATATTCTGTTAAAATATTTCTATTATATTTATATTTATACATGTCCAAGCGTAAAGAGTTTATAACCGTGTAGCTGGGAGGAGTTTGAAACATTTAGTTATTTCACTGCTCATTACTGTTGCATTACAAATACATGAAACCTTTCCTACGTTCAACACAAGAGGAACCGTTTCACGCTTCATTCCCTTTCCGCCGGCAGTAGGCTCAGGGAAGCAGCAGGTCACGCTTCCCCTGAAGCACTGCGCCTGTTTGTCCCCCTGCATCCTGTGCAGGTGTAACAGCCCCCCCGGTGGACACTCAGGTGAAGTGCAGCATGCTGTCCTTGCACTCCCTCGGCACAGTCACCGTGTAGCTGTGGCACGACAGCTTGTAATTGCGTCCGCCGTTGTTGTCCCAATGACAGCGTCCCGCCACGCGGTAGCGGATGGCAAATTCCAAAATGGCCCCCGGCTGCAGGAGGAAGGGAGGGACAGGCAGCCGGAACCTGAAGGAATCGGTCTCCGGGGCGCGGTGCCCGCTCTCCGTCCAGGACGCCGCGGTCTCCGTGTGCGTCCTCCAGTCGGTGAAGGAGTAGCGCACCGTGACTCGCTTCTCGTAGGACAGGTTCAGCACTCGCACGGTGCCCGTGATGCCCTGCTCGGAACACACCACCTGCTCCAGGCACACGCCCTGAGCGCCGAGGCGCTCCAGGAAGTCCGGCTGAGCGCCGACGGTCTCGGGGAAACAGGGTTTGAAGTAAGGGAGGGACAGCTCCAACGACTTGGCGAAAGCCAGCTCGGAGCTCATCAGCAACCTGAACATCACGTGTTGGGGAATCAAGGGGGGCTCCCGAACTTTGAACACCTTGACGTCCTCCAGCTCGAGGCCCAGAGAGTCCACAAAGCGGACCTGCAGGCTCCGCTGCGCCTTTTGTCTCTCCGCAGAGGAAGGAAGGGAGCGGGCTCGTCTCCTGGCGACGGGCTCGGTAGCAGGGTCACCGGGCGAGCCCTGCTTCAGGTTGAGCTGCTTCACCGACGGGGGCCTCGGACCCGGAGGGCGGATCCGGACCGGGGCTTTGGGAGGCTGAGGCTTGGGATCATAAAGGTCCCGGAGACGAATGGTGGTGGTTCTGGCGGAGCAGCACGCGTCGCTGGAGCCGCCGGTGAACACAGGGGCGACACCGCTGTTTTCCCCGGAACCGGCCATGGTGGTCGAATCAAACACACCTGCAGAAACAAACCAGTCCACGTGTAACTCGTTCATTTAATAAAAACTTCACATGCAAATACGAACTAAACAACAACGTCTTGACCAGAATCTTAGTTCCGTTTTTCCAAACGCAAACGGTTACATGCTGCGAGGAAGACCAAACCTTTGCAGAGGAGACCCCTCTCGTCCGGCTGCCGGGCCAGCCTCTTGTCATTGACCTTGTTTACTGCTGCTAGCAAAGTTGCTTCGACCTCGACTGCCACCAGCTCACAAGAGCCCGTGTCTGCCAGCAAATGCCATTAATACTCAACGGGAGCCATGAAGCAACAAGGCCGTTGCTGAGTAAACTTAAGAAAGGAAAGCCTGCAACAGAAAACACATCGAGCGAGCTGTGATCTACGGCTCCAAACCCCTCGAGCTCAGCCTTTGACGTGTAACACGACACCTCAGCTGGCGATGGCTGGTGTGCAATGAATATTTATAGCAGGTAATGGGCACAGACTCTATTTTAGATTTACGCAGCGCACAAAAAAACAACAAGCGATCAAACACCACTGTCTTACCTCGTACTGAAGGCTATGTGCATTGTGTAATATCACACATTGTAAACCTATTTCTGTTTTTGCCCAATCCGTATTGTGTCCTTTTGATTTCTGTGCGGTAAATGTGTTCCATAATATTAATATGAATTCATTTTGTATCTTGTAGTTTCCTGAGTTTTCTGACTTTCTGATAATAACACCGCTGGTCTTTGACATATCGAGCGCGCAGGTGACCGAGCAGGCGGTCGGGTCGGGTCGGGTTTGGGTCAGGTTGACAGACTGAAAGACAAACAAAGAGTGTCGGCCTCCTCCGGTTGGCAGCGGTGTGGTTGGGACGGCCACGGGAAGCGGGCCGACCTGGATCTCGGTGGCAGACGGTATGGAGGATGAGAAGCTCCGCGTCTCCTCTAGAGAGTCCACCGCGGTGATGTGCCTCCAGATGCTGCTCTCGGGCCTGCTGGCCGGGCTCGGCACGGTGACGGCCGGCCTGCTGCTGGACCGGCTGCAGGTCAGTGACTCACTGGTGTTCGACCACACAGAATCTGTGACGCTAGGATGGATGACGAGCAGATCAAGTCCAAATTCATTTCCTTGTATCTTGTATAGCAAGAGTCCTTGTTATATCACTGATCAATATGACTGAAGAGCTTGAAATGACAGGGATGTGGTAACCATACTTGTCCCTCCATGTCCGATTCCCCGTGAGTCCTTCCACGTCTCTCTGAGGTGATTTGGGACGGCGAGGAGGTGGCGCAGTGGGTTTGGAGGTCACAGTGAACTAATGCGGTAGAGATACAGATGTGGGAAAAGGTCACACTGTATTTGGGTCTCCTCATAATTAATGTCGGGGCTCCATCATGTCTGATGAAAAAGGATGGGAGGTAGAACGGACGGAATTTAAATCAAGAGATCGTTTTCTTTATTGTAATCTGCTGCGTTTGTATCTATTTCATACAGTCTGGTTTGGACGGAGGTTCAGACTTAGTCAAAGCTTTGTTGCCTCACTATTCACTCCAAAATATGACCAGAGGTGTTTGTCTCAAGGACACTTTTTAAGCTGAGTCACTGTCCTTTTGTGTGCGTGAGGACGCGGTCTCAATAAGTATTCTGAGCAGGTTTGCGTGACATCATCTAGTGAGCACAAATCAGGCGACGGCTGAATGCGTTTCCTCCCATCGCGGCTGATAAACGGTGTCCTTTGGGCAGTAGCGGCACGTGTTGGTGACGGGGGGGGGCAGGCACCTCCTGCCGCTCCGACTGCGTCACCCACGCACGGCGAGGACATCACGAGCGGGGAAAAGGAGGAGCTATCAAAGAGGCGGAGAGGACAACAACAGCCGCATTGTCCTCTGAACTGATCCCCAAAAAAAGGACACGGGGAGAAAGACGGGAAAACTGAAGGACGAAGACCCCTGAGACAGTCAGGCCTGGACCGACCGTCACAATGAGGAGAGAGGTCCAGAGCGGCGGGCATCAGCCCGCCGGCAAGCAGGGAGATGAGGAGGTGTGCAGGGGGGCCGAGAAGAAGCTGCTGGCCTTCTGGATGTCCTTGCCCCTCCGGACCTGGACACTCTTCAGGGCCCGTGAGAGACCGGGCTTCCAGCGCTCCGCCTCGTCCGCCCGGCTGCTGAAGAGTGAGGCGTGAGGAGGGAAAGTGTGTGCGTGTCTGTGTGTGTGTGTGTGTGTGTGTCAGTAGCAGAGTGTCAGAAGAGGCTTCCCAGACCTGCTGTCAAGTGAGTCGGCGTGTGTGTGTGTGTGTGTCTTAATGTGTGTGTGTGTGAACCATTCGTGTGGATGAAAGCAGCTTCCTCCACCCATTCCACCATTCATGTTGCTGCCCCGTCCGAGTCGGAGGCGCAGGTGGAGGACAAAACAAGCTTGTCGTCACATTTATCAGGCAAAACCACCAGCTGGGACCCTTTGAGGAGACCACTCGGGAGGAATCTCCCTCTGCGCTTCCTTCCGTCCGAACTGGATGATTAATTCAAACCTGTCAAAAACAACTTCTGGATGTCCCGCCCCCGCTAGACGCTCCACCGGGAGGGCGATGGGTTAACGGGGGAGGGGGGGACCGGGCCATGGCGGTGACCCATCTCGCCCTGGAGCTGCGCTTCCAGGGGAAGAAGCTGAGGGGCTTCTCGTGCAGACTGACCCGCGCGGCACACGGCTGGCTGCCGGAGAGCTCGTGGACGGTCGCGGCGCAGATCCTGCTGCCGTACCTGGTGTCCGGCCTGGGCATGGTGGCGGCCGGCATGCTCATGGATGCAGTGCAAGTATGTGGGCGAGAAGGAAGATGAACAAAAAGGGCGTCTGTGTGAGCGTGAGTTTACATGATTGTTACCGACATTAGTGGTCTGTTTGAGTCTTTTGTTGTTCGACGCGAGTCGTTTTTTATTCTAACCGGGGAATATGATTCGCTGTTGTTATTGACCATAACCACCACGTCACGTGAGCAAAGCCTTCTCATTTACAGGCAGCGGCAGAACAAGGATGAATGTGATGCTTGTGTGATGAAGCAATGGGAGAGAAACCACAAAAACACTGATACAAGATGGGATTTATGTCTCTTGGGTTTCCCTGGCGAAATGTCCTTGGGAGAGGAGAAATGAGTGAACCAACAGGAGGCGAGTGGGACAGATTAGGAAAATCAGACCACTCAAAACTGTTGAATTCACAGTGAAGCAAATCTGATCAATTCATTTGTAATGTATGCCCTCGAAGACGCAAACACATTTCATGATTTATTTTTTTATTGTAAAGTAAGTAACAAAATATAAATAAATGTTATTTGTTTTGGTCATAAATTGTTTTTTTTTAACATCTGTATACAGTATATGCAATAAGGATTGTTGGGTAGTGTGCAATGTATATTGCTTTTTGGTAGCTTTCTCTTTATAGCCTCTACTTCTCTGCACAACAGCCTCAACCGTAAACTCCAACACATCCCTTAAAAATAAATGTACATGTCTATATATATATGTGTGTGTGTGTGTGCGTGTGTGTGTGTGTGTGTGTGCGTGTGTGAGCAGAAGTTGCATTAATAGAGCGCTATGGTGTTTTTCAGCACTGGGAGGTGTTCAAGGAGATCTCAGAGGTGTTTATCTTGGTGCCGGCCCTGGTGGGGCTGAAGGGGAATCTGGAGATGACATTGGCATCCCGACTGTCAACGGCAGTGAGTGGAAACTCATGCACACATGTACAGAGTGACAGAGTCACGCACACCAGCACGTAGAGTCAATGTTTACTCTGAATCCCTTTTTACCTTCATGGAGCAAAATGTCACATCTTTTTACAAACAGGTGACATAAGGTGCTAATATGTTGCACCTGTTTTTTTTCTATTTAAATAAAACCACGTTTAGCCAAGAACAAGATGTTCCTACCAACGGTCGTAACTGGCCAACTTTTGGGAAAATGCAGTTGACTCATTACTGAAGTATTCTGTGAGTAGCGGCAGAAATACGTGCAGCTCGCCTTTAAAAAATGACGCGGTACATTCCTTTAATTTCAAAATCAGTTCCACACCAAACGTCAGCATTCAGTGGTGATGATTCATTATCACCTTAATCATTGCTCACCAGCATTTGTCAGGGTTACTTTGATGCAATGTTGAAATACATTTGCAGAGCAACACTTTAAAATCAACTCAACGTGATTGAGAAATGCGATGACGTGAAGTGGTTTCCGTCCGCAGGCCAACACGGGCCAGATGGACGGCGCCCCGCAGCAGCGGAGGATGGTGTTGTGCAATCTGGCCCTCATTCAGGTGACTCTCCACCCTGTTAATGAAACACTCCATCACGGCCTCACGGCAATTTAATGAAATCCAAGAAGCTTTGCCGGATTGATACGGTCTTCCCCTCATCTCATTAATGCATATTAGCATATTAAACTTGATGACAGTGTACAAGTGGTTGCCATGATAAGTCAGTGGCGCAGAAAGAGAAATCATAATTGGGCTGATTCTGTCATAGCCAGCTAGAATTTACTTCTCTATTAGTAGTTTAGTGAGAGTTGTGGCTGCAGTCGGGTACATACATCTTGTTTTTTACTTCTAAGGAATTTCCCAAATATCAGCAGTCTATAATTTGTTTCTGTAGGTGCAATTCACTTTTGATAGAATTATTTTAATTATGAAATAAGAGCAGGCCGCCATACTTCATTAACCACGACCACCAGAGGGGTCTGAACCACCAATGATCAAGTTAAAACATCAGATTGGATCATGTTAAAGCAATGATACATTTAGCATTAGCATCCCGTGTTAGCATTAGCATCCACTGATATGTAAAAAGGTAGTTGTTAGCAAGCTAATGTTAGCTACATGTTAGCAAGTTACTGTAGTTAGTGAAGACACATAAATACACCACTATGTTGCGTAACTCGCAACTTTGTCTTTGAAATATAACGTTAGTTAAAATGGACATTTGGACAGTCGTCTGACAGCGGACGGCAGTGACAAGGACGCACCTTGTCGATTTCCAAAGGTCATAGAGGGCGACAAATTGTTTGGGTAGGACTACCCATTATTAAGAGAAATTCAATATAATGATTCTAGATTGCTGCTTAAGGCTGCACTACTCCTTCGATTTAACATCATCTTATTCTAATGTTTGTATTCTCTGCGTGACAGAGAACCAAGAATGAACCGTTACAGCAGACTCATCATGAGACGTTTATACCATGTGGCAACAAACAGAATGACGCTCTCCTTGGTGCCCAGGTCCAGGCTACGGTGGTGGGCTTCCTGGCAGCGGTCGCAGCAGTGGGCCTCGGCTGTCTGTCCAGGGGTCGTGTGGACATCGTCCAGGCGTCTGTCCTCTGTGCCAGCAGCGTCACCACCGCGTTCATTGCTGCGCTGTCTCTAGGTTTGTCTGACCTAGTAGATGGCAGTGAAAACACGGGCTACGACACAGAGGACGGGTGGCGTTCGTGAGCTCAGTGTGTGCGTGTGTGTGTGACAATTTCTTTGTCAGGTCTGGTGATGGTGGCTGTGATTATTGGATCCAGAAAAGTGGGCATCAACCCCGATAATGTGGCCACTCCGATCGCTGCCAGCCTCGGGGACCTCATCACCTTGTCGCTGCTCGCTGGCGTCAGCAGCCTCTTCTTCTGTTACAGAGGTGGGAAGATCTCACGTTACACCAAGAGAGCCCCTCACTGAGGGTGCAAGACACATCAAACCCCTGCAAAAGGGTCTTTAGGGCAGATAAAGAAGAAAAGGTGGTTAAGGAGGGTTTGTCCACATGAGAGCAGCATTGTCCACTTTTGATTCTTGTAAAAATCACGGGAGCAGTGGAAGGCTCTGAAGACTTTCATCATCCTTGTCATGGAATCTCTTGTCTCCCGTTTCCGCACTCTCAAACTACTCAACTAACGATCTCTATACCATATGAAGTGTAATCAAAGATTTTTAGCGATGCATTCTGGGCTACATTGCTCTTCAGACACGTGGTACCTGCCTCCCGCAGTGTGTGGGTTCTTCCTGCTCCTTATCCCCGCGTGGGTCATGATCGCCCGTCGCTCTCCGCCAATCAGTGAGGTCCTGAAGTCCGGCTGGCAACCAGTTATATTGGCCATGTCCATCAGCAGGTGAGTCGGTGGGGAGACCTCCAGAAGAGCGCTTCTTCCCCTGATTGCAAGTGATTTGAAATATTGAGATGTATGACCATTAATTGAAATAAATCAGCTAGATTGGGGGATCCCATAATTGTGTGTTTTCTTTTTCACAGTATTGGCGGATTAATTCTGGATAAGACAGTGAGCAATCCAAACTTCGAAGGTATGGCAGTGTTCACTCCAGTCATCAATGGTGAGAAGAACTCCACTGCACACTTTCTGCTACAAAGAGCTTTTACTAATTATAAAACGGCCTCAATATAATACTGATGCCTCTACATGATCTAAATTAGCGAATGAAATCATCAGCGAGTAGATTGGATATTTCTATTATCAATCTAAAATCATTCTAAAGTCACTGATGGCACACAGCCAGTGTGTTAGCCGCTGAGGTTTGGCAGGAAGAGAGTTTCCTTTAGAGATGATTATTATTATTATTATTTTTTATATTTAGGGACCATGTTTCCTCTTTCAGTCACTTCTAACAGAAACAAGCTGCCAAGACATTTGAGGTCCATCCACTTTGACACAAGTTGCATACTGTCAAGGTGCTTTGGTCTGACTTAAATAGTAATTGGACAAAATCTTGCAGCTCACGTAACGTTACTGATGTATATTTTAGTTTATAATATAATATAATACAGCATAATTCTATTGTAAGATTTTCTGACAATACTTTTTTTATTTTTTACATTACTTTACTATTTTGAACGCAGGACTGTTTAATTCTTTTTTTAAGTTGCAATATTGCCGTTTGTACTTGCTTGGTAGAGAATTTTCCTCCTTACTTCAGAGGCCTCGAGGGATGAAATTGCTCTGATTAATTTTGCCTTGAGTCAAATTTTTTTTGGATATTATCTCATTAATTGGAGGGGAAAATACTTGTGAGATTTCTTCTGCACGCTTTGAGCAGAGAAATGAAGGCTGACATGTCTCCCGGGAGGAGTAAGCCAAGCTGGTATTTGAAGTTACGGTTTCAACAGCCATAATCGCCATTTAAGCTTTATAATGAGCTCCATTATTATCAGTAACGTCAACTGGAAATTGTCGGAGCATGTGGACGCCCGGCAGCTAATCCCATTAGTATTTAAAGGGGCCTCCATTTGAACTAATCAATCATGAGGTATTAAAGCGCTCCAGAGGTTAAGCAGCGACCCCCCCTCTCCCGAAAGAAGCGCGGGATCTTCACTGACAGAAGTTAGTTGCCCACAAAGCAGCATACCAAGTAGAGAGAAATAACAATGGTCTTTACATAAACCACAAGCCTGATCAGAATGCCAACTATGGCCCCCCCGCTGCATCTCTGCCAGCTCCACATTGACCAAAGACTCCTGCATGTGCTGCCCGCCCCCCCGACCCCCACCCCCTCCACCCACGTACAGGAAGTCAATTTGCATTCCAATTCAGGGCTCTTCCCTCCTGGCCTATTGACCGAAAAACACCAGTTGAAGAAGAATTCAGATCCTTTGCTTCATTAAAAGCAGAAGAAACTAAGTCTAAAATACTCCCCTACAAGTGTACCAACACAATGGCTTCTTTCACTGTATTATATTGTTTTAGTGCGTCCTAAAACGAATACATGTAGAATTTCAGCGTTGTAGTTTGTCAACTGGGAACCAATTTTACGTGATATACTATTTGGTAGATTGCAGTAGGGCATCATGTCCTGTGAGCGAATCATCGGTTTTTCTGCATGTAAAAGGCTACATATGTAAATGTGGCTAGTACCTCCGGCTGCTAAACAAATGTGCCACAGTAAAAAAATACACTATTTTCCTCTGAAATTTAGTGGAATAGATTTGTAAAGTATCAAAAAAGTAACATAAATACAATGCTATAATATTCTCCTCGCCTGCTTCTGTCCAAATGATCCATGTGCTTCAAATTTCACCAAACCAAGATTGGTCTGCTCCGAATGAAACAAGCCCGAGGGCTGGCTGTGTTACAATGAAAATCATCACGCAGACGTTCTCTTCTGAGCTTTCCGAGGACAAAGACGTCCCCCGGGGGCGCTGTGATAACTGATAACTGCTGAAATTGCTGTTTGGTCAGTGAATTCTTTTTCCAAGAGTGACTCCGATATTACTACACTGCAGTGTGGCTGCAAGACGACACATCGGCAAATATGAAAAAATAAAGAAAAACATGCTGCATAAATAAATACTAGTTATAAGCTTGAACTCATTTCATTTTTGTTGCCGACTTTGACAACAATGCACCTCCCCCCTCCACGCTGCTATGTTCCGTTTAATCTTCCCAATTCTCATGTTTATTATGGAGTTGATCAGTGCTGCACGTTTCCATGTCCCTGCAGGTGTGGGGGGGAATCTGGTGGCCATCCAGGCCAGCAGGATGTCCACCTATCTCCATTGCTGGAGTGTTCCTGGAGCCCTTCCATTTATAATGAGGGAGAACTGTCCCGGGCCCTTTGCTAACCTCTGCTCCTCTGGTAAGACAAGGAAACAAACCCACTGAACCGTCCTCAGAAATATTTACCAAGCCCATTAATTCTCTCTCTATTATTATCTAGATCTGAACTCCAAATCAGCCAGAGTCCTGATCCTCCTCGTGGTCCCGGGTCATCTTCTCTTCCTGTACGCCATACATCTTCTGCAGGGAGGCCATAATGCCATGACGCCCACCTTCATAGTCTGCTACCTGTGTGCAGCTCTGCTTCAGGTCAGATCAACCAATAAGTTAGTTTCGTTTCTGCCCAAAAAATGTTTACTCTTAAATTGGAAACACTTTCCTCCATCATCATCATCATCATCATCATCCAGGTGGGGATTCTGCTTTACGTGGCAACCCTGATGGTGCGATGGCTCTGGCGAAGGGGACTGGATCCAGATAACTTCTCAATTCCCTACCTCACGGCTCTGGGGGACCTGCTGGGGACTGGGTTCTTGGCTCTGAGTTTCAGACTGATCATGACGGTCAGTTCTACCGGCAGTGGAGTTTAACAGCCACGTGGTCCTGCACGACCTGAGCTGTGCTGTTCCCTCAACGCAGGTAGTTGAAACGCACTTGCAAAGCTCGCGTGAGAAGGAAAGTGAGGATTACGGAACACACGAGGCTTGTGTTGGGGTTATATTTGTGCCTCAACACTGAGTTTAATTTTACAGTAGCACATACGTTTCATTCTGATGATCCATTCTGTGTGTTTGTCTGTCTAAAGGGACTAAATAGATTCAACCTCGGTTCGACTCATTTTTCACTCTTTTTAATGCTCTGCTGTGTCCTCTCAAACCCTTTGGAGACGTCCTGTGTCTTTCCCAAAGTTTCAACTCAAATTTACTGTGTGTGTCTCAACAGCAAGTCAAGGCAAAGGCAGCTGGCCAGCTGGCCTACAGCTGACGTACAGCTCGCACATATAGTGCTTCAGGGATGACATGTTTTTCTTTGCATCTTGCTGGTTCCCAGCACCAATAAGCCAATGAGATTTTTCATTTCCATTTTTCTTTTTTTTTTCTGTTTATGATAGTTTTCATGAATGGACAACATGTTTATGGTTTCTGAAGCACAAATGCAAACGGCGGAAGTAAAGGACCATTGATGGGCTGAAAACACCTGTACACTTGCATGACATCACCTGCCAACCACTGATGCCATTTACCTTTTTTGCCGATTGTTCGTAGGGTTATCTGCTAGTAAGGAAGTTGGGAAACACTGGGGAAATGTCAGGGACATCATTTAAGTAGTTTTAATGTGGAATTCTGCCCGTATTGGCGTCTCTATCTAGCCATCCCGATAGGTGCATAAGCTAGCTGACACATGGATGGCAGCTAAACAGTAGCTAACTAAGCTAGCGAACTTCTTATTGATACAAATGCATTGTAATCAATATGTTCTATTATTTTTAAAGGGCTCTTTAAGGGTCTCCTTTTCCTCGCAGCACAATTGCATGAAAAAAATGTAGTGATAAGTGAGTTTAGTGTAGCAGCTAGCTGACATGCTAGTTTGCGTTAATTACCTGATAGCATGCCATTCAAATTAGAAACGGCGCACTGACCGGGCCATTCATTTCATTCTCTTTAATTTAAAGGTACGAAACTTTCACAAAATTGTTTTTTGGACTGGAAATAATGTGCAGAAATGTTCTCTGCTCAAAATATCTCTTCCGGCTCAGGATTGAGAACAAAATCAAACAGCGTTCAGTGGTTGAGGGAATGCAAAGGCCGAACAAAGAGGAAACCATTTGGCTGAAAATAGAGTAAATCAGAGGAGGAAAGTATGGACTCATTTTGCAGCCACACGTCTCACTGGGGTCTATAGTTTTACTGGTTAGAATACCGCAGCTTGGCTCTGTAGAAATAACGATCATCTAAAATAGACAGTAGTGGGAATACCACAGAACCTCTGGACAGTTGACACATCTGTAAACATATTGTCAGCAGTTAATGTTAGATGGCAGATGATTGTATTAGATATTAATTATATAGAACTGAATGTAAATGTATATATTAATGCAAGATGAATGGTAGATTTAATCTGGTCTTTTCACGCGGGTCTGTGCCTTTAGACCGTAACAGGCCTTCAGTTGCCCAAATTCTACTGCTTTTATTTTTTGTGCAGCAGTGCCACTGAATATTGCCTCATGTACTTGACTGTTTCCATGTTAGTATGAGTTGCGTGTATTGACAATACAGAGATTTTCTTGTGGGCCTTTTTGTGAATAAATTATTTATGCATCTCTGTGTACGGGGCATTTTCAATTGTTTGATACGCACTTATAGAAAAAGGCTTGTGTTTTCTGATCAAAAGATGGAAAGAATTATGTTTTTTGCAGCAACATTAAGCTTAAATCCCACAAATGTAAGAACTACTAGATGAGCTTTGCAGCTACGATCTGTAAATTAAATAGAAAAATGACATGTAACGTGTGTTTGCCGTATTCTGAAGGATATCTGTAGTGATCAGAAAGGATTATATTCAAACCAACAAACAACTTTGCTGAAATGCATTTATTTGATAATTGTGAAGAAAACCAAAGGTCTATTGCGGCTCGTAGGAATTTGGGGAGTCAGCAATGACAGAATAAATAAAAACATGATCATTGATGAAACACAGAAATCTCTTCCTCTCTACAACACAAAGAAATAAACATAGTCAGAGTTAAGAAAAGTTGTCCGCTGAGGTCAACAATAAGGCTCAGATCAGAGGCACGTACGTTTGGAGACTTTACCGGTCTCAATACTTTCATTAAACTATTGCAGATTACATTTTTTATGTGAATTACACTTCAAGAACAGCAGATGGTGAAATGAAAAGAAACTAAAGGTCAAACGGCATCTCACACTTTCAAAGGCAGTGACCGACATCCACTGGGTCAGCATTTACAGTCAAATACTGTATAATCCTGTCCTGTTTGTATCTTCTCCAGAAGTCAGAACGCTTTTTACTTTCTAACTCCAATCAGGAAACATGTTCAACAGTAGCTACACTGTTCGTAAAAAGGCCCGAACGGAGAGAAACATCTCAAAAACTGCACTTTTAGAAGCTCCACGCGTTCAAGCCCGGCCCGTGGACGAGCGATGTCCAGGCCTCACCTGAACTTGAGGTAAGCTGGTAGTGAGTAGTTGAAGAGCAGGAAGTCCATGCGATAGAGGTTGTACAGCTTCTTCTGGTAGAAGGGGCTGATGTTCTGGAAGAACTGGGCCGCCATGTCTCCCGTAGTCCTGGTGCTCTTGGACGAGGCGGGGAAGCTGACCTGGTCCTCCACCCCGGCCAGCTGCAGCACGTAGCGGGAGTCCTGCTCCAGCGTCTCGTACTTACCAACCACGTCGTAGTGGATGAGGCACGGGTGGCACAGCGAGTGCACCCGCTCCCAGTGCTCGTTGAAGGGCTCCTCTCGCTGGGTCGCCGGGTCCACGAGGTAATACACAAACTCCTCGAAGGAGACGTCGTTGCCTCTCTGCAGGGCCTCCGGCCGCGGGTCCGGCCTGTGCTGCTGCACTATCTTTGTGCCGTATCGTTTATGAAAGGCCGTGTTGTAGGGCCTCGTGAACTTGTTGCGGTACGCCGACACCAGCCGCTCGAAGGGCTCGCGCACGAAGACAAACTTGAGGTAGGAGCGCAGGCGCTGGTTGATTTGCGGAGCGGAGTACTCGGACAGGGCGCGGAGGTTCCCCGGGATGTGGGCCTCGTTGGCGGGTATCGCCAGTGGGTCCCGGACGGACCCGGCGACCCCCGTCAGAACCATGAGCACCCGCTTCCAGTTGGTGCAGGCCACTTTGGGCACGTAGCAGTACAGCAAGCCGTGCTGGTCGTCCACGATGACGTGCTTCAGGTCCTCGGGGATGAGCACTCTGCGTTTGCGGGTGTAGGAGCGGCACGCTTCGTCCAACACCTCCCGTCGGCCCTGGTGGACCGCCTGCACTGCCGACTCCACCTCGAGGGAAAAGGAAAATAGGAGTCAAACGGGTCTGCGGTCTCCATCTCTGTTTTTACGTCTTCGTCCGTACAGCATGATGCTCATTTAGTTTACGTTTGGTCCCATTCACAGTCAAATGGACCAAATAGACAAATAGTTGCTGCTCGATTAAAGCAGAGATGAGAACAGTTCTGGGCCCTCAGCGACTGACTCACAGACCTCACACAGCTGAGGAGACACTAAGGAGCTGGTAGTTTTTTGCCAATTGAGGGAATATTCCCAAAGACGTATAAACAGACTTTGATCAAACTCAGGGATTTAAGCCAAGTCAGTCAAGTGGCGCAGACACCCGCATATTGCCAAAAGAGGCCATTACATTAACGGATACTTTTCCCTTAGAAGGTCTTAATCGGGGTCCATCCTCCGGCGTCCGCATCCCGTCTCAACGGGTCAGCCGGTTCAGCTTGGCCTGCTCGTGGCACAAACGCCTTATTTACTTCTTTCATTTGCTCGGCCTGGCGGTCAGAGCCCTGAACCTCAGTTTGACACTATGTGTGGCTCCGTGTCTACTGGCGGACATCAGACCATCAAGGATACACTGGGGGCGGCCCAAGACCGACCCCTCCCTCCAGCAGCCGGCTGTGTACTGTATGTTTACAACACCCTCGAACATTAATTCCTTCATGTGAGCAATATGCACGATTCAGTAGTTTTCCTGAGGACGTTAAAATAGCCTCCAGGATTCACCGCAACACAAACATGCCATTAAGTGAGTGCCAGAGCCTTGCTGGGAGTTTTGAGCACATGCACATGAATCAAATGTAGCGAAAAGCTGGGCCATGATTCACAGGGGGAGGAAATTCATGCGTGCCATTTCTTTTGGAATATAATCAGAGCGAAATCCTTTTTTCAAAACCTACGTTATGAAATTAGATTACACAGCATTCAAATTATACGAGGCGCTTTGCCGCACTTTTATTTGGACCGTGTTGGTCTGACGGCACAAGCGTTTCCATTTTAATTCACGGCCATTGTTCTCCATCCACATTGTTTTCAGCTGCACTAAATCCCCGGCACACTACCAGCACACGGCACACTAAGTTAACAGCCAGAGCATTCTAAGGAGAAAAGACTTCATTTCATCAGGTGGCCAGAAATATGACTCCAACTAGCTGACATAACCAATGCGATCATGCGTTGATAACGGGGTCAGTTGTTAATCTACAGCGTTTCCCAATGTTGCATAAAAGAGGCATCTATAGCATGGAGATGCAACGCTGCATCCAAACGTTTTCGTTCAATTAAACCAGTTAAGTTGAAATTATTAGTATTAATAATACTTCAATGGAGCTGAATTGAGGTTGACTAAATCCCCTTTTGCACAAATGTCAACGTGCACGAGCAAAGGAGCACATATGCTTTCACATACTGCTGTTCCATATCCAAATACAAAGTGATCTCGCATTGATCCAAATGCCGCAGGACTTTCTTTCCACAATCCTGACAGCTTGCTCCCGTCGTGGGGTTGGAGGTGGTGGGGGTGATTGGAGGAGGGGGGGGGGGTCGTGAAGCCTTCAAGTGTCAAAGTACCAAAGAAAATAGCACAAGCAGTTAAAAAGTAAATGATGCCTGCTGGAGCGGGCCTGTTTTTTTTTTGCCGTGGGCACCTTCCCTTTCCTCACAGGGAGATTTAACCGAGAGCAGCTGTTTCACAGATGGAGGGGCAGAGGGACTATTTAGAGCCCTGCCCAGGGGCGTTTTGTCAGGGAACATCTTCAAACCCTCTCATTTTCACAAGCTAACCGTCATTTTGTGCGGACGAGAAGTGAAACTCAAAACATTTGCTGATGTTAAGGGCAAACAAATGTGCAGTCCGTCCCGTCTCCGCCCACTCGGGACAGATGTGCGCGTGCGTCATCAGCAGGATGGCTGAGGTACATGCAATCTAAACCCCTCACAGCCAGTATCTTTTTTGCACCAGCAAATGCAGCCCTTATTGGACATGACTGCATAAAGTTAGAGTGGCTGTTAAAAGCATTACATTTTCCTCAATAAATTCACCAACCTGCTTTTGCTTTTTCTTCCAGATGGATCAGGGCAATGTGTATTTAACACATAAAATATGACAAGGATGAAAACATCACAGAGATGGGTTGTGTGTCAGACACTTACACGGGTCATTTCCAACCGAGAGGGCTGGTGCAAAACAGATGGATTGCATTTGATGTGATTTAAGACGTTGATGGCTTAGGAGGCCTGTGTTTATTCTTCGTAATCCAAATCAGGTTTAAACATGGAGTCTGAGCTGGAAGTAATAATCTTTCATCTTAATTAAAGAATAAGACCAGAAGTCATTTCGCTGCTGCAAAAAGCGAGGCGCACTTCGTCTTTCTCAATCCGACTGATAATCTGCGGCGAGGTTTGAAAGTAGCCGTTGGACTGAGCTTCATCTTTTTTTGCCGAGAAGAATGGACAAACATTTCCATCTCTAGATGTACAAAGCTGCTGGAGACATAATCCAAAAGACGTGCTGCGGTGACTGCAGAAAATTCTACCCAAGTGTTGACTCAGGCGGGCGAAAACGGCCAAAAGATGTAAAACTGCTGTCATCGTTGGGCCACGTTGCTCGTCTCTGCTCTGCGTACGAACAAAGCCTTCCAGAAGGACTTGGGCCTGCGTTTAGCGAGCAGTTACCGCGCACTGACCTGGTCTCCATCATGAAGCGTCTGGAGCGGGCTCCTCCGCGACTTCTGCCCGCTGCTTCTCTCGCCGGGCGGCTCCGAGGCTGAGGAACCACAACACGTCACAAAGTCAGACCCAAGTAGCTTCCAAATCAAACTCGGGTTACTTTGTAAAGCACAAACACCACTTAGCACAACGTAGTGGCCCATAACAGTCGGTGACTAGTTATTCAACTTAACAAGCAGTTAAAAAGTAGAAAATGCAATATGCAATATGCACAAACAAGCTGCATTGACTGTAAACAACATCTGTGTTATAGCCAGGAAATATGATCTATCATTAAACAAGACTTGGTGCAACACTTATTCAGGAGATTGCCAAAGTCTGCCCATCAGCATTATCGCTGCACTTTACACAACATTCATGTGACAAAACAAAATGAGGCAATACGGCTACGATAAACACACACAAGTTGGAGCTTGCCAATGTGTACACAACACAGCTGGACAAGGACGTGTAAAACACGGACCTGAAGCTGCGAGTTGGGAATCGGCAACGCTGAAAAACTGTTTTTCAAAGTCTATGAGACTGGATGAGAAGTGACATTAATTCAGGGGCCCAATAACGACAACAGCCTGGTGTTATAATATTGAGCAGACCGAAATGTGTGTGTGTGTGTGTGTGTGTGTGTGTGTGCGCTTCTTTTCTACACTGAGGTGGCGTTGGGCCATTTCATGTGTGCCAAGCAGCTTATGAGCTGTAAACCCATTGACAGTCACAGTGGAGAGAAGCAATGACACATGCACAGTATTGAATGTGCACTTTATGACCAAATTACAGAGGCACTAAATGCTTATAGGAGGGATTAAAAGTCAATCTTAGAAGTTATATTTCACGGTGCTTTCCAGCTGCTTTCTATCCATCATAGTGGACGACTTTGTTTACCGTCGTAGGAGACTCCGACAGCCAAATGGATCCGGGTTTTGCTTTTGGTAAAACGATGGTGCATTTAGAGTAAAAGAGACCATGAAACAGAGTAAGTGCTCTAAGGCGGCTTTAGTGAGTATGAAGGTTTTCATGCCTGTACATGTGATGGGAGCAGACGATGGCAAATGAAGACAAAAGGTGGATCTTGGCAGGTTTAAACTACCATTAAACAGCAAGAGCTTGACGTCTGCCTGAATGCGTTTTCTTCATTTCAATTATATTTGATGGCCTGGTTGTGCACACACACACCTACACCCACTCACTCACTGCTTGTTGGTACCTCTGGATTCCAACTGGATTTAGCTTAGCCATTAGCGAGACGATGATTGGGAATCCAGTAGACTCGTCGCAGCGCGTTTCAGGAGCCACAAACACACGTCTGCAGCAGGAGCTCAACCGTAGAGTCCAGGAACAATCAAAGTCCTGCACCACGACAACCGCTGCCACGCTCAGCTTCATCCTCTCAAGTTAAATGTCGTGTGTAATGGGTGACGTTGGGGGTTGCCATGCCATAATTAACTGGTGGGAGCATTTCTTCACCACGGCATTATTGCGAAGCGATTAAATCCTTTGCGCACATCTGCATTGGCACAAGCAAATCCACTAATAGAGAACAGAACAGTCAGAGATGCTGCTCGCAGAGAGACGGGGGGGTTCTGCTGCAGCACACTGCTCTATTGACCTTGTTTTTCTGAAGACATGGCCGCTTCCTTTGGGAAACTACCAGCCGTTCAGGAAAACATTTCCAACGCGACCACTCCCGCGGCCATCGCTGCTGCCCCTCCCAAAAGAAAGCGCCAGTCGGCAGAGGTGACGTCTGAGCGGACAAACACCGGCGAGCCGAGGTGGCACGTTGTGGCGGCCCTGAAATAATGCATTGTGGGTAGTCACTCCCGCCACTCCCATGTCGCATTGCTTGGCAACAAAAGGAAATTTCTAATCCCCAATTTTCTTGCGACGCATTTAACAATGAGCCAGATGGAAGTGCCGGGGAACTGAACAGATTCAATTGTTAAAGCCGGACCGCTGGATGTCGCATTGTGGAGGAAAAAAAAAACTCTATTTACCAAGTGAATGAAAAATGCATTCGTACACGACAACGTCTACAGCTGTGGACTGAAATCGTGTGCTATTCAATCCAAACACTGTCTCCGCTGAGGAGATTCCCCTTCCCCACCTACGGCCGACTCAAAGGAAGGAGTAGTCCTGTTGGTTTAACCCTGTCTCGTCCCTGCAAACCCTGCAGCATTCCTCCTGGTTCGCTCTGAACCGAGGGCTTCGGGAAATGTAAAATATAGAAAAGGGCCAATGTGTGTTCCTCATTTTCAGGCCATAAACGGAGCTCTGTGTTAAAGTCCAACTGAGGAAAATGCCCCCCTCCTCGTCCTCTGCTGCCAAAGAGCAGCTTTACTGAGAGACGCAGTGTACAAGAGGAAAGCCGGATCCTTTTAGGCCACAAACGTGTGTGTGAAGGGTGTAAGCGCAGAGGCTCGTGGGTAGCGTAGAGTTTGTCTATTGACACCTAGATGAATGAACCCAGATGTGAGATTCGCGTCTTCCTGGTCCTGATAACAATAGGAATGTCACACCTCGTGAAGAACTCACATATGCATCTGGGAGATATTAGAGGTGGCGTCCTCTGCTTCTCCTGGATCCTTTCCGATGTTTAAATAATCAACCGGCGAGTTGACCGTTGAAAGCCGGTATGACGCATAACGTGAAGCATCGGGACCTTCACCACCTGAAAGAACATCCGGCTTTGGTTTTCAGCGAGAAAGCTCAGTTGGTGTTCACCCCCCCCCCGGACAAATGACTCTGCAGTAGTGACGGGTCGTTATCAGCTCGAGGTCGACTTCCAACTTGGAACTACGACAAGCGGGATGACGTAAAAGGTGTTGTTATACAGATGCACAGCTGCCGTTGTACAAAACTGTGTACACACCAAAGTACAGCTGTGGCTGACGGGTATTTGTTTAGTTTAGATGGACCCAAAAGGTATTGGACTGGCTGAAATTCTAACTTGGCGGCTGTGTGTGCCATTGAATTCAGCCCATATTTAACTAGATAATCGAATACTTTAACCGATCGATTGGTGGCTTTCGGAGGAGTAACCAAAGTCATTGGGATTCCACCTCTGGGGAACTTGACTACATGTTTCTTATGGCAATACATCCTATATTTGTCAAGACATATTTCAGTCTGCTCGGCGTGAAACGTGGATCGTCCCACAGACTCGAGTAAAACAACATCATTCTGTGGCGCGCTGGTCTTTTTGAGCAATATCAACCTCGTGGACGAGCTTGTAAATCAAAACTAGTTTCCAGCTCTGAAAGCAGATGGTTTCTGTAAACACACTAAAAAAAAAACAACTCCAGGGGTACAGCTGTGTCATGAATATGCAGCTGGCGGGAAGCGGCCAGCAGGGTCGCCCCTCACCCTCCATTAAACACCCCGCCGGAGGGCTGTTGGGACACACTGTTACCGCGCGGACGATTTTGCTCTGTTTTTGGTTGGAACAAAGTGGTGTCAAAAAGTCTTTATGAGACTACGGGGACGGAGACTGATGCCATATTCAGATGACTCCTGAGCACCGGGAGGTAATCTGGTGAGTGCGCTGCAGCTGCTCCAGCGAAGCCCGAGTGATGATATTTAAGACGCGTTCGTGGAACAAGCAAGAGCGGAGGAAGGTACGAGGTGGGGGTACCTTTCCAGCGCGGTCGCTCCAAGGATCAAGCAATAGGTTTCTGCTGGTAATTATATAACTAACTAGCTAATCGCATCTGTATTTGTCAATGTTACTGGGAACATGTACAGCAAGGGGACGCAGAGCAGAAGAGCCTGACAATGCAATAAAACATCTACCACATTCCAGATCAGGCTGCCCCACGATCCCTCCAAGGTGCTCGCGCCCGAGTGAACCTTTATAGAGGAAACACACCTGCCCTCGTACGTAAGACGCCCCACGTTGGAGCAAATGCTCCTCTTGTTGATGAGTCATGTCTACCGGGACAGGCGAGGAGTAAAGAAATCCTCTTAAATCTCAAAGAGTTACAAAAGTCTCCCAATGCGCTGCATAGCCTTTTAAAAATCAAAGTCAAGATAATAAAAATAAATATTAGGAACAAGGAAAATCATGTCAGACCAACAGGCAGATTTTTCACGAGATGTAAGAACCCAGATGTCACAACTGGTTAACGCAGTCGTCTTTCTGCATTGTGGGAGGCACCTCATGTTCCATAAAAGTACTATTTCCATCCTCTGTGTCCATGAGAGCGCAGCATACACGACATGCATAGACAACCCGCTCTGCAATTATCCTAAATTTACATTTGCACAGCGAAACATCTGTGCAGAAAGAGTGGTATTAAAAGACGTGAGGAAAGAAATGACAACTGCATCCACAACGAAAGTGAAAAATATTATAGAAAAAAGGTGGACTTTCAGGGTTTTAACAATTCAGATGTGTTTTTGTAACAAAACTGTGATGTAATAGTACAAGCTTTGAGATACTCATCTGTAACCAATCCTGCTCTGATACAAATTCCCATCTTTTGCAAAAGTCAGTTTTCTCATTATATGTATTTATTCATTTAATTTTGCTTTATTTGCATCGTACTTGTCACAGCCCCGGGGCTTCTGCCTGGAGTGAGTGCGTTTGTCTTGCAGGACAGTAACGTTGGACAGATCGGAGGCAGCTGGCCGCTGCAGCCCGCTTGCATTGACCCTCTCACTTCTCTCACACACACCTGGTGCTGCGTGGAGACTGCGAGCCGTCTTTTTCACGTTTTTGGTCAAAAAGCCGAGCCACAATGAATTGGAGGAGCTCGTCCAAGTTTCGCAGACTTAATTTGTCTAGTTAATTAAGTTTTAGGGACTTCAATGTTCATGTTGTTAAGAGTTTTGTTGTGAGTTTGTGCCTTTTCTAGATCTAGTTTGGATGGATGGTCATAGCGAGAAGTTTCTCATATTTTTTTGTCGACGTTCTGGGTGTGAACGTGACTACGGGCCTCATGTTTTTTCCTTTGGGATTTAGGGGATTCTTATAGCGTATACGTATGTAGTGTGGGCTGCAAGTAAGAAGTGGAAATTTACTACAATATCCGAGTTCACAAGATGTGACCAGACTGTATATGAGAATGTTCATGTTGTTTTGTGACCAATGACCTGAAGACGTCTCATGTTGTGCTTTGACTTAAAAAAAACAATCAATCCATTCATAGAAAGTGAGGATATCTGCTGCACATCAGTTAATAATACAGCTTCCTGCATTTTGGCCTCCTTCTGATCTCAGTTCCTTCAAACGTCGACATTGTGGAGATGATGAGTCGTTGGTAGATGGAACAAATTGTCCTATTGAAGTTAACTCAAGTCATTATGTTCTTGGATGTCTAAAAACTGGTATTTACTCTGTTTTTTTTTTACCATGACGGGGGAATGCTTTGAGGAAACCTCTTACTTTGCATTAGAGAGGTTACCTCTGGGATTGTACCTGTTGAGCGGCTCAAATGTAGCTCACGTTTCAGCCATTAAAGCTGCCTGTCAGCTTTAAATCAGTTTAAATTAGTTCCAGATATGCAGCCGGTCTGTTCCCATTAGCATTTAGAACGCCTCTGCTCGCCCGCTCCCTCTGGGCTAAAGGTCGTATTGTTTGTTTGAAGACACACACACACACATATATATATATATATATATATATATGCAAGTTAGCAGCCAGGAATGTGGCGCCAGGTCAGAGCTGCAGAGTCAATTTGTCATCTAATTTTAAAAAAAATTTTTTTACAGAATCTAACATACAACCTCAAACAACAATTTATAAAAATCAATAGCATTGATAATGGCATTAATAATTTAGCTAGCAGCGAGTACATATCCATCCAATAGCATTAATGATGTCCCTGTTGTGTCCATATAAAGTGGTGCCATTCGGGCGTGACACCAGTCCGCCAGGCCCTGAATCCAGAGCAGCCCCCGATAAGCCATTTACTATTTACTATTTACTACTACATGGAAATATTTCTTTAAAAAGTATTTTTCTTTTACCACACTGAATGGCCATGGTAAAATAGAGTTGAAAAAAAAGGAATGTTAAATTGTGATCCAAAACCTTTAAATGGTTTTCCATTAGAGTGTTGCCTTCAAGTGTGATTGAAAACAGGAGTACAGTAAAAGGGAGCATCGTGAGGGACCGATGAGCAGCGCACAACCGCAGAGAAGGAATTTTTCGATTGAAAATCTTTCCACAGCTCCCCAAAAATGTACATCTGTTTTTTTTCCAGCCATATGATGGGATGGAATCTGCCCCCCCCACACGAGGCGGGCGGCTCCTAATAGCTCAAAGCGGCATTCGCCCCCGGTGTCACATCACACATCACACACACATCCAGCCCTGCCTGATCTCTCATTTGGAAAAAACCCCAATACGCTCCACGCAGTATGTACGAGCTTTCTTTGGCCCCCCGGCAGAACTCGGCACATCTGAATGGGGCCCATTGTGTGTGGCAGAGAGAGAGAGAGAGAGAGAGAGAGGGGGGGACACTGGACGACCAAACTCCTCCGAGCCTTCCTCCAGGTAACATTAGCTGTGGATCTCCAGGACACCGGGTGGGAGTGTGGAGCGGACAAACGTGATGGGAGGGGGGGAGGGGGGGGGGCGATGTAGAGACACAGGGATCCCTTTATCACGACGAAAATGGCTTAAGATGAAGCGCTTCTCACACTTGCTCCATTCAAGCGTACTGGAACATCATTATCGAACTAGTGCATTACGGAAATTAAAATATAACCGTAACAATATAATGACAAAGGTTTCTAATTGCCATGGACATTTATTAGATATGTTTCAAATAGTCAGGGATGTGTCTGGTACTCTAGGTTTCTACAGAAGTCTTGCTGTGTTCAGTAATAAATAGATGGGAGAACTTTTAAGACTTCTTAGCGCAGTGGTGGTGAAGAAGAAACGGAACATGTAACATGTGGGGCTCTTGCCTTGTGTCGCTCCTGCCGAGTCCTTTTGCATCAGAAAAAGACAACATGACGTCACAGAAGGGGTCGTCGTGGTGCACGTGGAACAAAGTCCGCTCACCTGGCTTCAGGCTGCCGTTGAAGTAGAGGAGGAGGACCATGAGGAAGCAGCCCAGGCACAAGAACACTTTGGGTCTCCTCATCCTCACTCAGCGGGAACGAGCGACACGCCGAGCCGAGTCCCGACAGCTGGCGTCATAAGAAGAAGAAAAAAGGGGGGAGGTGGTGGTGGTGGTGGGGGAGAGGGGGGGCGGGGGGGGGTCCGGCAGCGGCGACGTCTACTTTATCCCCGATGAGAACGCCGGCCCGGCTCCAGGAGCGTCCCCGTCCCTCGCCTGTCGGCACATCTTCGCTCGTGCAGCCTGGAGGAGAAGCAGCGGCGCCGCGCTGAACGTTCACGCGCCGCCCGGTCACGGTCACGTGACTGCGCGCCGGAGGAGGCCGCCGCTCTGTTTGCGTAAAGGGGGGGAGGGGGTCCATCCAAACCTTTGGTTCACTTGTTAACCCCTCACTCCCCAAACGTCCGTGCTGGACTTCCGGTTGGACCTTTCAAGGTAAAAAAAAAAAAACGGCCTCAATATGTCTATTAAGTCAATATCTTTTATTTTTACTTATAACTTCATGTAGCTTTATTTTTATTTTTTAATTGAAGAACTAAAGATGTAAAAGAATATTCAACTCAACATGAAGATAATATGAAAGTCACTATAAAGAGAAACTTCAAGCAACGACTACATATCGCATCATTGTGAGATGCTAAACCATAATTAGGAAAAATAATCCCACAATTAGGAAATAGTAGGTCATAAATATACTCATATTAGAATCATATCATATTCTGCAAAGATAGGATCACAGAATTGTGAGATAATTATGTTGTGTACATACATACTTATGATATACTAAGTCATTATTATGTGAAAGTTTCTATCCTTTTTCACACTGGAAATGGTGATGAGAATGCGTAAGGTGATTTTATGCTCATATTTTGAAAGCCAACATCAGAAGACTTCCGTTGCTAAACGTTCATGTCTGGTTTCCTTCACACAGCTTCAGTACCACATGTGTTAGTCCAGCATGACCCCCTCTGGACTGATGGTCCGCGTCGAGTCATCTGCCGTGGATTTCCGCTCCCGTCGCCCCAACGTCACTTCATGAATTACTTTTAACGCTCCGTCTCCAGCCGACAGTGAGGCCATCCCACCATACTCACGTCAAACACGTACAAAAGGTCAAAGACCAAGGTCAGGTCACTATGTACCCGCTACAAAGTACCAAAACGGAGATTCCCTGGAAATACTGCAGGGATACAGGAATTACAAACTATTGTTGGTATTTACATATTTAGGTGAATGTAATGAGACGTGTCGGTGATTCCCCAGACCAATAAAGTCCTGAATCTGATTTCACCCCCAAAACTACTGCTGCGGTAAAACCGACCTCATCTCAACCCAACCCGAAGCCCCAGGCCCGACGGGGGTGGAGCGGTGTGAGGAGACCTGTTGGTGTTTACTGTGGACTGGGATGAAGGGTAATGGTCACGGGGCCGATCAGGAGTCAACGCTCGCGTTCTCTCAGAACTCACCAATCGAAGACGAGGTGTAGACTAGAATAACTCCATCGGGGTCAAAGGTTAGGGCTGGGTGTGCTAAGTTTGAGTGACGGGCGAGGAAAGTGATGAAGGGAGAACCCCCTGCGGTCGCTGCGGTTTTGCACGGTGATTTGCCAAGAGGACACTATCTGTCTTTAGCTGGAACACAGTCATGTGGTTCGGGTTCCGTCATTTCATGTCAGTTAGAAAATAATAGATGGAAGCAGGACGATGAAACAATTACAAGACAGAAAAAAAAACTGTTCTGGGACCATCATTATATATATATATATATATATATATATATATATATAGTACTTGACAATTCAATTCATTGAGGCTTTATAGGCATTAAAATCTCAAAGAAATATTGTTGACAAAGTATCGAAATACAAAAGTAGACAACACTGTGTGACTCTTGCTACTCCTCTTCCCTCTCTGAGTCTGCAGCGGGGATGAGGAGGGGAGGAGGGGGGACACACACACTAGTTTATGGGGAACATGATGTCCAAAGCAGACTGCTGGAAGGTTCATCAACAATAAAGTGATTAAAGTAGGTGTGGTAACTAAGAACAGCTGAAAGCACTTTTCTGTGGCGAGTTGCATCACATCTAGAGGACGCAATGACCCGGAGGAAGTGATGGTGTAACGTCGATCACGCCGCATTAAAACGTCCGTTTTAGCGCCAGAGAAGAAAGAAACGGCCTCTAAGCGATCAGCCACGAGCAACACGTGCGAGAGCGTGCTGCGCTCTGCAGGCCGCAGACTGCAAGTGGCATCGGGGCGTGTGACACAACGAAGGGGGGGCGAAGCCTTCAGGGAGAGAAATCAGATCAGAGGAAGCTAAAAAACCGCCGTGTGAAATCTGAATTCTATATCATTTCCCCTTTTTTAAAGAAATGTGTACAATCTACGGCGTTCAGCATAATAAGGAGCCGTAACCTGCCGGCGACGAGCTTCTCACATATGGATGAAAAACGAGCCGCAACCAACTTCCTACAGGAATAACATGTGCTCATCACCAACAAACATGGAGGCTTCACAGCGTTTTAAGCCTTTTGTGTGTTATATTGATTTATTTCTTCACCAGTAACATATAAACTGAGTTTTATGGACAAAGCAGTTCCAGAGTTTGTCAGTCAGTCGCAACGTGAAATGATTGTGATACAACAAGTCGCCACTTTCTTAGGAAGTGCTGATATCAAACATTGTTCATGTTATATTATAACTTAATCAAACATTATTAAGCCTTCATGGATCCAGAATTCCCAGATAACTTATGAAATATCTCCATGTTTAACAACTTGCCATTCAACTAAAACGGAGTCATCTGAATGTCATCAGACTTATTTCATGGTAGTCAATCATTTCCAGCAAACCCGACACAGAGGAATTTTTCAGGGTCGTTATGCATGTATGAAGGATTTGATGACGTAAGCGCTGCTCACAAGTCCGTTGCGAAATATAGCAAGTCACAGTGAAACAGGGACGACTTCTCGGTAATCAAACAGGAGTTTCCTTCAGGCCACGTGCAGCTTTTCCTGCACTGAGCTGAGGCCCGACTTTGGAACGAGGGCGTTACGTTAACGTACATTTAAAACAAACTGACAAAGGTCTTAAAGGTGATGAACATAACACAGGTAAGCAGAGAGATCAAAGTCACGAGAGAGAGGACGAGGCCACACGCGTTGTTCTCACTCAAGCAGCGGTTTCTAATCTCACTTCCTCATTGGAGGATAAAAGGATTTTTTTAATTCTCATTGTCTCAATTCGATTGAAATCCTACTGGGGGGGAAAAAAACTGAAATATGTTTATACTCTGTTATAAACAATGCTGATGAACTACATTTGTTTTGGGGGACATTTGGTAATAGAAAATGTTGGAGAGACACACAAGGACTATAAAGAGACAGATTATTACAGATACACAAAACGGTACATCTTTGGATGTTATTTGTCTAGTTTGGTGTAACTCAGTAAAGAAGTCACTGGTTTCTCTTATCCCAGTACCAGCAATGTCCTCATAAGACTGGTTTACGGATCCGGTCCCCTGGACCCTATGAGCCGTTTATGGGAATCACCTGAATTCACCGGATGATGGTGGGTCTGTAGCTCAGGCCGCTCCTCCTTCATTCCTGTGCCTGCATGAGGACGTAAGAAAAAGCGCCGCGTGCAGCTGGCGCCACAGACCAGACGCCCGAGAATCAATTAGCTCCGCACATCCAAAGCGTGCTCATCAAAGCCCCGGGTCGCCATGGCAGCGCGAGCAGGTGACAGTGGTCTCAGATGTTGGCCCGACAAAAGGCTTCACACCAGCCCGGCCGCTATTGATGAGGACTGACCCCCCCAGAGGAAAGGATGCTTATATTCTCCACATCTCTCTGATGTACATGAATGGGCTCCACTGTACCAGCTCCAGGAGAGGCACTCTCCCCCCCCACCCCCCGGTCGTTGAGTCAATTTAAGAAGCGAGGGACACAGACATGAAATAAACAGCACATTATAGGAAGGAAGGAAAATAAAAACGAGATAATTTCATAACTAATTGGTTCAACTAAGATTTATGCTCATATTTTAATCCATGTGAACAGAAGAGACGTGTTATACATCATTCAAGAAATGTCCCTCATTATTTGTCATGGAGATTTTTTTTAAAAATACGCTCATCTTTTACAAGTCGCTGGAATGTGGCTGAAAGGCGAGCTACTTCACCGTGGACATGAAAAGGGATCATATACAGATTAAATGTGCCGGCGAATAAGAGACAGGAGGATAATGAAGTAAGAGGAGATGACTTGTTTACTCTTTAACACTGGGCTCATGTCGAAACGTCTGTAAGAGAACAGGATTAGAAACACAATCCCACTAGACAACCTAGAGAAGATGAAGGTCAGACATGTTTGGATGACACCAGTCTATTTACCACCATTATCATATTTCAAAAAGACATAAATACATATTTAGGAAGGTGTAAAATGAGTGAAAAGACACTGAAGGTGAATTCATCCTTTATTAAATCTTGAGATGTAATCTACAGTCGCCCAACAAACAAGACATTTGTACACAAGTCGCTCACCTGTAGAGAACAGTACAAGAATATAATAATATTATCTAGAATGTTTACCAGTCACATACAGCAGTGATGGGACAACGGATCATTCATTTTAAATAGTTGAAACTTGTGAAAATGTCATTATTTTTCTACAGTAGAAAGTTTGGATTAAATTTGAACTTGAGGTTTGAAGGATTCGCTCGGCTCCTGACGTCGGCAGAATGGTTTAGATGAACGCTTGAGGGCGACACGGCAGGCGAGTCCTGGTGCGAGAACACGCCGTCCTGAGAGGCCTCGTGAGAAGAGCAACGGGGGCCACGAAGAGACCATATCCAAGAGAAGACACTCGTCCCCCGCTTGAGTTACCAGTTTGAATCCGTCCCACCGCTGCGGGAGTTTGGGGCCGCCATCGGGCGCTCCTGCTGAGGGACATCGATCCTCGCCCCCCTCAGTGATGAGGTTACGGGCCAGGACGTCACAAACAGCCCAAACACACACAGATGTGCGTTTGGTGCTCCTCAACAAGAACACAGTGGTGGAGCCCAAAAAGGGGAAAATAAATAAATAACAAAATAATAATATCAGCAGAGTAACCCCGCTGTTCAGCAGGTTGCTCTCACATCAGACCACTAGCTCAGCGTCTGTGTCCCCCCCCACGTAGCTGGGAGGGGAGGCGGGACGAAAGAGGTGGACTGAGAGTCTTAACGTGGGAGCAGCCCGCTAAACGAGCAGGGTTTAACCTCAGCAGCCGGACTGAGTGATGTTTCCGCCGGATCTCTTGGTCACGTCCAGCGTGGTGAAGACCTGAAACCAGCAGGAGAAACTCTTTATTATGCTGCTTTCTCAGCAGAGGCTCAGGATTTTAATGTGCACGACCGTGGTCATCTAGTCTCATTGGAGAGAAGGCCGATACCTCCAACAAGGTACAGGTAAGAGGGGATGTGGAATTTTCCGGAGAGAACAACAACAAGGTGCACTGTGGTTTTTCAACTTTACTAAAAAGAAAATGGAAATGAAAGTACGGAAAATCTTCAAAGGACTGAGAGGATTAATGCGTCTCAACTGTCCCCGTCCAGCATTAACATAATCAACACGTAACGGTGAGATCGGCAATTAGGTTAATGAGGCACATTACGCATCAGTGGGCGGACAAAAACAGAAATTAAAATATTTGTCTGGCTTAGAATCTGCAAATTGGGATTGAAGAGGCTACCGAAGTGGTACGTTTTGTGATCAAACGTGTGCTGGGCCACTACAGGACCATTCGCACAGGGACGTCCTTCACAGGGCTTTAGACTTGGACAAAGCTAATCAAAGTGCAGGGGGGGGGGGGTTCTTTGGACCACATGGAAGCACCAGGACATCTACACACGTGCAGCCTTCTGGCCGTGTTTCATCTAGTTTGCTGTAAACTAAAGACTTTCACAGGGCGGCGTCTCTTCCTGCAGTCTCGTTGGTCAACAGCAGGCTGCATTTTGCTCCAGTCTAGACTACTACTACACCTTTGCTGGGGCGCGCTGCTCATGCAGCCAGTTGGTCGTTTTGCTTATAAAGGTTACACAAGAAAGTCAAAAGCAACTCATCTTCGGCCTCCAGGCGAACGGTTTCAGGCCGCGGGTGTGACGAGTCACCTGACCGAAGCCAGAGACCGCCGAGAGACAAGCGCTGACTCACCTCAGCGCACGTCGGGTGGATGCCGATGGTGCCGTCCAGCTGCTCCTTGGTGGCGCCACATTTCATGGCCACGCCGAAGCCCTGCGTAACCTCTCCGGCATTGGGCCCAAGGTAGTGGAACCCGATGACCCGATCCTGCGGCGCCGAGGGCAACAACAAAAACACGGTCATTGGCGCGACGCTAACAGGCGCGATACGACGGGGCCGTGTCCATATGCAGCTTACGTTGTCCAGCTTGTTGCAGATGAGCTTGGCGTAGCAGCGGTTGTTGTCTCTGCCGGGCACAGTGAACTCCAGGGGCCAGAACAGACTGTGGTACACCTGAGGGCCACACGCAAGAGCAACGAATCCCAACGTGTTAAAAACCATCAGGCTGGTTGTGAATGCTCGTCCAACAACGTTCACTAGAAACATTTAGCTATTAGGAGTCTTTGTCTTAAATGTAGTACTTCTCATCGTATTACATTGATTTGGAGAGAAGGACTTTACTCCAGCTGTCACATCGTGTGTGTGTGTGTTACCTCAATGTGATCCTCTCCGTAGAGCTCGGTGGCCCTCTCCTCTGACAGACCACAGGAGCCGTACTCCAGCGGGGTGAAGACGGTGGTGGGAACGTTGACGTAGTCGCACTGCACCAAAAGAGAAACACTGGTTGGTCGGGAAGCAACAACGGTCTCTCTGGAGGCGCCGATGTCACATCCGCCCAGTCACTTTGTTGTAGCCTCAGTAGATAAGGTGAATTGTTTGTAAAAGTACTGTGCGTGCGTAGTGGTGACGAGCACCTTGAGCGTTGCTCCCTTGTAGAGGCGTCGTGCCAGCAGCTTGCCGGCCTGGATGGCCACAGGAGTCAGCTCCCACTTTCCCTCCAGAATGTCTCCGATGGCGTAGACGTGGGGCACGTTGGTCTGCTCCTCATCGTTCACCGGGATCTTCCCATTCCTGGGCGGCGGGGACACGAGTATTAGGTCCTACACTAATTGTGTACTTGGAAAAATGATAGTGATGTAACAGCATCCGAGTCGACACACAACAGTTTAATCGAAAGCGCGGAAAAAACGTTCCACATCCACAGTGCAGAGCAGCTTCTTATGTATTGTGGGACCTGTGATGGTATTAGTGTTGTACTTGGAAGTACTTGTTCTGGAGACAAAAGTGGTATTGGTGCATCCATGCAGCTTACCTGGACCCTTAATTATTAAAGTTTAACACAGACTGGTCTCCGGCTTCTTCGTTACTCCACTTGTGGCCACTTTTAACAAAAAAAAAAAAATTGTTCTGAACTTTTGTCCAAAAAAAGTTTGGACCTCTAATCTTAAAATGGGGATTATCAAAACGGAAAGACCTTTTCAGACCTGCTGATGCATCAGTGATGATCAGTGTTTACCCCACCAAGCACATATTCTCCTGGTCTGGTATTATCGGTTGTTCTGGCCAATTGCGTCCGTGGACATTTTGTTCCCATTTGAAAATGTACCGAAAGCTTCCGGACTGATTTGCGTTTCAGTGATGTCCCTTTATAACGCAGCAGAGAACCGGCTACTATTCACAAGTCAGACAAAGGAAGGAGTTAAACAGAACCATAGTGGTATTGTGATAAAGTCTCTATAAGCCCCCTGGCTGTGTCTGGGCTCCTCCGGAGTAATACGGAGGTCATGAGACCCACCGAGCGCTCCTTTAAGCCTCATGCCGCCGTAATCCCGTTTAACCATCAGTCACAAAAAACATGTCTCCCACATTTGTAATGTGCGAAGCGCTTATGCAGTACAAATGTTCAACTTTATTTCTAAATTTTGAAAAAAAAAAAAATGTTGTCTTAATATGTAAATTAGAGCAAAAAATGCACCACAAGGACACCAGCCTGAAAAACGCTTCTGTAATTCCTTTTCATGATTAACAAGCAGCTGACACACTGTATGGTAGAGAAGGCGCGCCCCCCCCAACAAATCCCCTCACAACCCGTCCCCTGCAGGGAGCCGTAGGACAGGAACTGCTGAGTCACTCTGACTGTACAACGAGTCTTAAAGGCGCAGGACGGCCCATGTAACGCGATGGCTGTGTGGACAAGTTAATAAACTTACTTGGGATTGACTTTGACCCCGATCTTGTCCAGGCCGACCTTGTCTGTGCAGGCGTCTCGGCCCACTGCTATCAGCACCTGAGGCACAAGGAAGCGGCGTTCTAGTCAAGGAAAAAAAAATGAAGGCAGTCCTCGTCCTCGCGTCAGGCAGAAATATTGCTGGTGTTTGTGGATGTCGGCGCGAGGCTAAATGCTGAAGACTGAGGGAAACTAAAAACTGTTTTTAATACATATGTCAGTTGGAGTATTTCCACTCTTATCCTTTTGCAAGTGTTTTGGCTTCAACATGGCAGCTGTCCTGCTCTCCTGAGCTTTCCAACAGCGCTAACAGACTCTTGACTTGGATGCAGAGTAATAGTTGAAGTTCACAACCAGCCAGCTAGTTGTAAGGCTACACTGGTAGCATTAGCTTGATAGAGCATCCTGGGAAAAAAAAATAAAAAAAAAATAGACCTATCGGGTGGATAGAGAAAAGGTGTACACTGTGTTCTCCAGCAGTAGCACCGGGAACAGATGGATCAGTACACACCGTGTTGTACTCCCCCTCGATGACCTCATCAGTCTCTGTGGACTTGGATGTAACCTTCAGCCTGCCGGGAGTTCCTGCTTCCAGCTCTTCTACCTGAAACACACACAAGTCAGTCTTTGCATTGCTGACAAGCTCAGATAAAAAAAGAAAGTATAATGCAAGATGTGACAATACATCTGATGCTGCACAATTATGGTGTGCGCTTTATGAGTCAAATTAAAAACCTGCTTTATATTTTAGATCAGCCAGTCACATCAAAGAAATACATGCTTGATTCAGCTGAAACACGATTCGAATACATTTAGCACAGCCCTAATTTTCCTCAGAGGGCTGCACAGACTAAACATATCCTACATTCTGATCCAGGACGGACAGAACCACAGCAGATGTCCCCGTCGCTCACCTTCACCGGGACGTATTTGCGGAGGAACTTGACTCCGTGCTCCTCCATGTGCTCCCCGGCGCGGTTGGCCATGTCCTGGTCGAAGCCCCTCAGCAGGATGGAGCGGACCATGACTGTGACGTCGAGACCCAGGCCGGCGAGGAAGCCGCCACACTCCAGCGCCACGTACGACGCCCCGATCACCAGGGTCTTTCCCGGGCAGTGGGGCAGCGAGAAGAGGTCGTCGCTGATCGGGGTGAACCGCAGACACACACACACACACACGCTCTACGTCAAAGGCTAGAGGATAAGATCGCCGACGGCAAACACCACCATGCAAGCTGGAAAAAAAACACAGGCCGGATTACAGCCTGCCGCTGCGCTCCCACCTGGTGATGCAGTACTCCTTGTCTCCAGGGATGCCGAGGTAGCGCGGCCGCTCGCCCGTAGCCAGGATGAACTTAGCGGCTGTGTGAAACGTCTCCTTCCCTCGTTTGTTGGTCGCCTGGCAGGAAACACCCAAAAAGAAACTGTTGACAGCGACATTGGCCGACAAATATTTGTTCTGGGTGCAGGAAGCATTGGGAGGGACAACACACAACATTGTTGAAAGGCAGATAACGCTTGAGATTAAAATCAGGGCTGTCAGGCATTTTAGGTACGGGGCCACATACTGCCCACTTTGTGGGTTACATTTTTAGCAAAGCTTGTTAAAAACAAACTAAATAGAGGGCTTATCAACATTTGTGGTTTTGGTAAATATCATTAGTCAAGTCTATCAAAGCTGAAACGGATTGTGGTTTGAGCGGTTTGTCCTTGGTGAGTTACGGACTAAAGGTTGGTTTGGAGAGATCGAGTACAGGCACAAGAGCAAAGCAACTTACTGCTGCAGACATATTCAAGCCACCGTCGATATTTGTATCTATAGGTGTAATACACAGACTATAGACAATTGCTCAGAAGTCAGAAGGGCTCATTTACCTTGATTTTGTGCGGTTCAATGAACTCTGCGTAGGCGTTGACATAGTTGACGTTCTTGTCCCTCAGCGCCACCCTGTAGCCCCAATTTAGGGAGCCGATGTAGTTGTTCACTGCAGTCTTCATTGTGTCCCAGTTGTGCGTCACTGAAGGCGGACAAGACGGCCGTTAGCAGAGTCGATGCAGCGCTGGCGAGACACCATTGACCGGGCATGCCTCTTGATTTACCGCGGCAAACCGGCGCGGTGTCCCCCCTCCGTGACCTCCGGGGGCGGCGCTCTGAGCCCTCACCTGTCTCGCTGAACTCCCAGCCGAACTTGCGGGAGTCCTGCAGGGTGGTGCCCAGCACGGCCGTCTGGTGCATCAGCTTCTTGGGAATGCAGCCCACGTTAACGCAGGTTCCGCCAAGACCTGATGGGCAGTTCACGCATTAACAACGGACTCAAACGCGTCTGAGGCATCACAAGCGTCTCGCAAAGTATCCTGAAGAGGAAGCGGCTTACCCCAGGTGGTTCCCTTTGGTGTGGGCACGACATAGTCCAGCACCATGACCTTCTTCCCCAACATTGCAGCTTCCTGTTGATAACAAAGAATGTTTTACTGCCATGTTGCGTAAATCTGGGCCGTCCCAACCCTCCTCTGTGAGAAGTGGTAAACTGTTAGCGGCGGAGAGGAAACCCTGCGTGTCACCTTTGAGCAGGCCAGCCCCCCAGATCCCCCTCCGATGACGATCAGGTCGTACTCGTAGGCCTCGTCTCCGCTCAGCAGCTGCTTCAGGCTGCCGTCTTCATGAGCCTGACGGGAGCATTAACACGGCTCTTATGCACCTCGATCGTGTTGCGATAAGCTACCAAACTAGTTTCAAATACATGGTGATACAGATGTATAAACGGGCTGGTCCACACACAGCGGCTGGAGCGTTAATAACCACCAGAACCCTTTCCGCTATCCGTACGCGCTGACTTCCTCACCTGCAGCGTTTTGTCACAGCCGCCGACGTGCATCTTGTTGATGAAGACATTCGGGACGCTTTTCTGTCCAGTCATCTCGAGCAGCATGTCCTGGTAGTTGGTTCCATCCTCTGGGCGGAAGATTGGTTAGTTTTTACAGTTTACTGGTAGCCAAACTGTCAATATAGCTACTCTTAATATGAGCAGCAGTGTGAATATGCAAATAAAACAGGGAGGGTGGACACGGTGCAAAGCGTTTGATCCTTTCCCGTATCTGCAACCACAGAAGGGATTTCTGCACTCACTATGAGGCTGCACTCAAGGGGTCACCTGCTTTTCAGAAGGTCACATGTCACTTTCTAGGCCAGTCAGAGACGACCAACCGCACTGTTGCTGTAGTCGCCCTCCGTCTAACACGGCCACTAAACGAGACTGGTCGAGGTGATCGTATCGCAACACATCGACAGCTGAATCTGTAACATTATTGATGCCGATTGAGCTCGTCGGTGCCAAACGAATGGCCAGCATCCTTTTGAGGCCCGGTGGAGGGTCGAGGGTCAGCGTACAGAGGTGAGGGTTGACTAGATAGCGAGGCCAAGGGCGTCTTCAGAGAGTGACTCAGCATGTCTCCGCTACACGGCCGGGGAAGTGCAACATCCTCACTGCATCACCGAGGATTTCACACAACGTTAGTGGAAGACAAACTCAACCACGCCGACGCAGTTGCATATCAAATGGAGAAAAAAAACTCAAAACATTTTAAAAAAGACATCCGTGAGCAATAGTTTAACTTCTCCTAAAAAAAGTGTACAAAATTGAAACGTGTGGCGAGCAGACATTTCAAAAAAGCTTTTTTTTTTTAATGTATAATAATAAATAAGTAATATCTTACCGATGAGATCCAGCTCCACTACGTTACAATCCACTTTCAACTCTTTGAACAGGTCTTTCACCTACAAACACACGAACAAACAATTATTAACGGTTTCCTCATCACACGCCAAACCTCCCATTAGCAAGTCACAGCTTTATGAAATGAAGTCTATAAACCACTCTGTGTTAATCGAATAGCCCGCTTGGTTAACTCGGGTTAGCGCTGCTTTGGGCCTCCGTGCTGTTGATAGAATAGCCCGCTTGGTTAACTCGGGTTAGCGCTGCTTTGGGCCTCCGTGCTGTTGATAGAATAGCCCGCTTGGTTAACTCGGGTTAGCGCTGCTTTGCGGCAGTTCAAGTTACGTTAGCGGGTGAACTTCAAAATTATGTAACCAACTCTTTGAAGAAGTGCGACCACGAGCAGATAACTACTAACGTTAAGCTGCCGACCGGACGTTATCTCGAATACCGAAGCAATGTCGGTTCTGTTAAGTTAATGGTTTTATGTGGTGTGGTTAATTTGTAATGAATAGCGCTTGAAACCGGCTTCAGGCGCAGAGTAGTCGCTGGCAGCTCTGACTTGAAATGGGGAAACCGGCAATTAGACGGAGCCCGCGTGCGCTTCGTGGAGGAAGATGGAAGTTTCCAACCGGCGTAAGCGAGGAGTCCTTCGCCGTCAAACGAAACGTAGCTGCCTTACCGTGACGCAGTACGGACAGTAGCTTTTGCTGAAGACCATCACTTGGTGGGAGTCGATAAGCTGCTGTATCCGAGACTTCAGTTCTTTCTTCCCGGGGTCATTGTCAATGGGAGGCATTATCGAGGTGCGTCCTTCTCCCGGGACAGCGCAAGCTTTAACAGACGGCTTACGAGGAAAGTATACCACCACACCTGGACGTTTACCGCACCGAGTCTCTCCCTGACACCGCACGGACGCCTCTGGCTCGCTTCTCCAAGAGAACAACGCTATAAAACTAAGGTCGACCGCGGTTGCTCTCCCTCCGCTGTCAGCCGCTCTTCTACCGTCCGTCCGCGCCGAGCGTCTTTTACCTTGTCTTGCTCGCGTTGCTTTGGGTGCGCTCGATCCTCTCACCGTGTCACCGCATATTCCGTATGCTCATTGTCGTGAAGAGAAGGAACTCCGCCCACGCGGTCTACCGCGAACAACAAAACGTTCGTATCTATACAAACGTCACAAGGGCTGCCTATTTACATGCCGTAACAGCACAGGAACTATTGTTATATATATTCGGAATTAATTAAAAGTATCAGGCGCGTGTTTTTATTAAAAACGACATGATGCTAATGAAATGACAGGCCTATAGCTGATCTACATTTAGGAAAAAAGTGAAGGCGAGAGGAGCATTTCTTTTTGCAGTGTATTACTGATAGCATTCAAGTTCAGAGCATGCCAGATGTATATTCCAACATTGCGTTATGACTTGTGGTTATGTAGCGCCATCTGCCAGTGAAATAACGCAATGACAAGACACGGTGGTTTTATGTCTGATCCGACTATGTATCCCCACTATCACCTCCGTTAGCATTAACTTCCAAATGTTAATTTGGAGAATACTGTACTGTAGATATAATGCGGTGTGGAGACACCCCATTTAGACCACCTATCAAATAAATTCTGATACATAGTAAATATTTTACTATTGTCTCAAACAATGAGAAAGTGTGTCCACACTTTTGACTGTTACTGTATATTTAGAAAATATCATTTCTAAATATCATTTAAATATTAATCATATGACTATTACTGTCATCATAACCCGACATTATGTCTTTGTGCTCACCCTCCCCACAGGCTTATGTGGATGGTGGTTCTATCTGATGGTGGTTTTCCCTGCCGTACACCTGGCTCACTACTCACAATTATTTGAATCATTTCTGTTATATGAATGTAATGTATTGTACATCTTTTATATTGTTCATTCTGTCGCATGACATCTATTGTAGTCTGTCCATCCCGGGAGAGGGATCCTCCTCTGACGTTCTCCCTAAGGTTTCTTGCCTTTTCAACCCCATTTTCCCTATTTTTCATTTTTTGGGGAGTTTTTCCTGTGCCAATGTGAGGGTTTATGCACCTGCCTACTTTTGTTTAAGTAATTATTGCACACTTTCTGTAAATCCTATAAACTTCATTTCACTTCTTAAATATCACTGTGTTTGTCTGCTGTATGATATATTTAATTGAAATTGCTGTTCAATGATACATAAAGGAAAATCTTGAAAATGATCAGGGGTGCCCAAACTTTTTCCTTCCACTGTACATATATAATATTAAGCGAGATGCAACTCCCCCTAGTCCTTTTGTCTGTCTTCATGGTTGTTTTGTGCATTTATCTCATTTCTTTTTATAGTCACATTTGTTGTTGTTTTGTGTCTCTTTGTGGTCACGTTGTGTTTTTTGAGGTTATTTTGTGTCTTTTTGTAGTTCCATCGTTTTTCTTTGTGATCGTTTTGTTGTCTTGTAGTATTAATGCTGTGCCTCTTTGTGGTTGTTTTTTTTGGTTTTGTTTGTTGTCATGCTGTGTCCCTTTCTTTGACATTTAGCGGTTTCCCGTGGGGACTCTGGCTCTGTTGTATATTGCTTTTGAGTGTATAATGTAATATATAATATAATTTATTTTGTCTTATAGCAACAAACTGCCTGTACCAAAAGCATGAGGGGCTTTTACACACACATATATAATAATAATAATAATAATAATACAATATTTATGTCAGGAGGATGGGGAGCTACGGGTTAATAAAACAGGTAACTTCTATGTTACATTAGGAGCAAAACAAATCGTTTAAATAATAAACGGAAGTGTCAACAATGGCCAACTGGGAAAATTGTAGCCAAAGAGCTGATCATACACGGCTGATGAAAGGCCTTATAAATCCATATCCGACATGGTGACGTGACAAGAAATCGCTTCATTTTAATTAATTTGTGATTCATGAAATCCAACAAGGAAAAAACCGGAACCTTTAAGTCGCACTCGAAGGCCGTCGCTGAATCAGAGACGCGTCATCGCAGAGACGCAATCAAACTCACCGCGTAATTAACAGGTGAGTGTGGTTGGATGACGTCACCGTCACGCGGACCTGTTTGTTCGACGGGTTCGGACGCGCAGAGACTTCCCGGTACTCCTTCTGCGACGGGCGTGAACCTCCTGTTCGGCGGGTTGCACTAAAAGCGCTTCCCTGCCTGTGTGTGCGTGTATGTGTGTGTGTGTGTGTGTGTGTGTGTGTGTGCGTGAGTGCGCGAGGGCGCGCGACAGTCGTGTTGTTGCTCCTCCTCCGTCCTGCCGCGGTGAACTTAAGCCGCTCGCGAGGCGCTCGCGCGACAGTCTCTCGGGAGGAAGCGGAGAAAAGGGGGAGGAAAATACGTTCTAAAGGAAAAAGTTAACGATGGCAGAGAACAAGGCGGGACCCAACCTCCAGGCTGGAGCTGGATTCCTCGCCAAACGGGTCCAGAAGTCTCTGAACCGAGCCCAGGAGAAGGTGAGTCTCAGTCCAGCTGGATCTGGCACGCCAGCCTCATCCAGCTGCCGCGTTGAACTCCTTGGATGCCTTTTCCTCGAGATCGGGCCTCCTGGAAGGTCTTCCATGTAGCAGAATGTGAGGCATGTCTGAGGGGAGGGTTCAGTTTCCAGCACTGAAACAAACGTGGACAAGCTGCTCATTCAGAGAGCGTTCAATCTATGCAAATGTTGTTTGCTTTAGCATGAATCTGGCAAATGAGTAAACCGGGACAACTTGGGAAACATGTTGTTGTGACGTAGTTTGGGTTTCCCATCTTACAGTTTCAACCCCGAGATGCAACGCACCCATGTGATAAAAGTCATGCAACGGAAAGTGAGAACCTGTGCGACGTGCTGGCTATGGTGCGGGTGAAAAAAGGTTGAATAAAACACCCCACTTAGCGAGGGAACCGCATGCTTTGTTTCCAACAGTCTACTTTTAAACGATCCGTTCTAAACCAGCAGTTTGGACTTTCCCCGTCCATCTGAGTGTAAAAGCGTTGTGCGCCGCTTCACAAAAAAAGCTGCCACTTCCTGACTGCACTTCCTCTCTCGCTTGGCTGAACCTTTTTCTCCCTCCAAGTTTGTGGTCGACTTGTTTGATTTCACTGCTCCACCTTCCAAACAGCAGCTACGCTCTGCGTGCAGCCTGTAGTCTGCAGGGTTTTTGAGGTCTGAGTGCATTTTTCATTGGCAATCCTGGAAAATGGATGCGATAAAACAAGACTTTTTGTTGCAGACTCAGAGTCGAAGGTCGCGCTGTCCGGGGGTATTCTGGTTCAACACCAACAGCTGCGTGCACAGTTGTCTGTGAGAGACAATGGAACGGTTGGCCTTGTGCGTAGGAGTTCGCGGGACTCTTATGTGGAGCACGGGACAGCTTGATCCTAACAGCCTATGCATCCTGACAACACTTATTTATTTCTGTCCCCCATCTAATTTGCTGACCTTTGCACTGAAGTATCTGATGTGCGCTGTAATGGGCCAATGTGTCGGCCTGCTCAGTGTTCGAGTCAGAAGGCGCACACCCCTTTAACGCTGTCATGAAAAATGGCAAAATCAATGCAGCAGAAGTGGAGACGACATTTCTCTTATCTTTCTGGTCCAAGCCCTCTTTCTGTCTTGTTGGAACCTGGTGCCTACATTACCCACAATGCAGTTGAAAATAGATTGAGACACATGGATCGTGGGGCCTCTCGCCTGACTTTTCCACATATACAGCAGTCCCCCCCCCCCCCCCTCCTCCCAACACCTGCAAACCGACTTCGTTGAGTCCCATTGAGCTCCCTTTTAATCATTAGCTCTATAATAATCATCTCGTGCAAAGGAGCCGTTGTCTATTTAATGTTGCTGACTCTGCTTTCCTCCATCAGGTTCTTCAAAAACTGGGCAAAACCATGGAGACCAAGGATGAGCAGTTTGAGCTGTGTTTCCAGAGCCTCAACAAACAACAGGTAGTGAGACATGCGCAAACGTCAGGTGGTCTCCGGGAGCGGCGACCCCGCTGACCTTCTCTCAAAGGTCATGCATGCCGCTGGGCTTCATTTCACTTTTATTTTATAGTTAAACAGCATTTTCTTTTTTCTCTTTCGATGCCGCACCACCATTCCCAGTTAAACGGGGCACTGCAGAGTCTTCAAAAACTATTGAGCTGTTAGTTCCTTCTGCTGAGGTGCCGATTCACGAGCTCAGCGATCTGCTCAGCCTTGACAACAGGAAACGCTCGCAGCAAGATGTTCCTGCCTTATTTTCTTATCTACTTCTCATAAATACTTTGTTTTGTCTCCAGCTTTCTTGGTACACACAAGCAGCCGTGATACTAAAATGAATTTTATACACGTGTATGCTCGTATTCATGAAGTCATCCAGTTTAACTGCAGTACATATTGGAGGGAGACCAACAGGAGGGAAGTCTACGCACGCCGCTTTCACTTTAACTGCACATTGCACGTGTGTTGATTTTAATTCAAACGCCACAATGTGGTTGGACAGCCGAGTATCGCGCGCTGCGTGCAGCTCTGAACTTGTCACGCTGAGTCGTGTTGTGAACAGAAGACGCCGAGGCGGCTGAGGAAGTGACCCAGCGCAAATGGATGGGGGCAACTGTTTCTGGGCGTTGCCGAAATCTGACCAACTTGCGCCTTCTGCTCTGCGTCCCTCACAGGTCGATGCAAGCAGGTTGTTCAAAGATGTCAAAGCCCACCACGCAGCAGTGAAAGGTAGGACGCAGCGCTGGACCAGAACGCCGCCCGTTAGCCCGGGAGAGTCTTGGAATAATGGGGAAGTGGAATTATTCTGTTCTCGGACCGCGTGTCGACTTTTGCAATTCTGCTGCCATCTTGTACGAGTAGAATCCTGCGGTAAAAACAGCCAACGCAGCATCGCACACGTGATTCGCCTGCAATAAAAAGCTCTTGCCTCTTGTATTGTGAGCTCCTAGCCAGGAAAAGCCCGTGTTGTTCTGACCTTCTCTGTGTGGGTGAAGCAACCCCACCTTAAAAAAACCTCACCGACCACAAACGCAAGATAGGTTTCCTCAGGAGTCCAGATGATTCACTCTTTATGCATTTCTTTTGTCCCGTAATGTCCGGTTCCCTTCCACAGCCGTGCATGAGACGTCCAAGCGTCTGTCGCAGACTCTGCGAGACGTCTACGAACCAGACTGGAACGGAGTGGAGGACCTCGCCGTCATCACAGAAGTACGTCTGTGAGAAAGTCTCAATCTGAGTTAACATGAAAATACACTCTTCCTTCACAAACGTCAACACACGTCTCATCCAGCTGAATAGTTAAACGGCTGCTCCGCTGCAGCGCGTTTCGGGTAGACCTTATTCCAGAAAACTATACACGGTGCAAGTGAAGCTGCTAAATACAAGATTGGGAGCATTTCTATTGCCGAGGCGCGGCTGTGAACACGCAGCTAACGTTGCCTAACTGTACAAACAACGCCTGCAGGGCGACAAAACCGTGTTTACCTGTTGGGAAACCAGAGGTTGGGTGGTACACATCTGCAGTGACACCATGGGCAGTGGCCATGAGTGGTTCTTGCCATATGTATTAGTGCTGTAGTCACATAGGTTCACTGTATAGAACTGTGCACAAACCCTGCACAACACACATTCTGGTTTAACACCTTTTTTTTGTTTGTTGCAAATAATTCTACGAGTCCCTTCATAGTTTTGATGTCTTTATTTTCTTCTACATCTTATATGGGTTTTAAAGAAAACAACAATGAATGAGAAGGTGTGTCCAAACGTTGCACAACATATTCATTCTTTTTTTTTTTTTTGAGTATTTAGCAACGCTTGTCAGTTGCACTGATGTCATAACAACTGTCTTTTAGAGCGAAGACCTGCTGTGGAACGACTATGAAGAGAAACTAAGCGACCAGATTGTGCGCACCATGGAGAACTACACAAGCCAGTTTCCCGAAATCAAGGTAACCGGATGCCTTTTAACCTATATCGGTTCAGCAACGGCATTCTTCGCCCGGTATGCTCATGTATACATGCATTCAATAAGCATTCAACAACTATACAGAATAAATACATATACAGAAGTCTGCTTTTGAATATATACAGTCTGCATGTTCTAAATGTGTGTGTGTGTGTTTCAGGAACGCGTAGCTAAACGCGGTCGCAAGCTGGTGGACTACGATTCAGCGCGTCACCACCTGGAAGCGCTACAGAATGCGAAGAAAAAGGATGATGCCAAGATTACAAAGGTAGCATTGGAATTAAGAAACGCCCCTTTAGTGTTGAAAGTGTCATCATTTAGTGTTGTGATGAAAATAACGGTTTCACTGTAAGTCGTCTCATTTTGGCTGCATGTCAACAGGCAGAGGAAGAGTTCAACAAAACCCAGGCTGTCTTTGAGGAATTAAATCACGAGCTGAGGGAGGAGCTGCCCGTTCTCTACCAGAGGTAGAGTTGAAATGAACACGGCGCTTTAGATAACACTTTAGGTGGAATCTGAAATCTTGAAAAGGAAAGATCGGAATGTCAGTGTGTGAATAAACCAAAGAGTCATGTTGGGTATTCAGGACTTACAAGAAGTACCGCTGCTATTTAGAACATTCTTTTTATCATAAGGAATGTAGATTCTTCAGGCCTCGGTTCCCGGTTATACCTTTTTTTTTTTTTAAACATGCCTTAGTCGTTCAAATATTGAATTACTAGACTTGGTTGACTTTTTGGAATAGATTAAAAAAAACACTAATGTCCATTTCGGGCCTGTGAAAATGCATAAATGAAATTGGTTCAAGCTGAATTTTATTTTGTCTGCAACAACTTAACTGAGCTCCTTTTTTAAAATCCACTCAAAAAGTATATGCGAACAAACCAAAATAATAAACCAAGAGCTTTGTTTGTGTCCATAGCCGGATAGGTTGCTACGTGACGGTGTTCCAAAACGTATCAAACCTGAGAGATGTCTTCTACAAGGAAATGAGCGTGGTAAGATATGACACTTTTTTTCATGTTAACACTGTCAGGCTGTTCATGTGAAGTACTGGAGTGAGTAAGAAAAACACCCATGTTGCAATTGTCTTGCAGCTGAACCATGAGCTGTACAATGTGATGAAGAAACTGGAGACCCAACACTCAGGAAAAGCCTTCATCGTCAAAGGTCTGAACAGGTAGGACACTGTGGCACGTTCCCTCATCTACGATCCCATATACATATATTAGATCAAAAAATGGTTTATGCATCTTCTTATCTTCTTCTAATAGCATGACAAGCAAGTCCAGGAAGCGAAAGTCCTTGGTCATCTCCAATCCAATCCCGTGCAATACAGCTTTCCCGACAGACCACGTCTCCATACACTGCGAGAATGGAAAAGACGCCGTGCCCACTTCGCCCGTCCAACGAACTGAAAGCACCTCGGGGGAAAGTGGCCTGCCGGCGGAAGGCGGCGTGCCAGAAGAAAGCGGCGTCTCATCCAAAGACGTCAACTCGTCCGACTCCGATCTCAGCTCCAGCGGAACCCACACGCCAAAGAGGCAGTCTGTGTCCGACCCGGAGAGTGGCGACCGGTGCACGGGGAGTCAAAGTCTGGAGGAGGCGGAAGCTGACGTGGCTTCCAACCAGTCCGATGACTCCGGGGTGGGCGTGCCAAAGTCAGAGGCTGCAGGTCACAAAGTGTCCCATCCCTCCGGCTCTGCAGAGAGTCCCCTGCAGAGTCCAGAGCAGGAGGATGTGAGTGACCCAACATCTGAGAGTCCAGAGCAGAAGGATGTGAGTGACCCAACATCTGAGAGTCCAGAGCAGAAGGATGTGAGTGACCCAACATCTGAGAGTCCTGAGCAGGAGGATGTGAGTGACCCAGTAACCGAGGAGGTCAGGCCAAAACCTGCACCGGTCCCGGCCCCTCGCATCTCGTTCCGCCGCGCAGAGAGACCACTCTTAGTCCCTAAGGAGCAGAATGAAGAATCGCTCCACCCGGAGACTGAGGACTCCGGTACTAAAAATCCACCTGGCTTCCTTTACAAGGTACCAAAGAGTAGCATCGCACTCGATGTCTGACTAACTTCACAAATTCACATGCACTCTCCTTTTCTAACTCCTAATCCTTCAGCTCATGTTCAGTCGTAGTTTGTACGACCTTGTGTTCTTCATGTATGCAGTAGACTGCTGCCCTGGACCTGTAGACACACGCTGATGTATGAAACTGGTGGAGTTCCCCTTTAGGCACAAAGCTGGACTCAGTATCAGACTGGACACATGGGGGTAAAAGAAAGACTGGCTAAAGTTTAAAAGGAAATCTAACCTCATCTAATGAATACATTGTATTTTATTGCCATTTCTTCGATCCATACACAAACCGATATTTAAAAATGAAACAAAACGCTATGCCTTCAGGCCAATGCTCGAATTGTTTCTCTTTCAAAGAAAAATACCTAACTTTGCCAGTCACGACAAGCAGAGAGGGGAGAGCAACAGTTGGACTGATGCACACAGTACCACACAATACGATAGCAAAATGTCGTCTGATTAAGGGCCAAATTTGGAGAGATTTCAGAGTGAGGTCATGAAGTGTTTTTGGAGAATTGCTGCACAATGTTTTGTATGTAGAGAGAAGACCGACTGACTCCCAGTGATGCACAAACAGCCAACAGAAGCTACTGGGATTCCAGTGTTGTATTGAGCAACAGCGGGTTTTTACTGTTAATGAGTTAAACACTTTATCAGCCAGTTGAAACATGTTATTTCCTCCTTTTAAAAAAAAAAAAAAAAGGGAAAGAAAAGTGGCAGCAACTTTCACTTCTACAGACTGACTAATGTTAGTTTACTAGCAAAGGATATGAAAAAACCTTCAATCATTCTAATGTGAATTCTGATTAAGTTCAATGTAGTTTAGAGGCCAAGAAAACATAAACCCACTATGCTTTGTAGTGTATATACTTATTTAATATAAATATTTTGCCTGATACAAAGTAGGTGAATAAAACTCCCTTTGTAGTTATTCTCAATGTGGTAAAAAAAAACAGCTTTCTCGTGGAAAAAATATCCCTACGAAAACTGTTGCTGTGCTTCGCATATTTGTTGAGCATCCGTCTGTAAATACACAAATCTGTGAGCACCACAAACACCGTCCTCCAACACCGCTCAGACATCTGAGGAATAATTTGGTTGAAGTGGCCTTCTTAATGTTAATGACTGTTTACCACCAGGCGGTGGCGGTGGAGAGCCACGCGGCGTCTGAAGGAGGCCTCCTCCAGTTTGAACAGGGAGACGTCATCCTGGTGCTTGACGACACTCGAGAGGTTTGTGTGCGTTCTTGTGTACTTTTCATTATCTTTTTTTTTTTTTTTTAGTGATGACGTTGAACGTCTCCCGTGAGTCTGGTGTTTCCAAATGTCTAAAATGAAACACCGCTACTAAACACCAGAAGGCGGATTCACAGATGATCCCAAATGAATGATCGACTGTTGGCGCTGGAGGAAAAATTTCTTTGGTAGTTATAGTGAACGTCTTAGCTAAATAATGACCAAATTATAAATTGTTTGAAGTCATTTTAAATGTATCAAATTAAATCTATTACAAATATATATTTGAAATTCATGCTTTTGTGCAATCACTGTCCGCCCCACTTGAAAGAGGCCGAAGGAAGCTCTCACTGAAAAAGCCTGTGAATTGTGGGTGGGTTTCTTTCCTTGAGATCTGGCATGTGTTTTAATGCCTGTCTTAATGTTTCGCTGCAGGACGGCCTGGTGAGGGGGATCAGGGAGGAGAGCTGGAACCAGCACAGGGATCTGCAAACTCACTCTGGGATCTTCTCGGAAAAACTCCTCCAGCTGGTTCAGGCGGAGTGAAGCAATAGTCACTCCTCGGTCTGTAATACTTTCTTGTTCCTTTGAGCAGTTGGTGACTCACACACACACACACACTTGTGTACGGAGGGAGTGAACACATATGTTGGGGGTGACGTGCTGTGCAAACAGATGAGTCCTACGTGAACTTGCATGCTCTGATGTAACTTTTGGAAGGAACATTATTTTTGAACATTTTGCAAGAGAAATCTGGTTTGTTAAATGTTTTGGTATTTTTGCTCTTATTGCATTTTAAAGTCTTACTGTGAAACAAAACACCTGTTTTGTTTATAATGATGCTGTGACCTGTACATTTCTTAATAAAGTTCTATATAAAAGACGAGGATGTTGTTATGGTTTGAAATTTTTTCCAACGCAAACCAATACGTTCTGTTGACGTGAGAATGGAAGACAGGCGGATAACTTGCAGCAAATGTGAGTTACATTTTTGGTAAATACAGAAAGTTTTTGCTGCAAAACTGCAGAAAAACTACTTTAGAAAGCACTAATCCGCCACAATGGAATGAATGAAATATTGTCAAGATCTTAACTGAGACACACTGACTGAGGACTCCATTGAAGAACAGTCTTTCTTTTATAAATCTTTTTTTTTTTTTTGCATCAAACCAACAACATGGATGATGGATATCAGACTGATTGACTGGTCAGGTACTGTCTGTTGGACTGGGACAGTATCAAAAACCTAAAACGTAAAAAGATTAGACCTCTATAGCTGTGGTGTTTTCCACGCTGGGGTTTTTATTTGGTCAACGGTTGTTGTTGAGTTTTACAGTGACGACGTTCCTTTTCCTAGTGGGACATATTCTGCGTCCATAACGGTCATTCCAGGTTATCGTAATGCGACGGTAGCTCTTTAAAGTTGAATTGCCAAAACCAAATTGTTGTTCTGGTGACGTCAGGCGTTGCTCTGCTCGTCATAGTGGTCCTGGCGGTTTAAATGAAAGTCGGCTTTTATGATCGGCTAACTTTGATGCGATAGCGGGAGTCCATGGTGGCTTGGAGGCAGGAACAACGTTTGGCGGAGCGCGTGCCGGACTCCTCTTCTGTTCCAGATGGGAATGTACTGAAACATGATTCAGTTCATAGTTTGTCTTATTGGAGTAAAACTTTGTTCTGCACCTCATGAAGTCCCTGCAGTGACGTGGGGACTTTGGCACAATTCTCTTTTCTCAATGAAGAGTAGAAAACATTTTTCCTCTTTTGGAACATTTTCCTTAACGCAATCCAAGGAGATTTACAACGTTTTTAACTCGCGGGAAGACTTTTCGGCTTTGAAATTTCTAAAATAAAACCATTATTTCCGAACCATTTGCGTTCTGAGGATACTCTGACCCAAACCTCCTTGACCAAGAATGTGGTTCCATTATTTGCATCATGGGGAAAATGTGCGACTAGCTGAGGGATCGACGGAGAAACCAGACTTTTGTGCAGACGGAATCTCAGTGGAATATCTTCCATGCAACCGGTGGGAATACTTACCGAATGACCACGACGGGGGCAATAACGTGACAGACTGCCCTCTTTGTTAAAAACCCAACGGTAACTGAGCTTGTGTTATTTCCAGTTGTTTCGTCTTCGCGGCCCTCGTGCTGCTCTGCTTGTTTTTCGGTGGGAGTTTTCCTCGGGGCTTCCTCTGGGCCTCGGGGCGCACGGGTCACGTGGGGCTAACTGCCCTCCGAAGTCGGGGGGGCCGTCGAGAAGTAGCGTTGCGCGGATAAACATGGAGGAGGTCTACCCCCCCCCCCGGAGGGCTTTGGGGTTTCAGCCACATTCCTCCCCAGCAGAACCTTCGCTGTACGCGAATGCACGTGTCCGTATCAGTCGTATGAAAAACCATGAATGAAGGAGAAGGCGACTCCCCTGAGAAAGGCTTAATCTGAGTGTCTTCTTCTAACAATACTCGCCAAAGGAAGATGAGAGGTCAAGAGGTCATGCCCAGCAACACAAAAACCTGCACCATGGAGCTCCAGCAGGGTGTGAGATGTGTTGACAGAGGAATTTGATCAATTCAGTCTAATAACAATGTTTCAACCTACAACGCCAACTCTCCTGGCGTCACGTGCCTGTATTCTGCTTTCTTTAAAATCGGTACCACTAAGAGCCGGCCCCATGCTCCAACAACAAAGATTAGAAATAAATTCATCTTCACAACTGATGTTGTTATAATATTTGATGGAACTGCTGAAACTGAGTGGGTTCGGGCTCTCGTACCATGCACCTTCCTGAATCCGACTACGACGGCAACGCATGCAATTATTCTTTACTACTACTGTACTTATCCGAGTCGAGGTCAGTGCTGGTCAGCTGTACTACAGCCTGAAAGTTAGACCGGAGCTCCGTGTTCACCTCACTGCAGGAAAGAATAACACAAAGGGAAAAATGTATAGATGTAACCATTGATTTCTTTATAAATGTACACGACGCAGGTATATACATGTAAAATCAGACTTCTATGCCTTTAGAATTCTTTGCAATGTGCAAAAAAAGACAAAAAGACAGACATCAATATGAAGCAGTTGACGTTCTTCACCTTCTGTTGATGATTCTAGTTATTTCTTGAATATTTTTTGCCTAAAATCCTGGCCAGGAGTTTTTTGATCTCTCGTTTTCTAAGAAAAAGCACCTTTATCTCGTCGGACGGTTTGACAGTACACCTCTGATTCATAGGTGGCGCCGACGTGCCGAGGAATGCAGCACTGAGCCTGAAGGACCGTGAAGAAAGAGACTGCAAGCCATCAAACAATGGATCCAAACTACATGTGAACTGAACATACTTATAAAAAAAAAAAAAAGAACACACTTGTTATTAAGGATTCCCACAATGCATTTGGGTGCAAAAGACAAGTCTGACCGGCCTTAGCGAACATAACAAAGTCAAGGTCCTGCTTATCTGAAACCGGGGGCAAAACATTAGCAGCCATGTTGTTTTTACTTCGGTAATCCCGGGCGGAGGGAAGAGCGTCCTTTGCTCCATCAGTGCTCGAGACAACGCACAGACACTCCTCTGAGGTGTGTGTTATGTCTCTTATCACCTGCGCTCTGACATAGCGCAGGCGGTCCTCTCTCTGTGTGTGTGTGTGTGTGTGTGTGTGTGTGTGTGTGTAGGGGGGGAGGTCACCCACTTTTTCCCTCTTTTTTTTTTTTCTGTCTTTGAAAAAACAACCGTCCACACTGAGTCCACTCATCAGACGGCCACCGATTCCTCTCCGGACCGGTTGATCTTCCTTTATTGGGACAACAGCGTCTGGTTTGCGCTGCACACGCTCCGTGTTGCTCTCCAGCGTTTGACCCCCTGTGAGGTCACAGGTGTCGTTCGTACCGTCCTCTGAGTTTGAGTCTTTCCACTTTCAAACCGTGTCGCGTCAAGATAAAAAAGCTAAATACACCAACTAATGCTTGATGAGAATGAGGTTAAAGTGTTGGCTGAGTAGGTTTAAATATACACAGCCATGGTTTTATAAGAAGTGGTGGTTTGGTATAATCAGTAAATGGTGAGGGACAGAGAAATATGTATTGCTGCTGCTGCGGCTTTTTTGTCACAATGATGTTGGAATATTGAAACCTATTGCCAAAAATAACCAACACTTATGTTTAAGGCTTTAAGACTATTGGCATTGATGAACTCAATTTTGTATTCCGTATTTGCAAGTAGTGCTACGTTCAGTTTGAAGTTGCATAGTTTTTTGGCTGCTGGAGACAGGAGGACAAAACACAGACATGTTAACGCCTCAAAAAAGAAGGTGTGAGCATCCAGCAAATACAACAATTACTCTTTTTTTAACAGCCGAGGGAGAAGACCTGGACGTAAATGTGGCTAGCTGTGTTTGGCCAGTGAATCTGCAAAGCGCTTTCTATGAATAGAAAAATGTTTGTGAGACGTCAAAAACAAAATGTAAACCAGGAGTAAATAATATTATATGACATTTTCTTGTTTATTCAATTTTCTCTACTGCAGTATGCAGCGTTATGGAAAACGCAGACTCTACAATTGCATCCTCAGATTAGCCATCATTTCTTTAAATGTAGTTGCAAGTTGAGCTGATCCTGGATATTATTGGCTGTCCTTCAGCATAGGACTGCTCATCGTGATGGTTTTAAAGCAGCAGTTACTTCAACAAGAAGCTCTCAAGAACAAAATAGTAAAGCAGCGATAGCGCTACGTAAATGCTGTAGACCATTTAAAGGAACCGGGCGTAGAACTGAGAAACCTTTTTTTCCGGTGTTTATGTTGCAGTTCATACTTCCTGCCAACAGAGGCCAACAAAGGTCACAGATCGCTTTATCTCGTATTAATCAGAGTTGAATCCCACGCAAACTATCATGCATGTGATTAATATTCTTTATGTCACAACTTTGCTACACAGCCAACTCAACTCTCCAGTCTTTTCTTCAATAAAGGAATTCAGGTTCAATTGATTCTATCTTGATTGCGCTAAACTCCTGGAGTCAAGCACATTACAACATCAGCTGGAATGAAAATCTTCTGCCACTGATGCCAATGTTGGCGGGTAAATGTGGGAAACTCCCTTTTCTTATGTTTTGAAAAGACTCACACGCTCGAACGCACACCATCTGCAAGTTGTGTCCCAGGTGACGAGAGACGGTTCTGAAGAAAGACGTCTGTGGGCCTTCCGGGTTTAGTCACACAGAATTTCTGCCCAAAACAATGAGAAGTTGGCCAGGCAAAATGTTTTGACAGGGAGCGCATCTCAGAGGGTTTTTTAGGTTTAGAAAGCCCCCCTACCCCCCCGCGCCCCACACCGCGTCCACAACAAACGGCTCATTTTAGGACGCCGACTTGTATTTGGGTTTCCACCTTAACACGCTCACATGCTTTGATGTTGAAGAATGTGTTTTTTGTCCTCTGTTTTTCTCACCTTTTTCCCCAATTCTCACTGGGACACGGTCTTCATAAATGAAATGAATCCATTTGGTTCTAGTGCCTTCTATGCCTGGGAACAGCCGACTGCAGCGCATTTTGAGGGTTGAGTGCGTCGGCGTGTTGGGGGGAGGTGGTGGGGCAAAATCAATGTTGCCCCAGGCTGAGTCTTTTGTCTTATCTATTGTATGTCACACATTTTTTTATTTAATCAGTAATTGGCTAAAGGGATTCTTAGACCCGCCTTCTGCGGACAATCTTGAGATTGCCCCTAACGCAGCTGAAACACGCAAGACGGGACGTGGGTATGACAGGCAGGACGTGCAGGAAAAGCAGATATTTTTTGCAGATATCATATTTTACAAATATTACATGTTATATTTCAAAAATATTGTCTTATAATTCAATATTATCTTTTCTTTTATTGTTTTTGAGCATCCGCCTGAGACCAGGGGCCGATATCTAAACTACAAACAGGTATTGTGGAGCAACGTGATGATTCGGTTTGGGGAAAAAGGTTGTCCTTTGGGTTAGAATGACAGACGTTCCTTTGCTGGAGTTACAGGACAAACAAATCAACGCTCACTTTTCTTGTTCCACACGAGGAATTACCTGCAGTCTCCTGGTTTACAGACATGGATTCTATACAAAAACATTTTTTGGGACACCTAGAAATTGTGAGACGTTATTTTTTGGTATTCGGTTACAAACGCATGAGATCAGGCTGCTGTAAAGACTTTGGCTCAAACCAGGATTTGTGTTTTGTTCCTTCTGGGCGACTATAAAACCTGCAGGCCCTCTAATGCCCATTGCTGTCTTAACAGTTGTATAAGTGATTCTTCCTCAATAAGTTACAAGTTATTCACAGTTTTATGTCCCAAGTCAAATCCTAAAAGCAACAAATCATGTAATTTTATAACGACAATGCATCAAAGCACCGGAATAGTAATCATCATTCAAGTTGGGCTGTGAAGGAAAAAAAACCCCAACCCCAACTATGCAAATCCTAAGGATTTACAATGTGTTCATTATAGTAGATGATGATTTGGATTGTAATTTCCGTCTCTGACGTAAAACTTGGGTTGGACTTTTACACAGTCTTACTTTGGGGACCGGGCTGTCTGGTAACGTCTTAAAGCTCCACCCCAAATGAGGTTGCAATCACCCCCCCTCCCTCCTTCCTTCCCTCCTTCCCTCCCTCACTCCCTCCTTCCCTCCCTCCTTCTCCGTCTTGACTTTCATTACATTCACTTATGTCCTCTGGATCAACACACCGGACCTGCCGCTGGAGCTGAAGAGGGTGCTGGGGGGGGAGAGGGGGGGTGAGATTAAACATTTAGGGACCATTACATTAAACGGGAGCAGCGCGGATGATGCGTTTTGCGCTTCGGCCACTCGATGAAAGAGGAGACGCGCAAAAGAAGAGATGGGCATCGTTCCTGCGCTTTCACCGACCCGGTCGTGGGGGAAACGCCGCCGTGGTGCCGCGTCCGCTGGACCCGTAGCCGCTGCCGCCGCCGCCGCGGCGCCGCTGCTGCCGCTGCTGCTTCTGGCGCAGCTGTGCGCCGGTTTTAACTTGGACACGGAGAGACGCGTCGTTTTCACCGGACCGCGCGGGAGTTATTTCGGCTATTCGGTGGAGTTCGTCGGCAACGCATCCAGGTGAATAAAGGCACAAAGTCTGCACCATTGTGTGCGGTTTATTACAGCCTGCAAGATATTTCTGCAGGGAGAATCTGACATTATTAATATCTATATGCACAATGTCCTACTAAGAGTCAGTTTGGTGCACCAATTCTTATACAACTTTCTGTGTTGTTTCTATGAGTGATCTGTCTCTCATAAATGTAGCAGCCTAAATTGTTTTGTTGATTCAACCTGCTATATTTAAAAAAACAAAACAAAAAATACAATTTTTCAGTGGAATATGAGTCTGTTGGATAGATTTTATGCTCTCTCTCTCTGTCTCTCGCTCACACACTGGCCTCCATCCCACTCGTGTGATTGGAAACAGGCATGCAGCCTGAGTTGGATGCAGAGAGGAGGGGGTTAACCCGCAGCAAAGTTAGACACATGCAAATGTCCCCCTGAATATCTACTGAAGCAGCTCTCCTGCTGTTTCTTATTCTGTGGACAGATGAGGAGCTGCCGAGTGAGATAAAGTCATAAAATGTTCTTCTTCCGTTAAATGCAGCCTGCAGGCTATATTTTAACTTTGGGCGTTGGTGAGGACTAAACAAACAGTCTCCGTCCGAAAGTCACTTGGACATGAGGGAAGTGTGGAGCAGTTCACATCTGGAGCGATGGACATTTGTGGTTCACCGTTATGATAATTGGCTGCATATTTTACAAATCAGATGCAAATAACCATATGGTTTGACAATCTAATATTCTACTGTTTTTGGAACACAAAATAGCATGTCAATATTTTGTCTCTGTCTCAAGGAAGGACATTCGACGGTTCTGGCTGCCTGGATAGGAAAGAATAAATAAACGAAGTGATGTGATGCGGATGGGAGTTGACATTTTCTCAGCCGTTTTTATATGGAACGTTTAGTTAATGTTACACTTTTATACGTAATCGTCCCTTTATGCTACTTTCCGTTAGCAATCACTCAATGGTCCTTTTCAACCCGGCAAACCGTTAGCTAGCTAGCCAGCTAGCCAGCTAGCCAGCTAGGCTCACAAAACCAGCTGTGATGAATGTCACATGTAGACACGCCTGGCAATTTAGAGCTCACAAGTACATTCATTTAGACATCATTTTCCTTGAGTATTTACATTTTAAATATACTGCAATTTCAAACTTTGCTCCAGTAAAGACAGACGCTTACAGATAAGTAAGATACCAAAGTCACGTTTTCCATTAGCTCTTGTGTGTTGGGGAAGTTATACGCAGTTTAACATCAAACAACAGTTTTTCGTCTTAATTTTGAAGCTTGAAGACGTATTTTTTACTACATACTGAGTTAACCGTCTAACATGAGATTGAAACGTAGAACAATGTGATTGACCATTTGTGGATGTTTTAACAGATGTAGGTATGTTACTGTGAGGACGTTGGTTTTCTCTGGCAGCGAGAGGGGAGGATGATGAGTCATTTTCTGAGATGTTGATTTAGACCAATTTGTTCGGACTAAGCCGAAGCCCCTTTTGCCTCAAATCCTTTTGAGTTTGAATGTTTTTTTTTCCTGCTCGTGGGATGATTTCTGCAGGTTGTCGTGCAGTCGGACAATTGCTCCGCTGTTTGGCTGTAGGGAGCCTTGCTAAGAGCTGTGGCTCACCACGCCGCCGCGGACGGGATGGTTCAATATTGTACATCCACAGTAAACTCGCTTTATGGACTTGATGTGTCCTTTGCTTTGGTCCCCAATGAAATATTTATGTCCCCCTCTTGTGACTTGGTTCTCTCCCGCCACCATCAGGTAAAAAGTTTGTCAAATACTTTGGGAGAAGGTCAATTACCTTCCATGTTCAGTGCAAAATTGTAAATGTTAGCTTACTAACACGCTAAGCTAAGACGGGGAACATATACCTGCTGAACAAATGGCTGTATACGGAGAAAAGGGTACTTTTTGGGGTATAAGATTCAGATTAAACTACCTGCGCAGGTTCACACAGCAAGAGCGGTAGCGTTTCCTCGACCTCGCCACCGACTCATTCACATGAACAGAGGATGGAAAGAAACTCTGGATTCAGCTATTAGTCTGTTGCACAACTTTTAGGACATAATAATTTACCGGAAAAGGTATTCTTTGACCCAATTACATCGCTCAACTGTCCCGGAAGTTGTGATTCCAGGATTTGGCCGCTATGGGAAGTTTTTCCAACACTCTTGGCTTTTGGTTAAACATCCCATCATTGTGGGCATGTAGCATGCTAATATGAGTAGCATGCTAAGATGAGCATTTAGCTGTAGGCTACTTATGCACAGCCTCTCGGAGCGGTTAGAAATGTCAATAAACTACCTATTTTGTTTGGGGGTACTTGATTTTTTCACCCCCCCCCCGGTACACACCCCACAGACCCACAACATACATGGAATTAGTCTGTAGCATTGAAATGGGACGCAGATGTTGAAATCCTGCAACCCGATGTCAGCGGACCTCTTTGTGTTTAGGAACCTGTCTGTCAATGCGTATGTCTGGTTTAACTCTTACATTTCAAGAGTATCTAGACCGGGTTTTTCATATTAGTAATAAAACCAGATCTAAGTCATTTGAGCAAATTCATGTGTCAAGAACAGTGGATATTTTCCTGCAGTTTAAATTATAGCACAGCTTTAATGTTAGTCCAATTTGCATATTTGACTAAAATACTACTAAGAAATCACACCAATGAGTGTTGTGTCAGATTACATACGTATGAGTGTTTAAGTTGGAGTTTCAGGCTTATACAAACATCATATCCTGTTTATTATAACAAGCAAGATAACATCTCAGAAACCTGAACTCAGCTTGGATTCCGGGGCTCTGATGGTTTCATGGACATCCATTACTTAATGTCACGGAAGGTCATACCAGTATCATGTGCCACTCAAACTGAAGCATCAGGCTTAATGTAAGTTATGAGAAATTCAACTAATGCCTTTTCCTTCATAAAATAGTTTCCATGAAACATATTCCGTATTTTAGAGAAAAGGGAATCTTGAAAGACCTACAATTTGGATATGACATGGCTCAGAATAACTTTGGCCTTGAATGACATGCTGCCTCTTTGACCTGCACATGCCCTTAAGCCATTCCCCTCGTCTGCAGATGTTCCTGTTTAACGTGAGTTAAAGGAATCCTTTTTTTTTCAGGTCTCAACAGCAGCATTTATCACCCCGATTCTGATTCACATCATGTCGTCGAGGAGGCTTTTGTCGGCCGCTAAGTTTCCGTTACAAGTGCTTTTAATTGACTCCTACAACTCAACACGTGCCGAGATCTCAGGGGTGGTAGTCACAGATCTTTGTGAGAAAAGGGCCTCTGAAAGCCTGCAGCCGGGTCTGCTAAGCGACTGTGGAGTGAGTGGTTAATGAGGAAAGCTTATCCGGGCATGTAAATATTCCTCTTCTGCTCTGCAGAGATTTGGGGGAGGGGGGGGGTACAGAGTCTGATCTCTGCTAATATCATCAGTCATCACGTTAGGCCATTCGCTGTGGGCCGGGACTTCTTTTTTGTAAAATTGGATTAATTACAAACAACCGCAAGCGATAAAAGGAACGAGGTTCTGATGCAGGGACACTCCGTCCATGTTCTGTGTGTTACGTATACAGTGGATGAAGCCGGTTTGGAGAACCAGCACGGCACCAAAGCGATATTCAGCTTGGACGGACCAAGCAGCATAACCTATTTTGGACCCCCCCGAGAAAAATCTACGCTCCTTTGGCAAAAACAGTATTTTTCAACCTCAAAGCTAACAAGGTTGCTGGTGCCTTGGTCGTAAAACTCACCGATCAAGGCGGCGGCCGAACCAGCAGCTTTGGCCCCTTTTCCCCAAGGAGTCTGGTGGCTTTGAAGAGAACACGGCAACGGCCTCAGTGGCCCGTCGGAAAAGGTCGTCTGATGTCAAGTTTAGGTGGTGAAAATATTTTAAGTAGCTTGCACTTAAACTCATGCTGATTCTTTTAAGCCTTTCCTTAGATCTCTGAAATACATCCAGCTGCTGCCCTCGCCCACAACAGTATATTACCGGGCTTCTGTGCTGGTTGTGTCTATCGACTGGAGGTCCTTCGCTGATGATGGATTGAGTCCCTCACACAACCCCGACACGGAAACGCTCTTTAAAGCTGCTCTAGCCAATAATTGACAATAAATAAGCAAATTGTTGCTTGGTTCTGCAGAGTTTTTTTGGCGTCCCTCAGCTCAATGTTTACGGCTCACACAGTCGCTCTTTTGCTCGCCTCTCACAGCTCTTGTTGACGTTGTTTCCAGCGGCCGCGGACAGCTGCCTGTAAACGAGCCCTGAGGCACTCCCAATCAGAGACGAGCTGGTGAACATCTGCTTTGTGAATTCAACGTGGTGATGAAACTGCGCTTTTCAAACGTCACCCTTAAAGAAAAACCTTGTTGGTGCAGGTTGATTCCTGGCCGTCTTTTTTGCATGACTTTAAATTGAAAAATTCCTCTGCAGTGCAGGCGTTGACACCATGCTGAGGTAACAGAGCTTTGGCTTAACTTGATGCGACGATGTGGGAGCACTGCATAAGCATTGTTGATCGTGGGCAGATGTTCAAACTTGCAAAGCAATGCTGGACATATTGTCCTGCATCTAAGATTTAAAAAAAACACTCCATGCAGTGATAATCCCAGGGATCTGCAAAAATACAACCACTGAGGTAATAGCTGTAAACTGATCTATGTATGTATGGAACATTTACCATCTGAGGCCACATAAACTGCAGCAAGGAACTTACAGGAAATCTCCGTAGTGGTTCCACCCCTTTATGGTTGTACTACTTCTGAATTGCTTTTGTTGCCTGCTTCCTCTACATATGTTGCTCTTCTCTCTGTCATGATCTTAGTTCTGATCAAATAGGACTGTGCCATGTGGAGAAAATCAAATATCACAATTTATTTGACCAGATATTGGTCAATTAAACTGTTCAGTGGTGTTTTTACAAAGTATTCATTCAATAACATTTTTGATAAACAAATATTTGTAAATTAGCTATGATAACTATGTGGGGAAATGGTAAAGCAGCTAAACTTAAATCGCTTTAGTGTAACACAACCGTTAAAACCACAAAGAGAGAACACCACACTTGAATTTACAAAGGTATAAGATGGGTTGCAATGTGACTGATAATAGAATATCTGTCTAATATCACTATATTGAGCAGTGATTTTGCAGAGGGAAATGCACTCATTTGCTGTCTTTTTTAGTGTGAAATGACAATATTACTATAAATTTCTGTAAATATGAAGCTAAAGCCAGGAGATGCATTCATGTCAAGATTCACACTCCTCACGACACTTGACTTTACAGTACCAATTGAATGCACATGGTTGTAACTCATGACAGATGTTTCTTGGTTAAACCTTGGACATTCCCTCGACGCGGTCCGTCATCACGACGTAAAAGATTTTGTTTTTCTCTCGGCCGTCCAGCGTCAGCGTTTTGGTCGGCGCCCCGAAAGCCAACACCAGCCAACCCGACGTCACCGAAGGAGGAGCCGTGTTCTTGTGCCCCTGGAGCCGAGCCAACTGCAGCATGATCAACTTTGACAAGCAAGGTAGGGAGTCTTGTTAAATCTAAATCTACGGCCGGGCCTCCTTGCAGTTGGAAATGTGACCCTTGAAAAATCAAGCTTAAATAACCAAATACCGAGGGAGACAAAGCGTCCTCCACATCTTGAACTGCAGGACCGGTTGATAACTCACATTGTTTCCAGGTTATAAACATGTCACTTTCCCCAGTGGCCCTGTTAAACAGTTGAGACAGGACTAAGTGGCAAACGCTCAGCTGCCTCCATCCAACCATAAAAGTGTCTCGGAGACGGTGTCGGCCGCGTCCCGCTGTGCGTGACCCTCGAGGTCACGGGTTTCACGCCATGCGTTCTTACAGCTCCTAACTTAAAGAAGCCTTTACTCTTCATAACGTCCTCTCTTTGTGCTAAATAAATTCACGTTATTTACTTAATGTTTTGGTGAGTGAGGCTTTCCTCCGCTACGGTCTCTATTCTGGGACTCGGGCTGTGCTTTGCTGTGTTTTCACAGAGCTTTGATCTCCTGCTGGGCCGGGCCCCAGTGTTGTGAGCGCTCTTTAATTAGGGCAGAGTCTTTACTGGGACAAGGACCCCAGAGGACCGGGGGGGTGGGGGGGGCAGAGAAAGAATCCGTCCGCCATCAGAAATACAGGAAGCGATAAGGACCCACGTTTGAGGATCACAGGGGTCACTGTACGCTCTCCGATGCTCATATGGAGTTGCCTTTTAAACAGACTGAGAGAAAGTGCTTGTGTGCGTAAATACACACAAACAGCCACCGAAACACGAGAAATATGGAGAACCACACGTGTGTTCAGGCAAAACGTATATATCTACACACACAGACACGCTCCTGCATTTACATTCAGCAGTCACGAGTGGATTATGGCACAATGGGCTCTTGGTTGAGAGCATCACCATCACCATCACCTCTACTTTATCAGTTTCATTATTTGTGCTCATTTGTGCGTCTTTGTGTTTTTTTGCAGTTGAATTTATTTCACATTTCTTTGTGGACATTTTCTTGGTTGGTGTCTCTGTGACGTAGTTATAGTTGAAAGCCAATGGGGGGCCCCTCTGGGTCTGTCCTCTGTAGGCCCGTTACAGTAATCTATCTGTGTTAGCAGAGCTGCATTTCCCATTACAGACCTCGGGATTCATGATGTGTTCGGGACACACGCCAGACTGCGTTAATAAACAGGCGCGGGGTTGCAGCCAGGAGAGTTCATTGTCATCACTCTTCCACAGACATCTAAAAAAATATATACGCAGTTGCAGGCGGATTTAAGAAGGATTTAAGGTTTCAGGTTTTGTAAAATCACTTTTCAAGGATACTTAACTGCACGTGTTTCCTCAGAAAGACTTTGTGATGAAACCATCACAGACTTTCATTTTTTATTTAGATAAGGATGCGAAAGGTATTTCAAAGCCTGTAACTTTTTTTAATGCTGTTCCATGGGACATCGAGCCACCTGTCTCACCTCACTGTTACTGTCTATGTCTCCAAATACATTGACTCATTAATTTAGCAAGCAAAGGAATCCTGAAGTTGTAATGCACACACACACACACACACAGCGTGGAGGATGGATTAAGACTACAGACCCCGGGAGCAAGGCCACTCAATTTCAATGCAAAAGCCAAGAACATGTGAGGGGGGGGGTCTCCCCAAAAAAAACCCTTAACAGCGATGACAGGGGGATCTCTTAAAATAGCAACTCCTGACATGATGCATGTGTGTTTGATGAGAGTGTGGCAGCGATGTGCTATTCACTAATAGAAAGAGCTGCGTACAACTCTAAAACATGTCCGTCCTCTCTGTGTTCTTCTAGGTGATCGACATTTTTACATCAATGGTGTAAACACTCAGGTTGAATTTAAGTCCCATCAGTGGTTTGGAGCTACGGTGCGTTCCCATGGAAACAGCATCCTGGTAAGAGTGCGTCGGGGTTGGTTGTTCTGTTGGCTCAGGTGCGCAAGGAGGAGATATATTGGTCGGGGAAACACTGATTGTTTGTTCAAATTTTATTTTTAAAGTGCTAGCAGGGACATTTTTAATACGTGCCGTTGGGACTGTGTGGGGTTGCTTAATGTCCACATTCCGAAACGTTTCTAACCCTGACTCCCGTCGAGTTTAGAACAGTAAACACACAACAATCTGAGAAGTCTTACCACATTGGCTTCGTGAAAAAAAAATCTATCTGAATATAAAAGCCTAGAGCCAACAAGTGTTTTTCAATTCCTATTAGAGGTTGAGGAATTTCAAACAATGTGCTTTACTCGTACAACGATGATGGGTTAAAAAACGAGCCCTTAACCATGACATATAATACGTTCTTGCAAATGAAAACCACATTATGGAGAATCCTTTTGTGTTTGTGCTCGGCAGGCTTGTGCTCCCAGGTATTACTGGAGGACTGAACATGACACACCTTTCGCCGACGTCACAGGAACCTGCTACCTCTCTGTAGACGGTCTGAAAACGTTCGTGGAGTACGCCCCCTGCAGGACAGGTGAGCGGACGTAACAGCCGCCAACCGCTGGTGGGGTTTAAGTGACGGATGCCGTGTTCACCAGCCAGCTCAAAACTTAGCGACTATTAGTTACCACTACTCAGCTAGCTATTAGCTAACTCGACATGCTTTTAACCGGGCTACATACAAACTAATATACAAATATAGGCTAAAAAGGGGACTCAAGGCAAACGTACTGCATGGCAACATGAAGCTTCCTGTTTAACTTCCCCAAATCATTCCAACACCTCAATTGAGAGCAGGATTGTTCCCCAAATCTAAATCATTTATTTTTGGCGGTACTAAGGCTTAGAATGTCCTAACATATTAGTTAGTATATTCCCGAAATAGTGTAACTATTCATTTGCTCACAAGACACAATATTGTTCTTAGTTTTTTGTTTTCAATGGAATAAAGATTGTTAATGTTTTCCATCTTTTGTGCTGTTTTGCAGAAAGACATGGGCCTGTTGGGCAGGGATATTGTCAGGGGGGATTTAGTGCAGACTTCACCAAGGTAATAGAAATATTTTCTGTTTTCTACATAATCACATACTTGCCATTTCTATGTTTTGGTTGATGTAATCAGGGGCGATTTCGCTCTGTTCAGCACATCAGATTAGCAGAGTTTGTTTGTTGAATTTCCCGGTGACACACGGACTGTTCTGTGTTACAGGACGGCCGGGTTGTGCTCGGAGGACCGGGCAGCTTTTACTGGCAAGGTGAGCTGGCGAGAATGTGGACCGGCATGGATCTGCAGAGAGACAGCTGGGCGCTGGAGCTGAAAGTCACGTTGTCTTATTTCAACCTCTGACCGTTGACCGGTTTGCTTCCCGTCCATCCCGTAGGCCAGCTGATCTCAGCCACCACGGAGGAGATCGTGAAGGCCTACTACCCCTCCTACTTCCTGCTGTCCGTCGCCGGGCAGATTCAGACACGACAGGCGCAAGGGAGCTACGATGACAGTTACCTGGGTGAGGAAGTGCATCTGAGTCTAATCAGCAAAATTAGCCTACCTAATCATTTATTCCAACCCTAACAATATCGTTACGGATATGACAAACGCTACCTATACCCAGATGACAAGTGGTGGAGTCTACGTGATACGCAGGCTTACGCCGCATACCCACCAACAAAAGCGCGATGATACGTAACAAAATCTTTGTGACAGAACGTTCTAACTTTCATTCATAAATTCACCCCGTCTGAAGGCCGTACCGGTCGATAAAAAAAATGACCAAAACTACTGCTAATGCTAATTAGCGATCCCTGCTTACTAACGGATGCGTTTCATTTCATGTGCGCAAAATAAACGCCTTGGTTTTTTATTCAATTTCGCACATTTAATTACCCAAGAATCTTCCTAAAAGTCGCATTTAATCACATTTATATTCCCCGGAGGAGGAAGAACTTTTCTGACAATCTGAAAAAACACCATGTGATGGATTTGCTGGCGACCTTTCCTCTTGTTCCACTATCAGGCCGAAATAGTCAAATACAAACACGTTACTTAAGACCTGACGCAAGACTCTGCATGTCACAAGCTAATTAAATAGGAATGAGCACATTCATGCTCTAAAGCATGATGAGCCTCTGTGGGTGGTGTCATCCTCAGGATGCAGCTAAATCGACCTCATTAACGGTCAAACGTTCATACAGAGGTTTAAGTTCAACAAAAATGCTACATGTTGGTATTATTCATTCTAAAAGTTATTATTACAGTCTAACTTGTAATTTCGGAAACAAAGCCCTTCATTTTATCCGCCACGTAAGGCGTTTTTTTTCTCACGTACATTCGTCTTCCTCGCTCCTGCAGGTTACTCCGTGGCGGCTGGTGGCGAGTTCAGTGGGGATGACGATGAAGGTGAGGGTGATGTTTCCAGTGCAGACAAAATGCATGGCTGAGTGAAGGTTTTGCTGACCCCAACACAAAGTCTGTCTAATGTTTAACCACAGCCTCATCACATGTGATCGTGGTGTGATTATTGCATCTTTCAGGAAGCTTTGAGAGGCTCAAAGAATAAATAAATCTATATTGTTTTGTGGCTGTTGATCACAAAGGTTCCCAGTTAGCCTGCCTGACCTTTTGACCCTTGCTTTCCCTGTTGCAGATTTTGTCACAGGAGTTCCAAAAGGACACATGCTGTATGGAGTTGTAAGGGGTTCCCTCATTTTCATATACAACCATTTCACAGTGCAAACAGTGGACAAAACAAATAAGTATGACGTGCATTGTGCTCAGGTGTCAATATTAAACGGAAGGGACCTGGAGCCTCTGCTCAACTTGACAGGAGAGCAGGTATGTGCACATCTGGACTGTAGTCTTTTTTTTTCATAACGTGGGCACACTTTTATATGTAAAGGAGGGCTGGAGATGAAGGAATTTGCCCCGTGCAGAGGAGGCCTATATCAGGGGCAGAGGTCGAGCTTACTGTACGCAGTACTGTATTCTGCAAATGAATCCCAGAAACAGCAGCCCGGCTCAATGTTCATGTTGACACTGTATTGATTCAGCATGCGCGATGGAAATGGGAAATACGTAAGAGCAGCAGTTTGTCCGAAAAACAACCGAGAATTTATTCATTTGTATGAGGCTCGTAAATATAGTGGATGTCTTTCAAAGTCACAATGTTGATAGCAACACAGCTATTGTTCCTCTTTGTGATTCACGGAGCTTTGCATGTGTTGAGTTGAAATAAAGATAGTTGAGGATGAGTGTGGACTCCTGGAGCAAGTGCCCCAGGGGGTTTGGGGTTTGGAAGTGGGGACGGGGCCCTTGACTGCCCCTCTTTACGCCTATGGACGTTTTCAAGGCTGGTGTGATCCTACTGCAGGATTCCATCTCTGCACTTCCACCGACAGCAGGCATTCTTCTATTCAAATGCAGTGCACATTTTACCACAATGTTCTGTAAAGTTGGCAAATCAAATGGCAAACCAGAGACCACTATCTCCGTACCTTTGGGGCTCTTGCACGGACCACAGCCATCGTCAAACTCGGCCGCCGCCTTGGTATCGACGCACAACTGCAAAGTTTCATCACGGAACCTTGCAAGGTTGTACCGCTGTCATGTCAACTCCCCCCACAATAAATAGTATTAGTTGGACACAAAAAGATAAACAGTTTGTGGCTATAAACAATTAAACAATTGCCGAGGAAGAGGAAGCGAAGAAGTAACCGTAGCTTGTTAGCCTCAAGGGAGAGCATGTGTGTGTGTGTGGGGGGGGTCATCGGCGAGTGCTCGGGGTGTCAGTCTCAGGGTGGAGGGCGCTGGGTAAACTGTTAAGTCACATGGTGATCTGAGGTGATCTCCCGGCTGACGGACTCCCCGCTGTGTGGGGGGAGAATGCTGGTCCCTCTTGAACTGTGTAGCCTGAGTCAGCTGCGAAAACACACCAGAGGGGATTTGTGCAAGAGGCCTGCTTGTTTGTTGAAGCAAACCTCACATGTAGTCATTTGTCAGACCGGTAACTATTATTTCTCTTACTGCATCAGACCGTCACGGCCAAGTCAATGAGCTGAGGATCATTAATGTTGAGTTTGAAGGTGCTTCATTATTATTTTCATTAGGTTATAAATATTTTCTTACTAATGTCGGACGCAGATCTAATTTCAAAATAGTGCCGTGTTGTTGCAGCGCAGGACCCAGGAGCAGAAATGGTTAACAGTCCTTGTTTTAAAGAAAACGGGGGGCTGGCGTGCTGGTGGTCACGCCGGAGGAAAGGTCGGCGGACCGGGTGCGGGTTGAATCCGGAGAGGTAGCGAACCCAAAGCTGAGGCCAATGAAATGGCAACAGGGTTTGCGGAGCAAGCAGTTGCCGAGCGGCAGTTTTAGCCGTAGCGTAAGTCCCACGTTAGAGGACTGACGATCTGACAACGACTGGAACGGAGGGTTGTAGCATATCGAGCATGGAAGCACGGTGCTGGATTATTGCGTTTCAGCTGTGCTGGTCAATTGGAAGGAAAGGCTCAGCTCAGCTCAGACCATCACAAATACTGTTTCAATAGTATAACGTGTTTACAGGGGTTGTAAGTAATTAGAAAAGATGGCATGATTGGATTTTAAAGGAAATAAGTGTGGATTCTCCACTGCATTGGCGCTGTTTGCAAAGTTTTTGTTGCTTCATGTGCTTAATGCTCCACTTTGATTATCAGCCAGCTAAGCTAACTGACTGTCTGGTGCTGATCCGGAATGATATGATGTATTTTAGGACCTCTGAAAACAGCTAAAGGACAACTTGTCAGTGCATGCAGTGGTTAAAAAAAAGTTTCCGTAAAACAGCTCATGACTGTGAAAACTGACCATTGTGCAACTTTCCTCAGCGTGCTGATTCCCCCTCTTATGAACATTGGTGGTGGTTCAGCTCCTCGAGGAGTCTGGATCGTAAGTGGGAGTGTGTTTCTGGCAAAGCGGACATGGTGTCACAGTGAATATGAACTTTGTCCTGTGCCTCGCTGTGACTTATGTCCATGTCAGCTATTTGGCGTGTGATATAGAGGAAGTTAACCCAAATATTCAGTCTTGCCTTTCACAAAGGGTCTCCACACTCATACCTCCTTTTTTACTGAGAGTAACTGATTTATCGTACGAAGAAAAACTCAATGAGTGAGTTTTAAAGGGGTTGGGGTCCCTAATGCGCCGCACCCCCCCCCCCATAAGAAGGGGAGGGGAGGAGACCCCCCCGGGGGGCCGTAGGGTTGTGCGATTGGGAAGGAAAGCTTGTGGGGGCGGTGGTGGAGGGTACAAAGGAGAAAGAAGAGAGGGAACCTTTCAGAAAAGAAAGGGACCCGTGGCGTGATTACGGGCTAACTGGGTCTCGCTTGTGTAATGCGTTCCAGATGGGGTCCTACTTCGGCTACGCGGTGGCAGCCACCGACATCAACGGCGATGGGTGAGTGGACGCAGTGACGTTGAGCCATGTGAAAAAATAGGTGAAAGGCGTGTTGAAGTAGAGAAAAGAAAGCTAAAGCAAGAGATTGAAAGAGAAGGATGATGTCACTCAAAGTTGTTTTTTAACCTTTTGGAAGTTTCCAGAGCTTCGGTTCTGTCGCCTGTCACTCTCCAATGTGTCATAGAAGTTTCTAAAATGCTCTCATTTGGTCTGTAGTTCCTCTTAGTCTAAAGTTCAAGTTCCCTTCCTTAAACCTCGCAGAGGCACACAGTTAAAATGAGGTTTTTAGGTTGCAGTGTAGCTTTAGAAAGTGTGGCATATACATTGCATCTATTTAAAGTGAGTTAAATGGGATTTGCACTTGTTTTAATAGCTGTATTATACAGATGTCACTTTACTTCAACTGTGTTTGCAGCTGAAAATCATCCTGTGAATGTTCTTGAAGAATCAAGTTCAAACTTTAATTTTAGGTTTCTAATAGAACATGTTTACGTGCTTTAAAATGAAAGAAATGTTCTCACACCGTCTCAATATTGCTGTATTTACCCTGAAACTCTGCATCTCTTTAATGGCTCCCTCACAAAAAAGCCCAATTTGTCTATTTGTCTCTGATTGGCTTGTGAGAGCAATTTTAAAACAAAAAGTGTAATGGAAAAAAAAGTTAAATTGGTGCCAAAAGCCTTGTGGAAAACCGAATCACTGCTAAAAACCGTGGCTTTATTTTAAATATCCACTGTGTCTTCTTTCAATATCTTCATCCATTTGCCGCCCTCGTCCCCATCATGTGTCTCCTTCCTTTTGCCTTGTTCTCCAGTTTGGACGACCTGGTGGTGGGAGCTCCAATGTTCATGCGTCGAGGGCTGAACGGGCGCCTGGAGGAGCTGGGTAAGGTGTACGTGTACCTCCAGAGGGGCCCTCTGCGGCTGGAGCCCAGCAGGTCCCAGCTCCTGGGTCAGCAGGCCTTCAGCCGCTTCGGTACGTCGCTTGCTCCACTGGGTGATCTCAACCAGGACGGATTTAACGGTAGGAGTGCTCCACAACGCGCGGTTTAAAATGCTGGAGGACAATGACAATAATTGGACAGCAGTGATTTATTATATTTTTATAAGGCTGAAATTCACGTTAACGTCTAGAATTAATTAGGCTTTTGGTGAAAGAATGATTTTGAATATTTTTTTCAGTGAACACAGATTATAATGTTTCGTTCTGCAACGTTGCCATTGTAATGCGGAACTGTATTCTGAGAATTTGGTTTGTAGCCTAACATTAGCGTTTCACTTTTAACGATTGCATTTATGCTTTGAAAATCATAAAAGTGGTTTCCATTTATAAAAATGATCTTGCTTAATTTAACATATATCACATACATAAATCGTTTGTTTGAGTTGACTTTCTGTAATAATCCAAACTGCGATGGAAAAATCCCATTGTTTTTTTGTCAAAGTGTGATCCTACATCCATACAATGGTCTGACAACATTTGTCATTGCATTACATATGTTGCATAACATATGTTTTAGACCATATTTGCGAAAACACAAGATTCTTCACACTGTGTCTCTTCACAATCAGACATGGCCATCGGTTGTCCCTACGGAGGAGACCAGCAGCGCGGGTTAGTTCTCATTTACAACGGTCACGCGGGAGGACTGATGGACACGCCCACTCAAACTCTCGTCGGCCAATGGGCTTCCAGCTCTTTCCCGGCCAGTTTCGGCTTTGCCCTGCGGGGCGACAGGGACCTGGATCAAAACGGCTACCCAGGTAGCGTATTGGGGCGTCTGCTCTGACTATGTCCTCCTCTCTGGTGCCTTCGTTGAACTCTCTTTCCACTCCTGCAGATCTGGTTGTTGGTGCGTTTGGGGTTGATAAAGCGGTGCTGTACAGGTACGCTCTTTGACTCCCTGTTCTACCGTTTGGTAGAGCGCATTTTCACTCACTAGGATCTTATTGAAAAACATATTCTCTTTTGTTCTGATCATCCTGGGCTTTCTCCAATCAGGGCTCGGCCGATAGTGAGCGCCAGTGCTTCTCTCACAGTGCAGCCGAACATGTTCAACCAGGAGGAGAAGACCTGTGAGCTGGTCACAGCAAATGGGACCGTCGCTGTGTCTTGGTATGGACGGCGACTGTTCTGGAATAAAAGCTCAGCTCCACTTACATCTCAATATCTTAAAGAGTTTTTAAAGATCTTTCAGCTTTCTGAACTTTAGCTTACGAGAACGTCAAATGTCGAACGAAAAATCTAATACAAGTAGGCCTTGTTTTAGTGTTTATGATTGTTTTCTTTGCTGCCGTGGTAACAAAAAGAAGAGGAAGTGGGAGGAAGGTGGAGAAGTCATGAGAGAAGACAGAACGGTGGAGAGCGTTGGAAAAAGGCTCCAACGCTCTCGTATTGAATCAGATATTGTTCTTACGCAAGAGCGTGAGGCGAATCCTCCCTTCACGTCGCCGTTAAATATTCATATGTATTTTCAGAAAAAAGGAAAAAAAGTTTTTTTATATTTTAGAGTTGCTTCTTAAACTTCTGAAATTTCTTTCCAGTGCAAACAGCGAGTTTGTTTCAATACTTGATATAGTACTAGTAATACAACAGAGGAGTACGTGTATGTGTTTACAGTGAGTCAACGTTAACGCTGGATTACATCGTAGGGACGGCGGACTATTAATACAAAATACCATACACAGAGGTAGTCACAGACCGTAAAAACTTGAAAGATTATACATTTTAATTGGAAAAGGATCCGCTGTACAGAAGTACCTCAAACCAGTGTAAACACATCTGTAAAAGCTCAGTGCTGAAGTTCACCCCCCCCCCCCCCCTCCATATTTTTGTCCACCAGTGTCAGCATTGGATTCTGCCTGCTGGCTAATAGAAAGCACCTCCCCTCTCATCTAGGTGAGCCACACACACACACACACACACACACATGGTCCCTATTACCTTGCTTTCTTTGTGTTGCCACAAGTATGCCGGTCAATTTGGCAGTTAAGATCAAGACTAAAGAACAATCGTGTAAACACGGGGTAATTCGGTGGGCTCTGGCAGTTCAGAAGAAGTGTGTGTGTTCGTACTGCAAGGGTGTGTGTTGTCGGTGTTCTCCACATAGTTGCCGTCGAGAGGAGCCACAGCACATTCCTCTCTTTGAACGCTGCATAGAGAGCAGAAAAGAGGAAAACATGGAGGAGCTTCACCATGATCATGATTACCGTTCTACAACTGTGCATCCACACAGTTTAACACGGCCGAATGTCACGCATCACGTGCCGGCCGTTTCCCGCTGTGCGGCCGTTTCCTTTATGTGTGCATGCTTCCCCAGGCTTCGTGGTGGAGGTTCAGCTGGACAGCGCGAAGCAGCACCAGAGGGATTCCATCAGGAGGACCCTGTTCCTGGACAGCCAGCAGCCCAGCCTGCTGAAGACCCTGCGCCTTGCACACGGGGAACGCCTGTGCCTGGACGCCAGGATCTACCTGCGGGTCAGTCACGCCCGGCCCCTCTTTCAAACCTTAATCTGTCTTAACTCGCCTGTCTTTCCTTTTGTTGAGAGGCTTAGTCGCACCTGCGGCACCAGGTGAATGTCATCATCTCGCTGGTAGGGCAGAGGGCAGAAGTCATTTCAAACAGACAGAGCTCGAAGTTGCTGTTTCAAGTGCGCTTTTGAGGGGGAACCAGTACAGTACCAATCATCTCATCACTCAGCGGTCACCTGATCAAAGCCGTGGCCTGCCAAAAGTGGAGAGGGCATCTGCCTTGAAGCTAATTGCACGGGCATAATGATCAGAGCACTTTGCTCTTTGGACTGCATAGAAGATGGTTTGAGCAGGACATGCCATTCAACACTTGTCTGTTTGTGCAGCACTTCTTCCTTTTACTCTCTTTGAAGGGGCCACATCGCTGTGGCTGCTTAAACAGAATTCATGTTACATCTTAAATAAACCCTAAAATGGACTAAATCCTACATTTGTGGACCATAGTTGCTCTCTGAACATTTGCTTTTCTCGCACATCTATTGGAAAAAAGGTCTCCAACTCCTGGAGACAAGCAAATTTCACATGAATGACTCGCATCTCTCTCTGTTGCAGGGCGAAGAAGAGTTTCGGGACAAACTCTCCCCTATTTCCATCAGCCTTAACTTCAGTCTGGATCCTCATGCCCTAGTGGACCAGCACAGCCTCAGACCCATCCTGAATTACGGGACAGAACAGCGTGTAGTGCAGAAGGTATGTGTGTTAACCCATAATGCATTGGGTTTTAGAACGTGTTTTGGTGTATTTGGATTGAATCCTGAGGGACTTGCTGGGCTGACACTGTGCTCTCATTCCACACACAGCAAATACTTGGGCGCAAATGGGTAGTCGCGCGTGGCGAGTACAAACGGGCAAAGAAGCAGCCATTAGCTAGTTAGCGTGCTAAGCTACTAGCGAGAGCTTGTCAGAATGGACTCTGAGCAGTTCACGCCTTAATGTAACAAACGTCTTGATGGGTAATGGTGGAGAGCGGCTGCAACTGGTCCCGTCTGCACGGCCTTCGGGAAGAGGAGGAGGACGTTGGGTCACTAGACACAGCGGTCGTATCGCAACGTGGACACCGGAGACACGTTTGGATACTAATTGTAAATGATATCCGGTTGATGTTGAGATCCAATCTTTAAAATACACATAAAGTATTATTTTCTTAGTGTAATGGGGGTAAATAAAGGTAAAGGGTTGTATGTCACACCTCGGACCGTATAACAGTGGGCTCCAAACCTTTTGAAAACACTTTATGACAATCTTTTCTTAATGCCATGGTTGAACATTTTAGTAACCTTAACTTTACCAAACAAATATGGGTAAAGTAATATTCTTGGATTCTCATAATCCAGGTGCTAACACCTAATTCCCCGAATAGGAAAGCTGTAAATCCATGCAGTGTTGTCCAACACTTTAAAAGCAGCTACCCATTGAAGTGCTTCACTGTGTTGAGTAGTAAATTGCTTCTATGTATAACATTACCGCGCCGAACAGCCAGACCGCGCCGCTTATGTGGCCACACGCCTCGTGTGTCACGAACCGACGAGCTGACGATCCCTTCACCGCCATGCCGGCTTACAGAGACGACACGGCGCATTCACACACAACGCAACCAAACCATCCGAAATCAATCTGCGCAGCGAGGCAGGTTTAACAGCACGTCTCAGCCACTGTTTGCGCCGTCTACGCCATTTTCTCATTCACATCAAACGTAACCCCCCCCCCCCCCCATCTTGTGCCGAACCCCCATATGGTTTTAGGTTGCAGAGCGTCGGCATATTAACGGCACTCTGGTCTCCGTTTGAAATGTTTCCTATGTGGCGAGTTTGAAGGTTTACGGAGGGCCGGCGAGTCCTGTGCGCAGGGTGGGGCTGGGAGGGCGCTCGGCTCGCACACATCTGGTTGCGGTTTGTTTGTGCGCGTTGCCAGGTCTCCTCCAGCGGGCGGGAAACGTGCACGTGTTTATTTGAGTGACTGCAAACGTGCACTGCTTTTGTATTTGAATACACCGGCTTTGTTTTGCACCTTTGTGAATTCGATCTGTTGTTGTTCTTTCTTCCCCCCCGACGGGCAGGAATCCGTTTAGCCTAATCGACGGCTGCTAGACCGTTGGTCTAACATTTGAATTTGCATTGTGTAGAGGGAGTCTAGCATGAACTACGCTGGTCGTAGTCCGAGGTCCTGCGTTGTTTACATCCGCTGGCCGGCGGTGTATTCCTAATGATGCAGGCGAGTCTCTCTCCGTCCGCCATCGCCGCCATGTTGGATGCGTATATAGCGCCTTTAAGTCGTCGATGGGTGTGGTCACACCAATAGCCATGTATTTACGTCCCATAATGGCCTCCCCATACGTGGCAGGGTTTACTCATGCTGGCAGAGTACGCCTTTCTGCACAGGGGCTAAATGGCTCACCCACGAGGTTTGAGGGGTTTTCCAGTGATGATGACTTCTCAGGAATATATGACTCTTTCCCAGAAGTCGCTTCATGAATGTAGCCTGATGTTATTCCATTCCATGTTTCTCCTTAAAGAATCATCAAACACTTTATTTCACAAACTGTTCGATTAAACAATTCCAGCCTGTTGTTGTAAAGGTGATTCTAAATGCAATTTCCCAATTGAACGTCTGTTACGGTTCAGCATGCGACGCCACTGCCAGCGTGTCCTCCGGGTGTGATTTTTAAAACCTGAGTTTTCATCAAACTTCAACACATCTTGACGTTAACCAACCGAGCTGGAGGGGAAACGGATCGCATGGGTCACACATGTGGGGAGATGAAAAGATGAAAGTGGAACGGGAAGATAAGTCGGTAGTCATCGCTGGATCACGAGTCTATTACGCAGCGTGATCCTGTCTGTTTGGTGTTAAAAGGGCGATAGATACCCTCTTGAGTCCTGAGTGGACGTAAAACCCGGGGACTTGAACGAGGAATTTGCGCTGAGACACTGTTAACTATTGCCAGGCCGATTCTTTGCTCTCTGTAGCATTCTTGGGGAATCTAATGTTTCCCATATGTCGGAGAGATGCGGAAACGGCAACAATGACACCGCGAAGCTACTTGGGAGGAAAAGTGGAGAGAAAAGCAAACATCTGAAGAAAAAAAACAACAACAACAACAATGCATCCAAATCCAACAGCGGCATCGATCCTTTACTGTGGTTCCTCGAGTCATTTGTCACACAAGATTTAAGAGCAGCTGAAGCCCAGCTCTCTTCGAGCCGTGAGGTTTTTGCTCCTCCTCCTGTTTGAGGGGGGGATACATCATCCTTTCATTCTCCGCGGTTTCCCTATTCTTCCTTTTCTTTGATGAAAGGACGCTGCGTTAGCACGCGGCCTCAGCAGCTGGTTGTCGCAAACATTTGTTTGGGTTTTGTGCGTATGTGGAGGAGATACGCCTCTTATCCTTTCATTAAATCACAAGCAGCGTGCCGGCTTCTGTAAACATCCACTTCCTCCAGAGCTTTTCTCCGACATTACATTCCCTGGAAACCCCTCTCTCCTTTTCATCCATCATAACCGTCCCTCTTCCCCCCCTCCGTTTGTCTCTGTCCTTCTTTCCTCAGGCCCAGATTCAACTCGATTGCGGAGAGGACAACATCTGCGTCCCTGACCTGCAGCTGGCTGTTTACGGGTGAGATTGAAATCACCCCTCTGTTACTTTATTGATGAAGTAGATATGGCCGCGGCGTTTGCCGTCAGTTGGCTGTTTACACATCCAGCAGACACACGGCAACATTAGCATTCCATAGCAGTCGATTAATTAAGTCCAGCGCTTCCTCTCTTTTAGCAGTTTATGGTCTCCACCTCCAACGGTTGCAAATCGGATCTGCGCGTGCAGTTCAGAGCGAAATAGAACTGAATGGATTCGGTCTGCAGATTGCGTTTTCAGTTCTCTCAAAGCAGCAATCTTTGACTTTCGCGTACTATTCTTAATTCTAAGCTGCGTGATTTTCACGCCCACAGACTTTGACTTAAACAACACTGTTGTGAGTCTTTTAGACTGATTATCAAACCAATCCACCACCAACCCTCCAACCGCGCGTCTTTAACTTCTGGATCAAAGGGCCGTTGTAATTATTGACATGGTGATAAACTGTGTTGTCTCTGCTGATGCGTAACTGCGGAGACGTTGTACGTCTTTTTCAGATTGTCTTTGTCCCTAAGAAGATAAACGCGAGTGCAAACAGGCGCCGGTCAAAAATCCAAAGGGCGGAGCTTCACTTCACCATGAGTGTCCAACGCTTAATCTTTACAAACCCATTTACGGTGGAAATATTAGGATTCATTTTAACAAATTATGAGATTCAAGCAGCAGTGAAGAAGTGAGGATACATAAATGTATTATAATTATGGTTTCAATAGATCTGCTCATATCTGCAACAGCCTAAACACATCCCACATATTGATGTTCGCAGAGAGGAAGAAGACATCGTAATTCGTGTCCCTTTCACTCCGGTCTTTGAAAGCTGTATGTGAAAACACGTCATCCGGTCTGTCAGGTGTAAATCTCACCTCTGGAGTCTCGAGAGGGGGACGCGGAGACACCGACACAGAGCAGCCGTCGTCATGCTATGATTCTCTAAATCCAATTTTATATTTAGTGGCTTTAAATACTTCGTTATGGTTGTTTTGCAAACAGGGACCGTATTAAATCAGCTGTTTTGATCCATATTATTGCTACAGACAATCCTGTGGTCGCTGGATGTCGGTCGGGACTCGTCTCCACGTCTCTCCTGAATTGCAGAGACTCGCAAAGATCCTCCGGCTAGAATCAAATCACAGGGGTTGCATTTATATGGCGTGCGCCTCTATCGTAATTAAATGACCTATGTGCTGAATGAGAGGCATCAACTTTTCAACAGTTTTATGAGGAAGTAAATGCTTCCAAACATTTCTTTTGAGCTGTTCTGTCAAATGGATTCTGTGACCTGGAGCCTTTAAGACATAAATCATCAATCGAGACGGGTTTTTACAGCTCATAACGCGCCAACACTGGTGCAGAGATTTACGCCACTTGTGATTCATTATCTGTCCTCGTCGTGGGCGGAGAGCAGCCAAATATTTGTCAGTGTCTCCGTCCATTCATAAAGCGAACACACACACACACACACTCTCTCCCTCTTTTCCCAGCCCGTCCCGACAGGAGGAGTGTTTTGCATTACAAGGACACGTGATCTCTCTCAGCTGCAGAAATACAATCGCTGCAAAAAGTCTCCCATGAAAACTCAAAAACTCGCCCGTTTGTTTTCCGCTGCAGCAAACCGCCGATGATTCAGCGACTTCGCTAAAAATAACTCATAAATAGCACAGCGTTTAACATTCACTGCCCTTTTGCTGTTGTTTTGGTTTGTGCACCTCCGGCTTCGATGAATCTTCGTGCCGATCCTTTTCCCAGAGAATGAAGCTCCGTGTTGTTACGTCTCGACCGTCCGCTGCAGACTCCTGCCTTCTGTCCTCGGCATCTGCTGCTGAGTGTTGTTGTTGTTGTTGTTGTTGTTCGGGGCTTCGGCGCCGCTTCCTTATCTTGCCCAGCCGTAATTCAGATCATCTGGTGGTTGTCTTTCCTAACCAGGGGTCACTGTGTCCAGACCGGGGGGGAGGGGATGAAAGAGGAACCCTGATTCTGACCCTCAACCAGACCCCACTCAATGGAAACATTTACTGGGGGGAGTGGGGAGAGTGTCCAGAGGATTTATCCCTCTCACTGAAAGTGTGTTTGCACACACGGGGCCGTCACTGTGAACACGGCGCGGTGAGGAGGGGGGGAGGGGGGTCGGTTTCCTGGGACAAATCACAGTGATCAGATTTGGGTCATTTCCCCGGGTCAGACACGGACAGATACGTGAAGGAGAAAATGGCCTCTGGGGAGCGTCGGAAAACAGAGGAGCATTGTCTGGAAGGACTTCACGTCTCTGCTTTTCATTAAGTTTTACAATTGCTTCCCTGGCATTTCGGTCGTGGTCTGCACAGAGTCACTTCAAATGAGCGCTGCAGCGGAGGAAGCACTAACGGAACAGTCGGGCTTTATAGGGAGGTGGCCACTCATTTTGATTGCAGTGGATAAAAATGGCCTTTGTGTAATAGATACTCATGGGAGATCCTGGTGGAGTTTGGGGCTCTGCAGCACAGCCTCCGTGTGCTAAACGAGCTGCTTTTGGGTAAATGGTAATGTCAGCGTGCTAACATGCTCAAAATGAATCTTTGTGCTGTTTGGCAGATATAAACCATGCTGCCTTCTAAACCCGACTTTTTCACTTTTTTTTAATCTTCATTATAAAACATTTTCTTTTGTGATCCAATAAGGCAAGAAGTTTAACAGAAATTACAAGACACGCTGAGCCTCACGTCAGCACTCATTAAATGTGCTCAATTATCACCTCATTTTGACAGTTGTCAATTCTCAACCACATAATAATGAATTTATAACACAAACACAGAACATTTTTGTTGCCCTTCATTTATTTAGTCATTCCTGTGCAGATGTTAATGCCGTTTGCTTGTGGTTGTCGTCTCCCAGCGACCGAGCGGAGGTTTACCTTGGTGATGAAAACTCGCTGAGCCTGACGTTCAACGCCAGGAACGAGGGCGAGGGAGGGGCGTACGAGGCCGAGCTCTACGTGGCGCTTCCCCCAGAGGCCGACTACAGCGGGATAGCGCGCAGCAACGCGGTGAGCCGGGCTAACTGTCAACCCAACTTCCGCCAGAGACTGTGATACATGCATATACGTATTAATAGGTGTCATTTCTTCATTGCTGGAGCATTGGACGTTCTCCATCGTAAGCACAAACCGTAACGCACAGCGCGTTTGCTCGTCGTTGCAGAAGCCTCGTTGCGTTCGTTCCCGCTGGCGTCCCAGCGGAACAGTTGACAGCATTCCATGTCTTTGTGTCCTCTCCAGAGCTTGACTCAGCTGACGTGCAGTTATGATGCAGAAAACCAGACCCGCTATCTGCTGTGCGATCTGGGAAACCCCATGAAGTCCGGTACCAGTGTAAGAGCCGGCGTGTCGTCTCAGTACAATTAAGTCCAGTCAGATTGTTCCTGCATGAAGTCATTCGTAGACAAACTCAACACGTGTCAACTGTATCAACACGATTAAACATACAAAACATAAATCAACCTCCGATGGCGAGGCGGTGGGATATCTCAGACCACGATAAGTTTCCGGCGACAGTTTGATTATTTAAACAGGCTTTTCATCATGTGATGAAATCATCATCCTAAAGGCTCCACAGTGAGTGAAAAACTGTTGAGCAAGAGGAAAGAAACCGAGCCAACGACAGAACTAAATTGAATTGAACATTTCTCATGTTTCCTGAAATGAATTGTGTGCGTTTCCCGTGCGTGTCGTTGGCCAGTTATGGGCCGGCCTGCGGTTCACGGTGCCCAGACTGAAGGACACGCACACTACGGTCCACTTTGAGCTCCAGATACGAAGGTAGGTCCCTTATCAGTCAGTTAGATCATATCGGATCCCTGAATTTAGTTTCTTCTTGCTGTACCCACGTTATCAGTAGAAATGGTGTTAAAGTATTTGTCAGGACATTTACTACATTGTCGGTTTATTTTTAGTCAATAAATGATCACTCTTGTGCTACAAGCGTTGTATTTATTAAATTATTAAATTATTGGATTATTTTATTTTTGATATTGGAAGAATGCATAAGAAATATTTCATGATATCAACACAACAATTTTGCCAGGTAATTAACAAACGTTGCTTTCTGAAACAACTTTTATGAATTTGCGTCGCAGCAAAAATGCCAACAACTCAGAGAGCGAGGTGGTGCAGTTTGCGCTGGAGGTGGCGGCGATGGCTGACGTGATTTTGCAAGGGTGAGGCTTCGAGGCAAAGCTCCTCCACTCACATCATTGCATCAACGTTCATGAAGCGCTCTTACCCGTGAGCTTTTCTGTCTGCAGTGTTTCTCGCCCGGACAAAGTCGTCTTCCCCCCCCCCAACTGGAGCGTCAGTCAGAGTCTGAGGGAAGAGCGGGACATCGGCCCGGAGCTCCAGCAGGTCTACGAGGTACCCGCGTCTCACTGCTCTCACGCGTCTCTTTTCATTTCAAAAAATGGATTTCGTGTATTTCGCCACGAAACACGAAGCGCCCAAACCCCCCCCCCTCCCTCTCTCTTTCAGTTGGTGAATAACGGTCCCAGCGTGGTCAGCCAGTCCACCTTAGTGGTGAGGTGTCCTCTGAGGGCTCAGGGCCACGAGCTGCTTTACCCCGTGGAGGTGGTGACCGAGGGGCCGCTCAGCTGCTCCTCTAAACACACCTTCAATGCACTGAAACTCAAGGTGGGGGGGACACGCGTGCTGAAAACCATTTCCCCCCTCGGCCCGTTCTCCTATCGCTCGATATGTCTGACTGTTGGCTTAATGAATGCAGCTCCAGCCTCCGGCAGCGCTGCTGGGATCCGGCAGCAAGCACCGCATCCGGAGGAGGGAGGAGCACCGAGATCTTCTGGCTGAACGAGGGAACCTGGTGAGGCAAAAATAAATAAGTCCACTTGTAAAAAATGAGCAGGGATAGATTTTCCGTCCCCGAGCTGCTGTATTACTGGTTTGTGTGTATCCATGGATCACGGAGCCACACACACACACACATTATGTATGACTACATTAAGTGTGTGAGGGAGAATTTGCACTCCTTTAATGTAGAACCATGAGCAGGTGGTTCCAGAGGTCAGGTAACCTCACTTCTTTCTCCGAACCTTTAAACTCCGAAGTTTAAAACCTTGAGTCGATCCACGATTCCTGTCATTTATCATTTCAGATTTGTGGTTTTGTTTAGCCTAGCTTAGCACAAAGACTGGGAGCACGGTGAATCTGTAAACCTAGCTAAGGGAACAGCAGTCAATCGTCAAGCAAATTTAACCAAAGCAGAAGCAGAGATAACCAGCCGTACACCAAACAAGCGGCTTTTCCTTTTTGTTGGTTTTGGCTCGCTCCCGGTTGGAGTCGCCTTTAGTTTCTTGTTTATTACTTTTGGTAAAATCCACCTTGAGCGGACATTTAAGCCAAATTTAAGCCAGGACGAACATGTGACCCCTCCAAACGAAACCACAACAGAGGCTCTTTGAATTGACTCAATGTCTCCTGTGTTGGCTGTTCCGTTTGTGTCTCTCCACTGAGGTGTAAGCGTTAGCTTCAGTCCCGTGGGGTCTTTATACATTCATTTAGTTCATTTGGACCAGAATAGTGAACCGGCCTCTAAACTGGAGTCATAATGACATTATTTGGTCCAACAGAGGAAATGAGGATCGATGTAATGAGCTCTGGGCAACATCTGCGGCTTGCTGTAATTGTCTTCGGGATGAAGTTAATTGGGTTTGTGATTCACTGGGTTCCTTTTCATACGACTTACTGTAATATTTGACAGCTAATCTCTCCTGCTATTCAAATCAAATTGCATAAGGTGCTTCCTGGTATCCGCGTCCTACTGAAATAACTTTTTAAAGCGGTTTACCTACCTAAAAATAGCCAGACATCGACATCAGGATCAAAGCTCCCACGACCGCAAGTATAAAGCGGCAATTCAAACTGATGTCAGCGATTTAAAACTACGGCCAGTGGGAGACGAGTGGCCATTAGATTAGATGAAGATACGTATGTCACATGGCTGTGGGATCTGGGTGTTAATCACTTTCTTTTAAGTATTCAGATCCCCTTGGTTGACACTACATACCGACGTCTTCCATTGGAAATGTCAGTAAAATGTTCCAGTCTAATGTCTACAGTTCACGTCTACTTCCTATGTCCACTCTTTTTAGAAACTACCTACATTCGGGCTCCGCGTGCAGTTTGATTGATTGAGTTTCATGGATCAGCATGCTCAGTGCCTCCAAATACAAATATTCCCATACTGGATTGTCCTTCCACATCCCTGGTCTTCACGGCCAATATCAGCAGACCAAACCCGTTGCAACCACGAATAGTTGCGCGTGCTGCAGCCCGCGCGTGTTTGACGCAGCCTTTGTCCACCGCACAGACGTGCTCGGCCGTGGAGTGCTGGCAGCTGCAGTGCGACGTCGGCCTGCTGGAGGGGGGAGCTAACGTCATCCTCACCCTACGCTCCAGGCTGTGGGCCGAGACCTTCATCGAGGTGAGACGCGTTCCTCCGCCTCTGCACATTTGTTCAACGGTCTTATTCTGCCCTCTGCCGGTCAGGTCACCCAACTGCAATTACACATATACATTCTATACGGTATTTCTCCACCCCTGATGGCAGCCTGTAGTCAAGCAGTGAAAGTAGCAGCAAGCAACACAATGTGTAGTTGAGGCCTGAGGCACGATGAAGGAAGACGGTGCTGCTCGATGTCTTCTGTAGAACTGATTCATTCTTTGTGTTTGTGGAGAATCTGTGAATTGAGTCTGTTTGGTGGAGTATTTTCGCTTAATGTGGGTAAAACTCTTAAAGGGACAGAACAACACAGCGTATCGTTCTTCTTACCTGTAGCGCTGTTTACCAAAAAAGACGATTCCCAGACCAATAGTTTCCTGTTTTTTTAATAATCCAAAGTTCCGTTGGTTGCTTTGAGTATTTTCTTTGGCGCTTTTGACCCCGGTGTCATTAGATTGTAGCGAAGGCAGTTACTGAATCTCTATGGAACTCGCACCAAAACAATCTACATTGATGGAGAGGAGAAATATGCATTTTTATTTTGCTCCGTTTCATATATATTAGTGCAACGATGTCTGTTTGCTCCTCCACAGAGGGCCTATAAGCCGTACGTTCTGGAGTGCTCGGTCCACTACAAGGTGGAGAGGATGCCGTATTCTATTCCTCCCAAGTTCAAGCCATCGGGATCCAAAAAGGTAACCTCCTCGAATGTTTCCTTTAGATTGTGGTAGAAAGGCGAAGAGGCTCATCTGGTCGCTGTGGCTTCCTGCCCTTCAGGTGGTGACGGCTGTGATATGGAACAAGCCGGACAGCCCGTTCCCCGTTCCAGTGTGGATCATCATCCTGGCGGTGCTGTCCGGGTTGTTGTTACTCGCCCTGCTCATTTATCTGCTATACAAGGTAACACGCCGGTGGACGCGTTTAAAAGGGGGTCTCCTGGTTTCACTGCGGGGACGCAGCGCCATTTAGTATTCAAAGGAAGGTCAAAGGATGCCAAAGGCTCACAAAGAGATGCAATAACACGACAAATACCTACTGTCGAAATCAACACACCCCGCGTCCCCCAAAACGTTTGGAATTTAGAAGAAAGAAATCAAAGAGACGTGTAACCTTTAATAAAGAGGCAAATACCATCCACAACGAGAAGGAAAACAACTTTAAATAAATCCAAGTGGCCTTGTTTCAGCATGACGATTCATTTAATATATTATTTACATATTACATATTTAATAATATCTAAGAAATTGGATTTTATAGAAACAAAAGTAAACACATTGTTCCGTAAATAAGAGTGTAAAACGGGTAAAAAGAGAATGAATCCTACGGACGGCCCCCCACATCGGGTCCGAGTTGTACCTGATCGTCCTCTCTCCTCGCTTTCCTCCAGATGGGCTTCTTTAAAAGGTCCGATCCGTACGGCACCACCATGGAGAAGGCCCAGCTCAAACCCCAGGCGTCCTCTGAAGCCTAGCCGGACCCCCCCCCCCCCCCCCCCCCCAGGTCCTGCGAGGCCATAAAAATGGGCAGATTCCATCTCTTCCCTCACACGAATTACCATACACTCCCGAAGAACCAGGCGACCCGCTTATGGAGGGACAGCTGCTGGCTGTGCATCACTGGACCTGCCGCATTACAGTGCCGAAGGAGGAAAGAGGACAAACAAACAGACACGGCTTCGTTCACGTCGTGTCGAAGGTCACAGCTTCATAGCCTCCGACAAAAGGCACTGCAGTATTTCTCCATCCCTAAAAGACGCGCTCGATCCCAACGACCAATATGCCTTTGTGTGATTTGTTCACCGCTCTTTTATTTATGGCGCCGCGTTTTCCTGTTGGTTGCTGAATGTTGTACTGGAACTGTCTGCAGGACAATCCTGACAAAACGCTTCACTTGAACTATTCCTCTCCCACATTGGGAGGCATTTGTGTGTGTCGTGTTGTATGTAAAGTGTTCATTGTGTCGTGACCCATTGTTGTTGTTGCCCAGAATAAAAGCAGCATTTTCTATACCCATCAATGGTGCTGTCAGTGTGCTACTTATGGGAACTTTTGGTTTTCGACAGATTCTTTGATCTTAATATCTATTTTACAGCAAACAGCAGTATCATTTTAGTCTGGAAATCACAGATGTTTTATATTCCGACAGATGTTTTTTTTTTTCTGTGTCTCCATAGCTGGTAATCCAAAAAAACCTGCATTAATCTCCTCCAGATGTTATTGTTACACAAAGCCCGTCTCGTGATGTAACCAGTAGTCTTGCGAGTCCACTGTGTCCACTGAGTACTGTTCCAATTCTGAAGTCTGCATCTCGCCGAGAACGGTCGTGATACCCGGACGGGCGTCGCCCCGCCCATTTTACCGAGAATGCACCGTTCCGGGCAGACGTGTCCGTTCTTGTGAGAACCAGAATGCATTTCACCTCAGCAACAGGCAGCAAAGGGAGAGGAAAATAAGACACAACTGTAAGTCCCAAGTTTATAAATGCTACTATATTCATAACTTCATGTTTTAATTAAACTTTAACGTATTGTTTGTGCCCACAGTGTGCAGGCCGGCACGTCTGCTTCAAAGGGACTCGTAAAGGGAATTGTAATAATAAAAATTGATGTTTTCTAGATATGAATTACTGATTATTCCTCTGTAAGATATTCGTTGTGTAGTCAGCTGCTTGCACATGCTGAAACTGTTTCTATTTATTTCAGTTTGACAGTAAGAATTCACCTGTCTAACTGTAGCCTCATGGATCACTGAATCATAGATATTAAATACTATGTTAAGCACCAATGATGTCCCGTATCTTACAGTACGTGGCCTCCATCATCACTCTATTATATTCACAAAATACTATGAGGTTAATCAGTATAGATGTAGGGACACAGATGAGGTTCAGGTACATTTATAATGTAATATATAGTGATGTTTGTGCGTTTAACTGGACGAGGGCTACCACACTGATTATTGGTAAGTAACAAGGAGGCAAACGGTAGGTGGAATGTAGCTCCTTTATGAAACCATTATATAAAGCTAATGCAGTGTGATGTAATACAACAGCCCTGAGTTAAATTCACCTCAGTAACATTTTGTGTTTCATGTGTCCATCCAATATGAATATAAATTAAGAGTCTGTGTAATCCAGTAAAGTTCAGCAGCACCACAAACTACAGCTGCTGCTCGTCATCTTCTTCAGAAAAGAGTTTCACTCATTCTCAAAGAGCCGGACACGTTTTATTCATACCAAAGAGCGTACCCAAAGTATCCTGCATGCCAGGCTATGAATCCTGTCCGCACATCACTTTGTTACACAGTAACCACTCCTTTCGCTTTTTTCTTTGACGTCACATTCAAATTGTAAACAAATATAACACTTAAATGTTTACTTCCCGTGTAATCTCTGCTTGAATGGTATCATGGATAGAACATACATCCTAGATTACATGGTCATATTTCTGTGGCGTGAGGTTCATAGTGTTTAATTCATACTGAGCATTTTCGCCAACATTGTGGTTCCTACGTTTAAATTTGGACCTTTGTTGAATAGGTTGAAATACAGGCACTGAATGCTGACGAGCCAAATAGATTTAAGAGATACTGCATTTACAGTTAAGTCCTTTTTTATGCGCAGGTCCTCAAACAACCCGATTACATGAACCATCAGCCATGTCTTTGTAACATACACTCGTTAAGTCAATACTTTATTCATCTGTAGAGTTCTGGGTTCAGCTCAACTGGTTCCGGCCGCTCGCTGGAGTCCGAAGTTTCAGACGGTAAACCGCCACTAAACCAAACAACACTGATTGTCTTATTTAACGTCCGTGGAAACTAGAATTGTTTCCGACTGTGTGAAGGTCATTGTGTGCGTACACGCTGCTTTTGCAGGGTCCTGGTGCAGGTGGAGCAGGACGTCTCATCATTCTCCTTGTGCCTGCATCTGCTTACAGAAGGCCTCAAACTGCTGCTGTTCCAACTCGGTCATCACCTTGTTCAAGGCATAAATCTGTAAATCAAAGAGAGGGGGGGGGGGGGCACAAACACAGTTGATCAAAGGGAGTGAGAAGTAATGTTGGATACGCTAACTTACAGGTGTAAAGAAGCGCTGACGTTCGGTCACCTCTGCTCTCTGTCGCTGTTTGTGCTCCTGCTGTGCAGACTTGTGCCTGGCTCGGTCTCCTCTGGTCGGGGTGGAGTTCAGCTTGGGTTTGTCTTTACGGCAGGCCGGCTCCATGGCGACCTGGGAGAAAGGAGTAAAAAGGAAAGTGTGGTTATCTGAAGAAACTATGCGAAGCAATCACTGCAATATTCATCCTTAGGTAGAATCATGAACGTTGCATCACGATCAAGACTTGAAACGATGACAGATGAGACGGTAGTACATTTGTTTTTTCTTTCTACAAAATGTACAGAAACACTGTAAAGGAGGACGAGGGTAAATAACAACGAGAAATAATGAGAAAACATCATCATGATGAGATAATGAGAAAACAATGAGAAAACATCATACGTTGTAGCCTAACGTACAATCAAGTCTCGGCTACATGAAGTTTAGGTATTAACGTAACGTTAGCTATCATCTCAGCTAGCGTTAGCGTGTTAGCTTTCAGATAGTTGTTCATAGAGGAACATTCCGACCAACACTAACAGCTGACGGTGCACCTACCGGGGAAATATGACACCGTGTGAGACAGAAATATGATGTAATAAACGTTGCGTTGGTGAGAAAGGAGGCTGTACGTGTATGCGCGTAGTGCCTAGCCGACAGCTGTTGCCGAGGTGCCACCAATAAACAAATCCGACTGTCACAGTCAAGCTTCAAAGGTTCCGGTTGTAGCGGAGAGGGTTTCTGGGTGACGTCATCCAGCGCTGTCGTCTTAAAGATCGCGTATTAACACACATTAGAGAGATAATACAGATAATACTGAAGAAATAACAGCAAATGTATAACACACAGTTTTTTTGGACATGTCCTGTCTTAGATAATCTCATCTCATCTTTGCATTTGAACAACATTCATTGAAAAACATGCATTCACGTCCACAACACAAATCAATAAACGTTCGCTTACAACAACACAAGTGTGCTTTACAGACCGAGGTCAGCAAACAATCAAGTAATGCTTTTTGAGGCGTTCATCCTTTTTATGTTAAAATAGCGAGGAGAGAAACCCCAAAACAGCCTGCATGCCTCCCGAAACAAAGGTAAACAAGGAAACAATGACATGGGAATTAGTTTAAATACTGAATGCAGTTGCCATAACAATGTTCATGTTCCATCAACCTGAAATGATCTATAAGAAAATGACATGAAACCCGCGCTCAGTGGACTGGTAGTGTGAACTTGGTAACTAAGACTAAGACTAAGAGGTCTTTGGGAGGAGATGTCGCTGCTAAGTTACACTACAGTGCTGTGGGCGCTTTACATTATTCTATTTGAAAAGGCAACTGAGCATAAGTGCTCTGCTAGATGTCTCCATGACAACCAGTGTGGTTGTTGCCTCCGAGAGGTCCCCCAACCAAAGCCGCAGCAGGAGACAGGGAAATAGTTTCAAACCATCTCATCCGCTCCCACTAGGCGTGACCACAAGATGCTGCTCTTGTCTTGTATATTCGGCTGCACTCATCAGCGCGTGCATGGGTTTGCTTTTGCGCATGTATTTTGGGCATCGTGACGTCATTCAACATGAGATGGAACATTTGGAAAGAAGTGTTTGACAGGAGAATATTTATATAAGTAAACCGTTTTCTAAGTGTTTTCCCCCTATTTCCACTTTTGATTTAGAACCAGATCATAGACACTCAGAGTAAACTTGACGACTCTCATAGTCTGATAGTGGTGAACCTGAGCCTGACTTTGTGCATGCATGCGCGCCCCGTGGCAGCGCTGTGCAGCATACCGACGGTTTACCTGGATTTATCCTCCAACTACAGCGGAGTGCTCTCCCTCCCGCAAAATAATACCCTGCCAAAAACAACTTCTGCTGAACGCTGCAGACAACAGCCAGGCCTGCAGCTCCACATGCACAGCAACGCAGAGGAAACATACACACACACACACACACACACACACTTTTATAAAGCTGGGGAATCAGCAGCAGAAGTTTAATGTAGGCCCTCAACTACTTTTTGTTCAAACACACTTGAATATGTTGTAATTTAAGTAGATTTCTGATTCATGTTCTGTAGAAGTGACACGTCCGTGTTAACCTCATCGGTCATCTAAATCTTCACTATGCTGCCACAACCCCCGCCAATGTTCAAATGAGGGGAAGCAATCTGCAGTGCGTGATTGACCCCGTGTACAAAGTTATATGGCCACCCACCCCGCCCACCCCGCCCCCTCCCCACCCTGCCCCTCCTCCCAAAAAAACCCCAGAGTCGACAAAGTGGGCAGTTAGGATGTCATCATGGCTGTCAGAGAGGCACCTCCAGCCAGAGAAAATGCAAAGTGAAAGACGTCAGAGTGCTGACCACGCCGCCTGATTGACAAGCTGCTTCTGGGAAAATGTCAAAGCACAAACACCCACCCAGTAATGACCGATCCAAACTTAGCATAAAATCACGGGAAGAAGGCGGCACAGGCGGAGCAAGACTGCGCGGCGCCGCGGCGAACCTGCTGAGATGTCGATAATTTAAGAAGATTTAAAAATACGTTATGCACATGAAAACAGGCATTGATCCCAGCTAGGTTCCAATTCATGACAACTTGAGTCTTTTTATTTGTTTGAACACTTGAGGCACTTAAGGTCGAAGGTCAACGAGGATGTGGGTTTGAATGTGTGATACATTTTCAAAAGTTAAAGTCAATCACCTTTGTTGAAGCGAAAATAACTACCATATTATGGTAGAAGGGGACACAGTCTACAACTTAAAAACCGTGAAATAACCCTGAAGAAAAAAGCCTGCAGGCTCATGAGAACATACCAGCGATAAGCTTGAGACCATATCGCATCATATAATGCTCGACAATCATTTCACTTTTAGTTTCTTCCAGGCAATAGTTTTGAATAAATGCACAATCAGACACGCAGCATGAGAACGATACGTTTGTTGAGCCTTCAGGCATGGAAAACATGTTCAGGTAGAAACCCCCCAAATTCCCTCTAAAGGCAAGAAACCACCGACTTGTTTGGGAGGGGAATCAGTGGCAGACAGAAGAGCAACAGAGAAGCAAAGGTTAAGAAGTGAGGGAAGAGCAGATGGAGGGACGGCTAAAGGTTTATAGAGTGGCAGAGAGGGCCGGCGGGGGGGGTCGGGGGGGCGGCAGCGGCCCGAGTGTGTGTTAGGGGCCTTGTTCCTCTAAATTAAACTCTCTCTCCGGGGGGAAGCGCAGCTCTGACTGCTCTTTCACACCAGCGACCCTGAACACACAAGGTGACCACAACCTCCTAACCCTCGCTCGCCCGTCCACTGCCAAGAGACACACACGCACACACACACACACACACACACACACACACACACGTAGGCCCGGTGTGTACAAATCCCCATGGACATGTACATACAAACACACACACACACACACACACATACAGTCTTTCAGAACTAAAAATAAACAACTCCGCTGACTGGTTCTAAAATAAGTGGACGCACTCATGCACACACACGCACGCACACACATGCGCTTACTGTACACGGATACACAAAAGGCTTTTGCCAATGCGCTCGCACACTCTGTCGCCTCACGCCTGAAACCCAATAGACGCGCAGCAGCCAAAGCAAACAGCAAAGGAGGAAAATAAAATAGAGTGAAAGATACGGGGCGGGATATGACCTGGGGTCACTGTGGGTCACTGTGGGTCACTGTGTGTGATGTACACTGACACACTGACACACAAACGTGACGAAACGCACACCCCCCCCCGTCGGCTTGTATTTGAGTTTTTCTTTGATGGCAGGAAATGTTGTGTGAGTTTGTGTTGTCGTAACGTTAAATGAGCAGCGGAGAGCAGTGCCTTGCTCAGGGTCGCCTCGGCAGAATCTGTTCCGCGTAAAAGAGGACGTTAATGGTGTGAGAATTCCTGAGAGAAAATACCCAAGTTATTTTATTCACGTCATTGTAGCACTTTTAGTGAACTTGTAATGACGAGTTGTAAATGGGCTCATTCGATGAAATTGCACTTTCCTGTTTCTTGTTCTTCTGAGTTTGTATCCTGACACGTAATGTAACGTCTCCTGAGTTAAGTCTCCTTAACGGACTGTGAGATGAAGCCTAATGTGGAGTCAGACGTCCTTCAGGTCCAGTCCATCTACACATTTTACAAGGATAGAATTTGAGCCGCAACTTGTTCCGTTCTGCCTCCTGAAATAAAACCGACTGTGAACTCTATGATTTCAGTCATTTCTTAGGCCTAATGATCAAATGTTCAAATTGTATCTTTGTGAGACTGATCTGTTTCTGTTCACTCAGATGAGCCAATCATTTTAGAGAATTAACACTCCTTAGAGAACAAAAATCTAACACTGCCATAAAACTGAACAATAACTCCTTTCTTGATTCATTCATCTTGAGGGTTGTATATGAATATATATGAATTTCCTGTACACTAAACAAACAGACAGACTAGATGTCCCTAATGGTGAACAGGGGTCGAGTCTTCAAACCAAACAAATGATTCATGGATTCATCCATAGTGGGGTTATGGCACCGTGGAGCAACTGTTTGAGTTGATATCATTCATATATTTGAAATTCAGACTCTACGAATGATGTTTTTGAGATTTTAGCTTCTCCTGTGAGCAGTCAGCCTCGGTACTTTTAAACATTGAGTCCTCTGTCTCAGAGCTAACAGCGACTCCTCGCAAACAACTTGTGTCGATCGCTGATCCAAAAACATCTGTATCCCCCCCCCCCCCCCCCTCTCAGCATCCGGATCCTCTGTTTGTTTTAAATGCTCTCCAATTTTCCGATGGAAAAAAAGGGATATAAACTCTCTATTATGGAACCCTCTTGTTCTACTCATCGTGTTCTTCATACGAGAAAAAAAAATGATCCGGAAGACAAAACCAAAAACCATGAGCTACGTAATTGCAGAAGAAAGGACTTGGGTGGGTAGATGTAGCACGACGGAGTCTGGAATGACGGCATTATGTGAGCGAGAACCACATGAACAAAGACTGGAACGACAGACCGAGGGCCAAAGAGCAGCAGGGAAATTGCGGCACGATGTTTAAACGTGTGTCACGATGGCACCCTGCCGTGAGGTGACCCTTGATAGATTACTGCACCCTTAACCCCACTATTGCTCCTGTAGCTGTGACTAGCGTGTGAATCGGGAGGATGGATGACTGCACAAAGGCAAAATCTCTGAAACCGGACCGGGCCATATAGCGCAGATGAGCTCATTTTGGAGCCACCAGTCATGTGGGTGACTGTGGTTCCATCGGCCCCCCATCCACCCATGGAGGGGACAGTGGGTACCGGTGGTCACCACCGAGGCTTTTAGACCAACGCTTTTGTCTCAACAAAATAGTTGATAACCAGCAAAATGTGCATCCTTCTGCCGTCTCACTGCTCAGCAATATTATACATATATTATATATATTATAATAGTTGTGGCTGAGTGTGTTTCTGTTGGATTGTAGCAGCTGGAGACGGAGGTTAAGTCGTCGCCACAGTTCCGAGCTCGGGTCCCTTCACAGCGGGGGGGCCACCGGATGAGAGGAGGCAAACCAAGTCACACGCGTGGAGCCTCGACTCCATCGGTGCACACGTGTCATCGTATCATCAGGGCGAGCGTCGGGGGACGGGAAAGCAGCGGGTGGAGGCTGACGAAGGCGATGCTCACGGGCTACGGGA